TCGTCTAAATTACGTTATACAAATAAAGAGGATATACATACGTCAAATCTACGCACTTCTTATGTCGTGTAAACGTAATCAATAGATAAACCTAATTGGAAATATTTACATTTACAGGTGTAGGTTACGTTTTAGTCTCACACGACTACATGGCCAGGGCTACAGTGCCATCAAAATACCTACAAATATGGAAATGATTCTAAATGTACAATAAAACTAGCTTCCCTACACAATGCTCTTGCACGTATGGACTTTATTATTAAATCAGAACTTTAAATACATATCTACTGTTATCATATAATGGGTAGGTTTCTCGGCAGGATAAAGCCAACGGATAAAAACGAGAAGTGGGTAGATTTGACGTATGTATATCCTCTATATTTGTATAACGTAATTTAGATGACGTATCATGTTCTGGCGTGTGCATATCCTACACAGACGTATACTGTAATTCAGATGACGTATCATGTTCTGGTGTATGAGGTGAGCTGAAATTGGGTTTAACGTCGCGTTATTGCACTTATATAGCGACGTACATGCGCGTGTGTGTGAGTGGCTGTTTGTACTAGTCCGGACTGATGCCGCTTTATAGTGCTAGCTCACTGAGATACCAGTTTAACATGAATACCCCACTCAGACACAGTATACCGACTCCGAGCCGACCAGTCCTTGTTTTAGCCCCGTAATGCCAAGCGCCAGACAGCGTAACAAGTATCATTTTTTAACGTCTTTTGGTATGAAGCGGCCGGGGATCGAACCCCGAACCTTCCGCTCTCCGGGCGGATTCTGGTGTATGAATATCCTAGACATATGTATAATGTAATTCAGATGACGTATATGTTCTGGCGTGTGCATATATCCTAGACAGATGTATAATGTAATTCAGATGACGTATATGTTATGGCGTATGCATATATCCTAGACAGATGTATAATGTAATTCAGATGACGTATCATTTTCTCATTATTATATTTGTTATATTTTACAATGTTCTTATTTAGTATTATTGTGCATTTCGGGGTGTAATAATAGAAACTCACTACTCGTTATGAAATAAAACGAAGGACACCCATAACCGTGTTGACACGTTATTCAGCGGTACACACACATTCTGCTACATAGTGTTATATAATTATTACAATGTTTATTCCTAATGCAGGATATTTACCATCACCAAACACACTCGCGTGATAACCTCTATTTATATAATCTTATTTTAATGTAAAGATATATATAAGTATTTACATTGGGGAAACTGCCGCCCGTATTTCCCTCCAAAAGTTGTACATGTATGCACTGCCGTTCAAATTTAGTTTAGTTATATATAATTTCTAGGGGGAATATAGGCGGGGGTCTTACCTTAATTTGAAACGTACCTTGACAGTAAAAATCGGTAAAATCCTTAAAGCCCATACTGCAAACTAATACTAAATGCTAATGTTAATAATAATACTAATAACTAATGCTAATATTAATAACACTAATTACACCATATATGAGTTACTTGTTAGTTGACACATTCAAACAAAATCTGTGACTGCCACATAACATTATAATTAGACTGTATTACAATATTATATCAATATATAGTATATCATTAACTATGTTTTCCCTCGTATGTACTTTGACCTTGGCCAAAGGATCAGTCTCCGCGGGATGGTTATGGGGACCATTAGCTAAGAAATCGTCTCCACGTTGTGTGGGCGAATGGCACACCACCAGGTTAAGCGCTTTTCAAAGATTTTTTTGCAAACATCATAATATATTTCATTACTTGAAAGTGAAAGATTAGAAATTCTATTGACCGATCTATCCTTTTCGTGTATATATGTGACTAAGCACCGAAAATGATTCATACCTTGACTGTGTACCATAACAATAGGGGTCTACAAGTTTGGGTTTTCCGCGGGTTGTGCCTTTTGTGGAGCTGACGGGGGGCGTGCTGTTTGGATATGAGATCAGACCAAGGATCTGCTAGTGACCAGTAATTATTACATTGATACTAATACATGATTGCTATGATTATACTACTTATATCTCAAAATATTTTTTTGTTTTGACTTTAAATAATTCCGCTCATCTCTTACTAGGGACATTGAACACATGGAAAAACCACGAGTGTTATCCTCTGGTCAGACCCGGGGACTAAGATATCCCTGGGACAGAGGAGTAATACTGAATAACATCCCTCCTGAGAGATTTTAGGAAAACAATGCCCCGTAAGAACAATATGATGACGTCACTAGAGGTTTGTTATTGTAGTGGCAGCATGTGACTTCGACTTGGGGCAAGACATACTGACTGGAAATTCAATCAGGGATATACAGTCAGATGAAATGGGGGTTATCATCGCGTTCAAGATTATTGCTCTTCTATAGCGACGTGCATGCGCGCGTGTGTGTATAACATGTACTGGTCCGGACAAGTAGTTGACAAACACCATTGCTGACAGACCCGTGAAGATCCGGTGTATGCCGTAATAGGCGACTCTGCTTGTGGTAAGAGACGACTAACAGGATCGGGTGGTCAGGTTCGCTGACGTGGTTGATGCATGTCATCGTATCCCAATTGCGTGGATGGATGCTCAAAATGTCAATCACTGGACTTACTGGCCCATACCCGATTATTTACTGACAGCCGTCACATAGCTGTAATATTGCTGAGTGTAGCCTTAAATAACGAATAAACAAACAAGTCCATTGCTGGCATGTGTCTGTGTGTTAGAATATGTGTACCCTCTGTAGTATACATTGAAGCATTTCACGTGATATACAGTATAAGTCTTCTCAGTAGGCGTTGGGGGAGCTGTTGATGGCCGTCAATGACGCAGTAAGTATATGCTAACAGCACTTGTCAATGCTGGGCTCAGAAAGTATTGGACGTTCAATCTGACCGCACTGACTAGGTTCCAGGCGAAACTCAACCTACTGTGGATAAACACGCGTGTCTCGAGAAACACATCAATTCACAAGTCCTCAATATAAGAAATGTGCTTCACGTGACTACCTCCCACTGACTGGTTCCAGCATCAAGTTACTAATCCACGAAACAAACTGGGGAAATAGCAAGGACAAACATAACAACAGATGTGTAAACTGTAAGGTCCCCAGTTTTCATTGATTTACGTACATTACATACCAGTAACTCATGTCAGGTAATAGGTGTGGAACCAGTGACGGTTACAACTGCTGAAACAGTCCATCAACCAATCATTACACATCATCAGCTGCATCGGGACGACAATTCGCCCACCATTACCTGGGCGTCAGGCACCTGTAGTCGATAATCTCTTCTAATACAGAAACACTTAGAGTATATTTACACCTGAGAGTAAAAATTAAGATGCATACATTGAAGAAAACAACGTTTTTAACAGAACACTCATATCCTATACTCTTTCCCGATCACATTCGTTGAAAGCTCGTGTTTCATGCATCAGCTGTGATTGGTTAAAGTGTGTACATCTGACGGTATCCATGCCCCAATGTGGTAAAGCAGTGTAGAGTCACACAATGCTGCCGTCATGCGGAGTTCAGGCATGCAAATCCACAACAAATATACGTATCCACCAAGTATTTCAGAGTGTGTCAGGACCGAAACCTTAGCTTCAATTCGGGGTCAAGCTTGCCGAGCGCAGTCACCCCTCAACTACTCTCCGCCGCCAGCGCTGCCTGACGTCACTGGTTTGTGACCGCGATCTGCACTTAAAAACTTAACTTAAAAATGTGTACAAACATGTACTGACTTGGATGACCGCGTCTAAGAAGTCAAACACTGACGGGATGTCAAACATCATGCATTGTCTGAAGTTTGAGCATGAGTAAACTAAAAGATACACAACACTGCATTTGACCTTACGCGTTCGGGCTCGATTCCCTACTTGGGTATAATGTGTGAAGCCCATTCGTCATATTGCTGGGCTAGTACTGAATATATCACTCATTTTATCTTGAGTGCACAAGAGGTGAATTATATGTAAAGAAATTATTGATTTTTCAGCTCTCACAGATTTTAACACAGGTGTTCACATTTTATTTATTCAGTAAAATACCACGGCATTGGATTCATGACAATACTTGGTAGTAGTCGTGTCATCATGTTCCCACACCGCGGTGAGGTGAGGTGAAATGGGGTTTAACGTCGCGTCCAAGATTATTGCCCTTATATAGCGACGTGCATGTACTTGTGTGGCTGCTTGTACTAGTCCGGACTGATGCCGATTTATAGTGCTAGCTCACTGAGATACCATGCCGCAGTTTAACATGAATACCCCAGTCAGACACAGTATACTGACTCCGAGCCGACCAGTCCTTTTTTTACCCCCTTAATGCCGAGCGCCAGGCAGGGTAACAACAAGTACCATCTTTTAACGTCTTTTGGTATGACGCGGTCGGGGATGGAACCCCGGACCTTCCGCTCTCCGGGCGGACGCTCTACCAGTACACCACGGAGGCGATCCCCACACCTCGACTTCATTCACGTGCATCAGACCATAGTTTCTGCGTAGGTAGAGTGATATGGTGGCTGGGAGTGAACATCGCTTTCTCGCCTTCAGTTACGGCCGCAAGAGAGCGATAAAGCGATACCACGAGACGATGTATCGCTTTCTCGTCTCGTGTTATCGTTTTCTCGCGGCCCTTACTGAGGGCGAGAAAGCAATGTCTCCTCTCGACCATCTATTTTCTCATAATTATTCACACGTAGCGTCAAAGAGGAGTCTCATTATTAACACCCAGTTAACTATCGACCTTGGCCCCCAACAACTGTAACAACACGTCTGAAAAACAATGCAAATTACGTCTGTTGCTTCCAATAACGTCATGCTTGCTGCCTAGTGAGAAAAACATAAGGGGTGTTAGTCTGCACGAGGTTCCCTTCGGGCACGGCGCACCCAGGCCGCCACACCACGCGCTCTTGTTTCTCCGCCATTCCTGCACATGCACCCTGAACAATTTGGAATACCCGATTCACCCGCCACGCCTCCTCATCTACCCGTGACAATGAACGACAGCGTTGGTTTCATCGTCCGGTGCTTCCCATGCAACTCCACCTTCCTCGTGGCACCCCTGACGGAGCGCGTGGCCGGAGGGGGTAGCTACCTGCTCCTTGGGGTGCTGTCTTTTCTGGCTAACGGGATCTTGCTGCTGCTGCTGTGTCGGCACCGGAAGCTGCGGTCCCCCGCCGGCTGGATTATGTTCAACATGGCCGCCAGTGACAGCCTCAGAGCCGTTACAGTCATCGTCTTCGTCACCCCCATGGTGTCGCTGAGCTGTTTCCCGTTCACCACCTCTGCGCTGAGGCTGTTCATGCTGATGACGTTAACGTGTTTCCTAAAATCAGTCATAAGTATAATGTTTGTCGCCACTGACCGCTATTTCGCCGTATGTCGGCCTCTCCATTACGTTCGTGTGGTGACAAAAACTAAAGTGATGGCGTCTGAACTTGGCTCCTGGTTCATCTCCCTGCTGTACGCGTTGTCCTTCCTTGTTACTGAGACCGGTAAAGACGGCATCCTGTACGACATGCAGCGGAAGTCCTACCTCTTCTACATCTACGTGGTGGTCCCGTGGGTGTCTCTCTTCTGTACTGTGGTCTTGTATTGCCTCATGCTCAGAGGTGTCCGTAGGCGTCGGAAGGTGAGCTGCGCTCCGTCGATGCTCCGCGACCTCCCCCAATATCGTCCTCAGGTGAAACTCGCAGTTACCATGGCGATAGTAACCGGAATATTCCTCCTCAGCAACCTCCCAATAGTGTGTGTGGGTTCCATGACTGGCCCAGGCAGGAGTCCGACGTCCGTCGCCTGGCAAACCGCGGGGTTCTTGTTCTACATCAGCTGCGTGCTCAACCCGGTGGTGTATGTGGCCACCTTCCGCCCCATCAGAGATGCTGCCAGGAAGATGTGGTGCGGGGAGAGTGACCTGGACGACCTAGCTACCCCCGCCCCCCGGGCCACCTACCTTCGTGGTGGCCAAAGCACAGCACAGCCCCAATGATGTTATATGACTATAGCGTTCAGCGTGGTGGCACCAGCACAACCCAAATGATGTTATAGGACTATAGCGCTCAGCGTGGTGGCACCAGCACAACCCAAGTGATGTTATAGGACTATAGCGCTCAGCGTGGTGGCCCCAGCACAACCCAAGTGATATTATAGGACTATAGCGTTCAGCATGGTGGCACCAGCACAACCCAAGTGATGTTATAGGACTATAGCGTTCAGCGTGGTGGCTCCAGCACAACCCAAGTGATGTTATAGTACTATAGCGCTCAGCGCGGTGGCCCCAGCACAACATAAGTGATGTTATAGAACGATATAGTTCAGCATGGTGGCACCAGCACAACCCAAGTGATGTTATAGGACTATAGCGTTCAGCGTGGTGGCTCCAGCACAACCCAGGTGATGTTACAGGGCTATAGCGCTCAGCGTGGTGGCTCCAGCAGAACCAAAGTGATGTTATAGGACTAAAGCGTTCATTGTGGTGGCACCAGCACAACCCAAGTGATGTTACAGGGCTATAGCGCTCGGCGTGGTGGCTCCAGCACAACCCAAGTGATGTAATAGGACTAAAGCGTTCATTGTGGTGGCCCCAGCACAACCCAAGTGATGTTATAGGACTATAGCGTTCAGCGTGGTGGCTCCAGCACAACCCAAGTGATGTTATAGTACTATAGCGCTCGGCGTGGTGGCCCCAGCACAACATAAGTGATGTTATAGAACGATATAGTTCAGCGTGGTGGCACCAGCACAACCAAAGTGATGTTATAGGACTATAGCGTTCAGCGTAGTGGCTCCAGCACAACCCAAGTGATGTTACAGGGCTATAGCGCTTAGCGTGGTGGCTCCAGCAGAACCCAAGTGATATTATAGGACTATAGCGCTCAGCGTGGTGGCCCCAGCACAACCCAAGTGATGTTATAGGACTATAGCGCTCAGCGTGGTGGCTCCATCACAACCCAAGTGATATTATAGGACTATAGCGCTCAGCGTGGTGGCCCGAGCACAACCCAAGTGATATTATAGGACTATAGCGCTCAGCGTGGTGGCCCCAGCACAACCCAAGTGATATTATAGGACTATAGCGCTCAGCGTGGTGGCCCCAGCACAACCCAAGTGATATTATAGGACTATAGCGCTCAGCGTGGTGGCCCCAGCACAACCCAAGTGATGTTATAGGACTATAGCGCTCAGCGTGGTGGCACCAGGGAGACCACAGTGTCAACGGTGTTAAATCTCTGTTCCATTAAGGGGCGGTCGGGTAGCCTAGTGGTTAAAGCGTTAGCTCGTCACGCCGAAAAGCCGGGTTCGATTCCCGACATGGGTACAATGTGTGAAGCCCATTTCTGGTGTCCCCCGCCGTGATATTGCTGGAATATTGCTAAAAGCGGCGTAAAACCATACTCACTCACTCACTCTGTTCCATACCGATAAATACCATGGACCCATTCGCTGCCACAGTTTCGTTTTCAGCTCGAATTGCATGGAAAGACGCTAAGGCAAGCTGTGCGATTACTCTCATGAGCTAGCGGAATTCTGTGGTCAGTTACGAATACGAGAGAAGGAAATCGGGACGTTACTTACGAAACGAAGCAATGGTGGCGAGTGGGTCCAGCTCCGTGTGATCGGTACATGGTCTCTGTAATCTGTCCATGGTCTTTGTGTAATTTAAACATGCTCATTGATATACTTGCACTTATTCGTCACGACGGCTTTTCAGCCACATTGTTCCCAAATCGTCATGGATGTAGTATGACAGTCTGTATGAGCGTACGTCACACAGGGACCTTGTACTCAGTGAATTATTGTTTCCACTAAAATCCACGATAAGCAGCAGCGGCGTCAACAATTCGAGAGTAGTGTATTTGAATGGTATATGAATGGTGTGAAATAGATGATATATTAAAAGATGCACGGTGAGAATAGGATTTGTTTTCTGTGCCAAATGTGTATTTTTGGATACTTTGTCTACATGCTCAATAATTGCTCAGGTTTTCTGCATCCACGCAGTATGTGCACTTACAATAATGACGTCACCGTTTTGTGCGTCCCCAATTGCCAAAAGCTTCGAACAACGAAGCTTTGTTCCCCCTGCGAAAGCCCATTAGGACCATATTGGTATTTTGTTGTTAAAAGTCTTAATTCCGAGAAAAAAAAGTCGTAATTACGACTTTTCAAAACTCGCAATTACTGAAAATATTCGTAATTACGACTTTTCAAAACTCGGAAATACGACTTTTTCTAAACTTGTAATTACGAGACTTTTTTCTCGTAATTATATATACGACTTTTAAAAGAAAAAAGAAAAATACCAATTTGGTCCTAATGGGCTTTCATAGTTCCCCACTGCGTTCGTACCACTCCCTAGATTCGTCCTTAGCCTCCAATATTGACACTTTCCTGCATATATGCGTTGCGTTACGATTGTGACGATTTTGATGAATTTCTGTTTATCCAAGAGCCACGTGCTTTTCCTTGTATGTCAGTTATCTCCGCACGGGACAAAGGGAAGTAGTTAGGTAATTGTTTCACACATCAGACACAAGATTCGTAAACATCTAAGATAAATGTAGGATACATTGTAGAAGCACACTGACCAGAGTCCGTGCACGTTATCCGACTTCCATCTGCGACCCGCAGGTGACCCCCGTATCTCCCAAGCAAGGGGTTAGCGGAATACTGCGTGTCGTTGCTATCAGGGGGTGGTACTGTCTTGTGTAATATATACCAGCACCCAATACAAGGAAGTAACTACATGTGTTTCCAGGGAAGTACCCACATATAGCGAGACGTGACAAGCAAACAGAAAGCGCAAATGATTAAACGATCGATAACATTAAGGGGCGTTGGCCGTGAAACTTCCTGCCACTAAACAGTCTTCCCGGTGGTGCCCCGATCACGTGGTACGCTGCTCATGATTTCAGCCACTGGTTTGTCTGGCCCAGACTCGATTATTTACAATCTGCAGGATATGGCCAGAACAAATTGCTGACTGCGTCTTTAGAAGACATTCAGACACACGGACGGTAGTATTCAGTAGGTGGTTCTCACGTGCATAAACTGCGGGTAAACTGATGAAGTGTTCTAACCGCTGTTCAAAACGTAATACAGATAGAACAAGACAAGTTATATTGTCTTAAGAAATGAAATTACACTTAGTATTTCAAATGGGCTTAAACAGCAGCTTTATTTTACATGATCACAACCCTGATAACACTTAAACTATGGTACAGCTTTTCGGGACATTTTCATGAGTTTAATCTCGGACAGTTATAGGCAGGATACATGGACACTCCAAATGGCCGTTTTGTCCCAATCACTGTTGTTAGAGAAAACATGTTTCTGGGACGATGAAGGTAAATCCTTATAGCATCAAAGTACACTGCCAATAAACCCTGGAATTTTAATTCATTTAATATTTGACCAATGTTTTAATTAAAGTCCACTATTGTCCACAACTACCAGTCACTAGAGTGATGGCTTCAGTCATGCCTTGGTCCCCAGTAGTGGTCTGACTTAGTTGCTGGTGGCCACTAGCTCGCATGCATATGTTAGGAACTGTAATGCTGACTGTTTTGTTGATTACAGCTTTTAGTGTTTGAAATGGTTTGTTTTTAGACTTCAGTTTGTGATATTGTGCTAATATTTTACTGTCCTTTGTGACAGGTGTTTATCTCTATAAGTGTTCACGTCACCATGCATATGGCGGAGGTACTCCCGTGTGAAGTTAAATTTGAACTCACTTCTGGATACCTTTCGGGGTTTGGTTATCCTTTGATAATCTTGAACACACCGTATTTACAACGGACATTTCTAAATTTTAAATCTTTACCGCATATAAAAATACTTTGACTGTCGAAAAGTAGCGTTCTAAATATAAGAATTCCTTGCTCCAGTTGGCTGCGAGTACTTGGTATGTATAGACGGAGCCCAGAAACTACAGCAGGTCATTACCCTGCCTCTACGAGAACATATGTATGACCGAACTGGCAAGTTTAGTGGCTGATAGTAAATACATAACATGGCATAATAGTCGCTGATATATTGACTCCGAAGTTTTGGAGATTGACTGGGCTCGCGTCTACCTAAAAGCGCTAAGCTTGCTGCGCTAACAAATCATGGAACCGGTTTTTGTTGTCAGGAAACTGGTTCCTCTGTTCGTGTGCGAAGCATATTTATCCGTTACAGTTAGAAGACAGGAGCCCAGTTTATATCTCTATAGACGCTTTCATAATACGCACGTGACTGTGTCACCTGACGAAAATCATGTGACCGCTATTTGTATAACACCGCGACCACTGAGACAAGGAAGAATGGCCAGGTGGATTTTGCTGAGCTTTTTTTTAATCGCGGGATGTGCAGGGATAAAATACCAAAACAACTGGAAATCTCTTGACGCCAGACCTCTGCCGTCGTGGTACGATGAGTCTAAGGTTGGTATTTTCCTCCACTGGGGAGTGTTTTCTGTACCGAGTTACAGCAGCGAGTGGTTCTGGGAGCAATGGAAGATGGCCAAACAGTACAACGTTGTGTTGTTCATGATGGAGAACTACAGGCCAGACTTCACGTACGCTGACTTCGCCCCACAGTTCAAGGCAGAGTTCTACAGCCCATCGCGTTGGGCGGACATATTCCAGGCATCGGGTGCGAAGTAGGTATATATCTGCTTAACGTCTGCTCAGTGATGCGTGACTGTGATTGCTGCAAACATCTTCATTGTCTACCCTAGCTGCATACTCGATGGTGTGAACTCTTTCTTTCTTTCTTTGTTGTTTAACGCCACACTCAGCAATATCCGTGCTAAATTAGGTGGTCTGTAAATAATACTGTCTGGACCAGACAATCCAGTGATTGACATCACGAGCATCGGTTTACGCAATTATAAGATGACGTGCATGAACCAAGTCAGCGAGTCTGACCACCCGATCCTGTTAGTCGCCTCTTATAACGTCACACAACAGTAGCAGAAGGTTCTTCTAAATGTTAATAAACTTACAAGGCAGGCAATATATCAACAATGCCCGGGGTTTTCCGGTGTAATGACCTGATGAATACCTAGGTTTTACAATTAACATTTCATTAACTTGAATCTTGTTGATGTGAACAAAATTGTGTTTGATGATTTGTTAAAAGTCAAAATTATTTTTAACATGTAAATTCCATGATGTGAAACGAACCCTGCATCCTCATATATCGTGTTAAGTTTTGTAGCCCACTGTTTTCCCACTGAGCTACCAGGGCAAGTGATGAGCAGTTTTTAAGTTTGTCATGCCATGACTCCAACTAGTCCATGCTTGCACGTGGGTTTTCTCTCGCAGGCTTTGAGCGAATTCCTTTTATACTGCGATACGCTGTATTGTTTCACTATAAGGTATGTCAGTGTTTTCTTATTTTTTCTGGAATTTCTTGCATTTGGTTGGTTCATAAGTTGAATAAAACACGGCTCCTCGGTTTTGGCTAAAAATTAAAACCTTGGGCATGCTTTATCCTATACTTCTACCCAGGGTTTTCTTAAGTCGATGATGGGAACGGATCCGCCTCAGTGACACTTACCATGGACGTTGTAGCTAAGTCTGTTATACATGAGTGAAAGTCATGTAGTGTGTTACAGGTGAGTGAGTGTCATGCAGTGTTGATTAGTGTTACAGGTGAGTGTCATGCAGTGTTAAAGGATGTTACAGGTGAGTGAGTGTCATGCAGTGTTGAATGTCGTTACAGGTGTTACAGATAAGTGAGTGTCATGCAGTGTTAAGGGGTGTTACAGGTGAGTGAGTGTCATGTAGTGTGGAAGGGTGGTACAGATGAATGAGTGTCATGCAGTATTGATGGGTGTTACAGGTGTTACAGATAAGTGAGTGTCATGCAGTGTTGATGGGTGTTACAGGTGTTACAGATAAATGAGTGTCATGCAGTGTTGAAGGGTGTTACAGATAAGTGAGTGTCATGTAGTGTGGAAGGGTGTTACAGGTGAGTGAGTGTCATGTAGTGTGGAAGGGTGGTACAGATGAATGAGTGTCATGCAGTATTGATGGGTGTTACAGGTGTTACAGATAAGTGAGTGTCATGCAGTGTTGATGGGTGTTACAGGTGTTACAGATAAGTGAGTGTCATGCAGTGTTGAAGGGTGTTACAGATAAGTGAGTGTCATGTAGTGTGGAAGGGTGTTACAGGTGAGTGAGTGTCATGTAGTGTGGAAGGGTGGTACAGATGAATGAGTGTCATGCAGTATTGATGGGTGTTACAGGTGTTACAGATAAGTGAGTGTCATACAGTGTTGATGGGTGTTACAGGTGTTACAGATAAGTGAGTGTCATGCAGTGTTGATGGGTGTTACAGATAAGTGAGTGTCATGTAGTGTGGAAGGGTGTTACAGGTGAGTGAGTGTCATGTAGTGTGGAAGGGTGGTACAGATGAATGAGTGTCATACAGTGTTGATGGGTGTTACAGGTGTTACAGATAAGTGAGTGTCATGCAGTGTTGAAGGGTGTTACAGGTGTTACAGATAAGTGAGTGTCATGCAGTGTTAAAGGGTGTTACAGGTGAGTGAGTGTCATGTAGTGTGGAAGGGTGGTACAGATGAATGAGTGTCATGCAGTATTGATGGGTGTTACAGGTGTTACAGATAAGTGAGTGTCATGCAGTGTTGATGGGTGTTACAGGTGAGTGAGTGTCATGTAGTGAGTGTGGAAGGGTGTTACAGGTGAGTGAGTGTCATGTAGTGTGGAAGGGTGTTACAGGTGAGTGAGTGTCATGCAGTTTTGATGGGTGTTAGTGTCAGTGTTCCTGTTGCAGGTACCTTGTTCTGGTCACCAAGCATCATGAGGGATTCACCAACTGGCCATCTAACTACTCATTCAACTGGAACGCAAAAGATGTGGGACCCAACAGAGACCTTGTTGGTAGGCCATACTAAACAGACTCCAAGCCAGGGGCACCTGTGTCCGCCAAACTGTAGTGGGGGTTTCCTGTGGAGACGGATTTACTGTAGAGATAGGTTTACTGTAGGGATGGGTTTACTGTAGGGATGGGTTTACTGTAGAGATGGGTTTACTGTAGAGACGGATTTACTGTAGAGATAGGTTTACTGTAGAGATGGGTTTACTGTTGGGATGGGTTTACTGTAGAGATGGGTTTACTGTAGGGATGGGTTTACTGTAGAGATAGGTTTACTGTAGGGATGGGTTTACTGTAGAGATGGGTTTGCTGTAGGGATGGGTTTACTGTAGAGATGGGTTTACTGTAGAGACGGATTTACTGTAGAGATAGGTTTACCGTAGAGATGGGTTTACTGTTGGGATGGGTTTACTGTAGAGATGGGTTTACTGTAGAGATGGGTTTACTGTAGAGATAGGTTTACTGTAGGGATGGGTTTACTGTAGAGATGGGTTTACTGTAGAGATAGGTTTACCGTAGAGATAGGTTTACCGTAGAGATGGGTTTACTGTAGAGATGGGTTTACTGTAGGGATGGGTTTACTGTAGAGATGGGTTTACTGTAGAGATAGGTTTACCGTAGAGATAGGTTTACCGTAGAGATGGGTTTACTGTAGAGATGGGTTTACTGTAGAGATGGGTTTACTGTAGAGATGGGTTTACTGTAGAGATAGGTTTACTGTAGAGACGGATTTACCGTAGAGATAGGTTTACCGTAGAGATGGGTTTACTGTAGAGATGGGTTTACTGTAGAGATGGGTTTACTATAGAGATGGGTTTACTGTAGGGATGGGTTTACTGTAGAGATGGGTTTACCGTAGAGATGGGTTTACTGTAGAGATAGGTTTACTGTAGGGATGGGTTTACTGTAGAGATGGGTTTACTGTAGGGATAGGTTTACCGTAGAGATGGGTTTACTGTAGAGATGGGTTTACTGTAGAGATGGGTTTACTGTAGAGATGGGTTTACCGTAGGGATGGGTTTACCGTAGGGATGGGTTTACTGTAGGGATGGGTTTACTGTAGGGATGGGTTTACCGTAGAGATAGGTTTACTGTAGAGATGGGTTTACCGTAGAGATGAGTTTACTGTAGAGATGGGTTTACTGTAGAGATGGGTTTACTGTAGGGATGGGTTTACTGTAGAGATAGGTTTACTGTAGAGATGGGTTTACTGTAGAGATGGGTTTACTGTAGAGATGGGTTTACTGTAGGGATGGGTTTACTGAAGGAATAGGGTTTACTTTAGAAATTGGTTTAGTGTAGAGATGGGTTTACTGTAGAGATGGGTTTACTGTAGAGATGGGATTACTGTAGGGATGGGTTTACTGTAGGGATTGGTTTACTGTAGAGATTGGTTTACTGTAGAGATGGGTTTACTGAAGGAATAGGGTTTACTTTAGAAATTGGTTTAGTGTAGAGATGGGTTTACTTTAGGGGGGGATTTGCCAGTTAAAACTTGAATTAATACTGTGTTTAGTTCTGCTTCATATCAATAGGTCAGTAGGTCATTATAGCACGAAAGGGAGGTAATTCAGTGATGTTTGGATGAATGTAGAACCAATTTGTTCCCAGTAATTCGTCTTTATTAAAAAATACAAAAAATATTGTAATTATTGTAAGGCTTGACTGGAACTTTGTGACATGTTGTTAATGTTAACACTGTAAGCTGTGATGTGTTGTCAGGTGACCTGGCCGCTGCCGTGAGGAAGAGCACAGATCTCCACTTCGGCATCTACCACTCCCTGCTGGAGTGGTTCCACCCCCTTTACCTCCAGGACAAGGCAAACAACTGGACGACTAACAACTTCGTCATGGTGAGTGCCCCGCAGGCTGACCACAGAACTGATAAGGCGATGTGTTCTCATGCTGCAGTTAGCCGTACTACAGCTGTATTGTAACAGCTGTGTCCTAAGTGGTTGACACCAGGAACGAGAAAACACACTCCCATCGTCTAACACAGACTTATGATCATCTTGTGCTGAGGTCACCATGTGAAACAGGCCAAGGTCAGGCAGTGTCACCTTGTGACCTCTGGTGACATGTTAAGCTTGATGTATTGGCCATCACTTGGTGCTGTAGGAATGTAATTGTGACCCCATCACTTAGTGCTGTAGGAATGTTATTGTGAGCTCATCACTTGGTTCTGTAGGAATGTAATTGTGACCCCATCACTTGGTGCTGTAGGAATGTAATTGTGACCTCATCACTTGGTGCTGTAGGAATGTAATTGCGACCCCATCTCTCGGTGCTGTAGGAATGTAATTGTGACCCCATCACTTAGTGCTGTAGGAATGTATATGTGACCCCATCACTTGGTGCTGTAGGAATGTAATTGTGACCCCATCACTTAGTGCTGTAGGAATGTTATTGTGAGCTCATCACTTGGTGCTGTAGCAATGTAATTGTGACCCCATCAGTTGGTGCTGTAGAAATGTAATTGTGACACCATCACTAAGTGCTGTAGGAATGTAATTGTGACCCCATCACTTGGTGCTGTAGGAATGTAATTGTGACCCCATCACTTGGTGCTGTAGGAATGTAATTGTGACCTCATCACTTGGTGCTGTAGGAATGTAATTGTGACCCCAACTCTTAGTGTTGAGGAATGTAATTGTGACCCCATCACTTAGTGCTGTAGGAATGTAATTGTGACCCCATCACTTGGTGCTGTAGGAATGTAATTGTGACCCTATCACTTGGTGCTGTAAGATTATTTCTGTGACAGAGCAAGGCCATGCCAGAGCTGTATGAACTGGTAAAGGCGTACAAGCCGGAGGTGGTGTGGTCGGACGGAGACTGGGAGGCCCCCGACTGGTACTGGAACTCCACTGACTTCCTGGCTTGGCTGTACAACGAGAGGTGAGAGGTCACAGATGTGTGTAGGGTATGAGAGGTCACAGATGTGTGTAGGGTATGAGAGGTCACAGATGTGTGTAGGGTATGAGAGGTCACAGATGTGTGTAGGGTATGAGAGGTCACAGATGTGTGTAGGGTATGAGAGGTCACAGATGTGTGAAGGGTATGAGAGGTCACAGATGTATGTGGGGTATGAGAGGTCACAGATGTGTGAAGGGTATGAGAGGTCACGGATGTGTGTAGGGTATGAGAGGTCACAGATGTGTGTAGGGTATGAGAGGTCACGGATGTGTGAAGGGTATGAGAGGTCACGGATGTATGTGGGGTATGAGAGGTCACAGATGTGTGTAGGGTATGAGAGGTCACGGATGTTTCTAGGGTATGAGAGGTCACGGATGTGTGAAGGGTATGAGAGGTCACGGATGTGTCTAGGGTATGAGAGGTCACAGATGTGTGTAGGGTATGAGAGGTCACAGATGTGTGTAGGGTATGAGAGGTCACAGATGTGTGTAGGGTATGAGAGGTCACGGATGTGTGTAGGGTATGAGAGGTCACAGATGTGTGTAGGGTATGAGAGGTCACAGATGTGTGTAGGGTATGAGGTCATGGATGTTTCTAGGGTATGAGAGGTCACGGATGTGTGTAGGGTATGAGAGGTCACGGATGTGTGTAGGGTATGAGAGGTCACAGATGTGTGTAGGGTATGAGAGGTCACGGATGTTTCTAGGGTATGAGAGGTCACAGATGTGTGTAGGGTATGAGAGGTCACAGATGTGTGTAGGGTATGAGAGGTCACAGATGTGTGTAGGGTATGAGAGGTCACGGATGTGTGTAGGGTATGAGAGGTCACAGATGTGTGTAGGGTATGAGAGGTCACATGTGTGTAGGGTATGAGAGGTCACGGATGTGTGTAGGGTATGAGAGGTCACAGATGTGTGTAGGGTATGAGAGGTCACAGATGTGTGTAGGGTATGAGAGGTCACAGATGTGTGTAGGGTATGAGAGGTCACAGATGTGTGTAGGGTATGAAAGGTCACAGATGTGTGACAGGGGGATAAGGCTGCTGTTGTTACTCGGCATCACAATGATGACAGAGTATATGAGCTCCAGACAGATGAACCCAACATGGAACTGCTTGATAATATTTTTGTCATAATACTAAAACTAATTTAAGTTTCTCCAAATAGCAAAAAAGGTATTAAGTCATAAAAAATTCAATCCCTGGACTATTTCATTTATTTTAAGAGCTAAAGGTAAACACTTCTCCCATTGTATGTTTTACCAAATCAGCCCAGTGAAGGACTCTGTGGTTGTCAACGATCGCTGGGGCAGCAACACACGCTGCAAACATGGGGGATTCTGGAACTGCAATGACAAGTACAACCCAGGTGAGCATGGTGAGACCAATACAACTGAGGTGGGACAGCCAGCCAAGGTAAGATGGATGGCAGCTATATTGAACTTACTTAGGACGTCCTGAAGCCAGCCTTGATAATGCTGTTCAGTTGAAGTAATTCTGACATTCCCATTTGTTGGATCGAGTGAAGGATGACTCATTATGTTATTAATTGTTGAATGGTTAGACCTGATAAGTCCGATTTTTAATCAATATTTTCCAATGATTGTGCAGCATAGCATTCATTACTACAGGTCCTAAGGTACAGTGTAGGTCCTAAGGTACACTACAGGTACTAAGGTACACTACAGGTACTAAGGTACACTACAGGTACTAAGGTACAGTGTAGGTCTTAAGGTACAGTGTAGGTCTTAAGGTACAGTACAGGTCCAAAGGTTCACATCATGGTTTCCTTTGTTTGCAGGGAAGAAAGTGAGCCACAAGTGGGAGAACTGTATGAGTATTGACAAGGGGTCGTGGGGGTTCCGGCGCAACGCGGACATCGCCCAGCTGTACAGTATGCAGGAACTCATCTCACTGCTCGTGGAAACTGTCAGGTTTGTAGTGAACCTTGTGTGGGTATAGTTGTGGGGTGTTTAGTATGACACACACGATGTCCATGGACTTGAGAAGGTCTATTCAAGAAACACCCAGAAACTAAAACATACTATAATGCTGTAATATAGCAGATATAGTGATGATTAACAACTGCTGTAAGTATAACTATTGCTGTAACTTCTTCTGAGAGGCATTTAGAAGTTGGAGTACTAAGTAAGGATATATGGATGAAGAACTTCTTTATTACAATTAGGTGCAATGATGCGGTGTAGGTTCTAACACTGTTATCAGGCAGTGATTGATAACGGTGTAACAACCTACACCTAAATGTCGCTCTAATTGTAATAAAGAAGTTGTTCATCCATATGACTGTCTTATCCTTACTAAGTATTGCTATAGCTGAGGTGTGTTGTCTGGATGTAGTAAGTATTGCTACAATTGAGGTGTGTTGTCTGCCTGTAGTACATACAAGTATTGCTACAGTTGAGCTATGTTGTCTGCCTGTAGTATGTACAAGTATTGCTACAATTGAGGTGTGTTGTCTGCCTGTAGTATGTACAAGTATTGCTACAATTGAGGTGTGTTGTCTGCCTGCAGTACGTACAAGTATTGCTACAGTTGAGGTGTGTTGTCTGCCTGTAGTACGTACAAGTATTGCTACAGTTGGGGTGTGTTGTCTGCCTGTAGTACATACAAGTATTGCTACAGTTGAGTGGTGTTGTCTGCCTGTAGTACATACAAGTATTGCTACAGTTGAGCTATGTTGTCTGCCTGTAGTATATACAAGTATTGCTACAGTTGAGGTGAGTTGCTGCCTGTAGTACGTACAAGTATTGCTAGAATTGAGGTGTGTTGTCTGCCTGTAGTACATACAAGTATTGCTACAATTGAGGTGTGTTGTCTGCCTGTAGTACGTACAAGTATTGCTACAATTGAGGTGTGTTGTCTGCCTGTAGTACGTACAAGTATTGCTACAATTGAGGTGTGTTGTCTGCCTGTAGTACATACAAGTATTGCTACAATGGAGGTGTGTTGTCTGCCTGTAGTACATACAAGTATTGCTACAATTGAGGTGTGTTGTCTGCCTGTAGTACATACAAGTATTGCTACAATTGAGGTGTGTTGTCTGCCTGTAGTACGTACAAGTATTGCTACAATTGAGGTGTGTTGTCTGCCTGTAGTACGTACAAGTATTGCTACAATTGAGGTGTGTTGTCTGCCTGTAGTACATACAAGTATTGCTACAATTGAGGTGTGTTGTCTGCCTGTAGTACATACAAGTATTGCTACAATTGAGGTGTGTTGTCTGCCTGTAGTACATACAAGTATTGCTACAATTGAGGTGTGTTGTCTGCCTGTAGTACATACAAGTATTGCTACAATGGAGGTGTGTTGTCTGCCTGTAGTACATACAAGTATTGCTACAATTGAGGTGTGTTGTCTGCCTGTAGTACATACAAGTATTGCTACAATTGAGGTGTGTTGTCTGCCTGTAGTACGTACAAGTATTGCTACAATTGAGGTGTGTTGTCTGCCTGTAGTACGTACAAGTATTGCTACAATTGAGGTGTGTTGTCTGCCTGTAGTATATACAAGTATTGCTACAATTGAGGTGAGTTGTCTGCCTGTAGTATGTACAAGTATTGCTACAATTGAGGTGTGTTGTCTGCCTGTAGTACATACAAGTATTGCTACAATTGAGGTGTGTTGTCTGCCTGTAGTACATACAAGTATTGCTACAATTGAGGTGTGTTGTCTGCCTGTAGTACATACAAGTATTGCTACAGTTGAGGTGTGTTGTCTGCCTGTAGTGTGTACAAGTATTGCTACAATTGAGGTGTGTTGTCTGCCTGTAGTATATACAAGTATTGCTACAATTGAGGTGTGTTGTCTGCCTGTAGTACATACAAGTATTGCTACAATTGAGGTGTGTTGTCTGCCTGTAGTACATACAAGTATTGCTACAATTGAGGTGTGTTGTCTGCCTGTAGTACATACAAGTATTGCTACAGTTGAGGTGTGTTGTCTGCCTGTAGTGTGTACAAGTATTGCTACAATGGAGGTGTGTTGTCTGCCTGTAGTACATACAAGTATTGCTACAGTTGAGCTATGTTGTCTGCCTGTAGTATATACAAGTATTGCTACAGTTGAGGTGTGTTGTCTGCCTGTAGTGTGTACAAGTATTGCTACAATGGAGGTGTGTTGTCTGCCTGTAGTACATACAAGTATTGCTACAGTTGAGCTATGTTGTCTGCCTGTAGTATATACAAGTTTTGCTACAATTGAGGTGTGTTGTCTGCCTGTAGTACATACAAGTATTGCTACAATGGAGGTGTGTTGTGTGCTGTAGTTGTGGAGGGAACCTGCTGGTGAACGTGGGCCCCACCAGCTACGGGATGATCGCCCCCATCTACGAGGAGCGGCTGAGGCAGATGGGACAGTGGCTTGACGTCAACGGCGAGGGCATCTACGGCACAACAACCTGGCAGTACCAGAACGATACCGTCAACCCCGATGCCTGGTCAGTATATGGATTTGTGGCTCATGTACCGGTTATCTGTGATTGAGTGTGGTTTTATGCCGCTGTTAGCAATATTCCAGCAATATCACGGCAGGGGACACCAGACATGCACTAGAAGGAGACCTTGACCCAAGGCAAAGGAGGCTACTCAAGTTTAAAACCAATTTTAGCTAACCTCTTTATTGTTACAAATGAGACCGACTGTGGTGACCCCGTGACTCTACCCCACTTTTTAAACACATCCCACAAACAACAAACATGGCTGACAGTCCCCATAATAGAACAAAGTACATCTGTAAGTGCCACAATCTTTTTCCATTTGTTACCATTGTTCTTTACAGATTCTTGTCCCTATTTGAAACTGCGGTGCAGAATTGACATGAATGATTTTCCAGGTACACTGCCAAGAAGGGAGCCGCTGGTTTAGACGTCTACGCTATCCTCCTAAAGTGGCCGATGACCTCCCAGTTGGTGCTTGGTGCCCCGATCCCGTCGGCAGCCACCAACATTACCATGCTGGGGTATGAGGGGCAGTTTGAGTACACCAAGAACCCCCAAGGGGGGATCACCATCACCCTGCCGACCATTCCTTTCAACAGGATACCCTGCCAGTGGGGGTGGACCTTCAAGATGGTGGGGCTAGCCAACTGATCAACTGGCTCCGCGCACATAGCTCAGGACGCAACATCCTCATCTTTAAAACTTTTATAACTATTTTAGTATTTTGTTTATGATCTTATCTTTTTACATGTTTTGATGAATCAAAGTTGATAAGTATGTTTTTGTACAGATATAAAAGTTGTACTTATTTATTTGTTTTATATGAACTCTTTGAAGGCCTTATGATGTTGGGCCACTTATGGTTCGAGTAGTGCTGGCAATTGGAGCAGCTGGATGAGGAAGGCTGATTCACTTATGCAATATTAAACCCAGGGATATGATACACAATCACTTCATTCCATGTCAGTATGTATCATGTCACGAGTAGTTTAATTGACTTGAGTACCTGGTCGTAATTTGTCTTCATGACAGAGCTCCACCACACAGCAGTACATGTCTTCTTTGATGCTGGTGGTGTTGTGGTACCCTGAAGGGAGGCTTGGAAACTGTTTGATTCACCCACGTTTACATGTTTCTGTATGAAGTATATTGAATAAACCTTGTTGCCTTCTAGTGATTGAATTGTTCATCTTTCCCTTGATGTCTGCTTGTGAATGTCATTTGCAATCTGCCCATGCGGAAGTCACAAGCGCCCCTGGAGTGGGTGGTCAGACTTGACTAAACCTGCCCCAGTGCCCCTGGTGAGGGTGGTCAGACTAAACCTGCCCAGTGCCCCTGGAGAGGGTGGTCAGACTAAACCTGCCCCAGTGCCCCTGGAATTGGTGGTCAGACTAAACCTGCCCAAGTGCCTCTGGAGAGGGTGGTCAGACTAACCCCAGTGCCCCTGGAGAGGGTGGTCAGACTAAACCTGCCCAAGTGCCCCTGGAGTTGGTGGTCAGACTAAACCTGCCCCAGTGCCCCTGGAGAGGGTGGAATCGTCTCAGTCCAGCAACCATCCATTTCCCTTGCACAGACAAGACAGCCTTCTGTGATGTACAGTAGTAATATTGCATCATCCAAGTGTCAGCAATGTATGTAGCCCATGTCCGGTGTTATAAATACAATATTCTGTCGATGCAGGATGTGTGTTACTGGTGTTCAGTGTTTATCAGTGTTTATGCACTAGTCTATGCCTCGTACATGTTCCTGGTTATCTGATAAACAAACATGGAATACTTGAATCACAGTTTATTGTAGTCTACAGTTTGTGTACATGGTTCATTACAAGAAGAACAAGAGTGTGCCACTAACGTGGCTATATCCCCTGCCCCTGTTGCAGAATTTATGACATAATTAAATCTAAACCAAGGTGGAACTTGTCATGGAAATTGTAAAAAAAGAAGAGTTTGGAACCTAAGTCCATCTTGTTGCCATGGAAACGTAAAAAATAAAAATTTCTAAATAGCAAAAGGCACCAGTTCAGCATGTACCTGACAAACCTGCAAAGTTTCATGAGTTATGCTACAGAAACGAACCCTACCCTCACAGAACCGAAGTCCATCTTGTTGCCATGGAATCGTAAAAAATAAAAATGCAATAACATCTGCAGGAACTCTTGGCTCCACAGTCGCCAATGGATGTCTTGGTATTTGATTGATGAGTGCTGTTATCACAGTTCAATGTTGTTGATTTTACACAATGGTCCGATATTTCTTGGTAAAGATACCATTTGTAGTTTCTTCCCAAAAAGGTTAAACAAAACAGTGATTTTCATGAAATAACCTATGTCCATAAAATAAGTAACAACGTTTTAAAAATATAAGGTAGATTTGTCCATAAATAATAATAAAAGAATGCCATCCTTTCTAAGCTCGTTCCTCATTCATGTATATTACTAACATAAATCACGAACATGTATGATTAGCATTCTGTGATAATGCTTGTTAGCAACATTTTAATTCTGGATATAAACATCTAAAACCAGTTTGTTTACATGAGATTAACATTGCAAAATTGCAAACAGGTAGTAAAAAAATATATTGTTTTTCTTGAAAACATGTTTGAACGAAAATTTCAAAACATTTTGTTCTACATGATCTGGGACTGACAACCCACCACCATGACACTCCATTTTATTTCACAATAAACTGGCATGATCAGACTCAGTGCTTGAAGCACGTACAGAACATGGACGGCAAGAGTATAAGTAGGCCTTGCATCATACTGGGCCACCACAAGAAATACTGTGCAGAATAACACTCAAATCTTGAAAAAATCCTTCAATCATTTTAGAAAGTAAGTCTAATCTCCTTCAGCAGATGTTTGTAATACATTTTATGTTTTCAACACAGGTTATCTCCCTTTAAATGAGACCGCTTGGCCAAATGATTGTTTTGTTTTTCTTTTTTCTTTGTTGTTTAACGCCACACTCCGTAATATTACACTTATATGATGGCGGTTTGTAAATAATCAAGTCTGGACCAGACAATCCAGTGATTGACATCATGAGTATTGATCCACAGAACTGGAATACAATGACATGCATCAACCAAGTTAGCGAGTCTGACCACCAAAGCCCGTTAGTAGCCCCTTACGACAAGCATAGTTGCCTTTTACGTCAGACTGCCTGCGTAGTCTAGTGGTAGAGCGTCCGCCCTGAGACCAGAAGGTTCGGGGTTCGATTCCCGGCCGCGTCATACCAAAAGATGTTAAAAGATGGTACTTGTTGTTACCCTGTCTGGCGCTCGGCATTAAGGTGCTAATACAAGGACTGGTCGGCTCGGAGTCACAGTCACAGTATACTGTGTCTGACTGGGGTATTCATGTTAAACTGCGGCATGGTATCTCAGTGGGCTAGCACTATAAATCGGCATCAGTCCGGACTAGTACAAGCAGCCACACACACAGGTGCATGCATGTCACTATATAAGTCCAATAATCTTCGATGCAACGTTAAACCCCATTTCACCTCACCTCACCTTTGACGTCAAGCATGGGTTGCTGAAGACCTATTCAACCCCAGATATATGTCTTTTGACATTTCTTGATAAAACTACTGTAGACACATCCAAGGGTGATTATTGCTACTGGTGATGACATGTACTGGCTTTGTTAGAATGTAAACATCTTCAGAACCTTAACATTGAAGTATCTACACAATGACACACGTGTACACAATAAAACATGTACACGTATACAATAATACATGTATACACAATAACATATAATAAAACATACAAGTAAAGTACATCTAGTGAAACATACATATATATATCTTCATGAAAAAGTCATGTATATCTTTATGAAACGCACATGTTTTTTGCCATCAAAGTCAATAAAAGATAATAAAACAGTCGAGTTCTAAATGCTAAACATGCCTGTGTTTGGTCAGATCTGCTGTGAGGTCTGGAGTAACCGTTGTCGAGGCTGAGCTGCTTGTGGTGTGGACGGATTACATGACACGCGGACAGTGACTTATATACACTATCCTATACACAGACAGTGACATATACACTATCCTATACAAGGACAGTGATTTATATACACTATCCTATACACGGACAGTGACTTATACACACTATCCTACACACAAACAGTGACATATACACTATCCTATACACGGACAATGACATATACACTATCCTATACAAGGACAGTGACTTATACACTATCCTATACACGGATAGTGACATATACACTTTCCTATACACGGACAGTGACTTATACACACTATCCTACACACAGACAGTGACATATACACTATCCTATACACAGACAGTGACATACACACTATCCTATACACGGACAGTGACTTATATACACTATCCTACACATGGACAGTGACATATACACTATCCTATACACGGACAGTGACTTATTTACACTATCCTATACACAGACAGTGACAAATACACACTATCCTATACAAGGACAGTGACTTATACACACTATCCTACACACATACAGTGACTTATTTACACTATCCTATACACGGACAGTGACATATACACACTATCCTATACAAGGACAGTGACTTATACACACTATCCTATACACGGACAGTGACTTATTTGCACTATCCTAGACACGGACAGTGACATATACACTATCCTATACACGAACAGTGATTTATTTACACTATCCTATACACGGACAGTGACATATACACTATCCTATACATGGACAGTGACTTATACACACTATCCTACACACCAAGAAGAAGAATGTCCTTGCTGTATTATGCCATAAAGAAAATATGAATCTATCACAGTCAACAGTGCTACCATTCTGCCTCAAAAGAAATGTTGAACATTCACATATATAATCAAACTGGTAGCATTTTGATTTGACATTGTAATTTAGTTAACATGGCGGTCACACAAGGGTAAAAGCACTAAGCTGTTGTCAGTAGTCAGTGGGGCACTGTTTAATCAATGTGATTGTGTCATGTTGCTCTTCTCCAAGACTGACAGGATTTCCAACGACTGATCTTGTTCAACCATCAGGTTATGAAGTAAGCTTCATCATCTTTCAGTGACAATATTCCACATAATATTAGTTGACAAAATAGCAACAAGAATTAAAACCTCCATCTGAAGTAAGGCAAATCTGGCTGGAGGGAATCAGAAGCTGGGACTATCACTGGGACAATTTTGATCCTGAGGTAAGGAGTTGAGTGATATATTAAGTACAGTCACGAAGAAACACTTCCAACTATGAATGTATGTACCCTGTGTCCCCAACACTTTCCTGGGTCCTTGAGTGACGAGCTGCTCATCTTGGTACTGTCACAAATACAGGTTCCCTAGGGACACGATCTCATTAAAATCAGATCTTAGTTCTCGCTACCGCTAAACAAAGATCTGAGGACATCCCATTACGGGTCACGTCAGACCGACCTTGCGCGAACTTTGACCAACCCATGGAATGACCAATCAGAAGGCACCTTTCTCTTGCTTTATGGCATTAATTTCAAATTGGCGACTACACTTCGAAACATATTTTGACAAATTCTCGATTACAGATTTGAAACCTGAACAAAAAAACATTCTGGAATGGCTAATAGATGGTCTAGATTGTATGGACTCAGTCGTTAAACCCGTAACTATCGTTCGGAGTTAAAGTTTTTGAGGTTGCATGATTAGAAATCACATTCCGACTGTCACTTTCATAATCTGGTAAGCTGTGCTCTGATTGGTCAGATGAAAGGTCGTTCTGACATGACCCCTAATGGGATGTCTTCAGATCTTTGTTTAGCTGTAGCGAGAACTGAGGTCTGATTTTAATGAGATTGCCTAGGGACACTAAATAAATCCAACAGATACTGGCTTACAGAGAGCACTGGAGTAGTGATATGCTGATTTACAGAGAGTGCTGAAGAAGAGCATCACTGGAATTTTAAGGTATTATCCTGTCAATCATCCTCTTCTCTTTTATGCATCCTCCTCCTCATCGCCGTGGGTGACCTCGGAGATGGTCAGCCCATGTAGGCTTCCATGTGAGCGACTGGTGTGCCCCTCCCGTGAACGCCGTCCCCCTTCCCCCCGAGTCTGACCGTCCACAAGCAGCTCCATCATGTGCATCATCTGGCTCAGCTTCATGGTGTTCTGCCCCACCTGTTCAGACAGGTCGTCCACACACTGACGCACGTAGGCCGTCTCACCAGTCGCAGGTCTGAAAATTCACAAACACTTCTTATCAATGATGACAAAATATACCCTTGGGCACAGCTTTAACAGTGCGGCTGTATTTACCCATCCCAACTAATGAGGCCATAATTTACCCACCCCGACAAGGAGTCTGTATTAACTGACCCCAACAATGAAGCTGTATTTACCGACCCCAACAATGAAGCTGTATTTACCGACCCTAACAATGAGGCTGTATTTACCGACCCCAACAAGGAGGCTGTATTTACCGATCCCAACAATGAAGCTGTATTTACCGACCCTAACAATGAGGCTGTATTTACCGACTCCAAGAAGGAGGCTGTATTTACCGACCCCAATAATGAAGCTGTATTTACCAACCCCAACTAATGAGGCCATAATTTACCCACCCCAACAAGGAGTCTGTATTTACTGACCCCAACAATGAAGCTGTATTTACCGACCCTAACAATGAGGCTGTATTTACTGACCCCAAGAAGGAGGCTGTATTTACCGACTCCAAGAAGGAGGCTGTATTTACCGACCCCAACAATGAAGCTGTATTTACCGACCCTAACAATGAGGCTGTATTTACCGACCCCAACAATGAAGCTGTATTTACCGACCCCAACAAGGAGGCTGTATTTACCGACCCCAAGAAGGAGGCTGTATTTACCGACCCCAACAATGAAGCTGTATTTACCGACCCTAACAATGAGGCTGTATTTACCGACCCTAACAATGAGGCTGTATTTACCGACCCCAACAAGGAGGCTGTATTTACCGACCCCAACAAGGAGGCTGTATTTACCGACCCTAACAATGAGGCTGTATTTACCGAGCCCAACAAGGAGGCTGTATTTACCGACCCCAAGAAGGAGGCTGAATTTACCGACCCCAACAATGAAGCTGTATTTACCAACCCTAACAATGAGGCTGTATTTACCGACCCCAACAATGAAGCTGTATTTACCGACCCTAACAATGAGGCTGTATTTACCGACCCCAACAAGGAGGCTGTATTTACCGACCCCAACAAGGAGGCTGTATTTACCGACCCTAACAATGAGGCTGTATTTACCGACCCTAACAATGAGGCTGTATTTACCCAGCTCTAAATGAGGCTTGAGGTTGTATTTATCCAGCCTTATAATGAGGCTTAATTTACCTGGGTGCTGTCATGGTGTCCAGGGTAGCAAGCTGCTGCATCTGTTCCTCCGTGAGTGATTGTTGACCTGACTGAGACACGGTCTCTCTGATCATCTCCAGCTCATGCATCACATTCTCTATTCTGAAACAAGCGGACATCTTTGGTTATACAGTGTTAACCAGGGATGTTGCTCAACTTAGTGCTATCCATACACACCATGGAGATTCGGGATTAGAAGAGGTCCCCAACAATCTATGCCTGTTATATGAGTTGAGGTAAAACGGGTGCAAGATTATTGCACTTATATTGCGACATGTATGCATGTGTGTGGCTGCTAGACCGGACTAATGCTCTACCACTAGATCAAAGCAGCAGTCTTGTCCTATGAGGTGACTAACAACATTGGGTGTTCATTCTTGGTGGCTGTGTGTCAATGTACCCAAATGGGATGCTGATTATAATATCAATCTGTATTTTGTCTGGTCCAGACTGAATATTAACAGGCTTCCATCACACAGTAACGCTTAGTGCCAAACAGAACAACCGACAAACATATTTGTATACCCAAACTATGTTTGTTGAATGATTTGTATTGGTAGCATCATAATGATGAGTAGGTTGATGTAATGAAGTTGACTCGGGTGTCCTGATGACATTGTGTGACAATCCCAGCACTGGGGTGTCCTGATGACATTGTATGACAGTCCCAGCACTGGGATGTCCTGATGACATTGTATGGCTGTCCCACCACTAGGGTGTTGTGATGACACTGTATAACACTAGGGTGTCATGACACTTTGACACTAGGGTGTTGTGATGACACTGTATGACACTAATATGTTGTGATGACACTGTATGACACTAGGGTGTTGTGATGACACTAGGGTATCGTGATGACACTAGGGTGTCTTGATGACACTGTATGACACTAAGGTGTTGTGATGACACTGTATGACACTAAGGTGTTGTGATGACACTGTATATCACTAGGGTGTTGTGATGACACTAGGGTATTGTGATGACACAGTATGACACTAGGGTGTTGTGATGACACTGTATGACACTAAGATGTTGTGATGACACTGTATGACACTAAGGTGTTGTGATGACACTGTATGACACTAGGGTGTTGTGATGACACTAGGGTATTGTCATGACACTGTATGACACTAGGGTGTTGTGATGACACTGCATGACACTAAGGTGTTGTGATGACACTGTATGACACTAGGGTGTTGTGATGATACTAGGGTATTGTGATGACACTGTATGACACTAGGGTCTTGTGATGACACTGTATGACACTAAGGTGTTGTGATGACACTGTATGACACTAGGGTGTTGTGATGACACTTGGATGTTGTGATGACACTGTATGACACTAAGGTGTTGTGATGACACTGTATGACATTAAGGTGTTGTGATGACACTGTATGACACTAAGGTGTTGTGATGATACTGTGTGACACTAAGGTGTTGTGATGACACTGTATGACACTAAGGTGTTGTGATGACACTGTATGACACTAAGGTGTTGTGATGACACTGTATGACACTAGGGTGTTGTGATGACACTATATGACATTAGGGTGTTGTGATGACACTAGGGTGTCGTGATGACAATGTATGACGATCCCGCTCACCTCTCAGCTGTAGAGGCCACTCGGTTGTCCAGCTGTTCTCGGCGTCGTATCATGGATCTGGACAAATAATTTTCCATTGCAACTTTCTCAAATATTTGGAGTCTGGCATATTCTTTCTCATTCAGTCGCTCCTCTGTAAACAGAAGATAGATTTAACATATTAGTGTCGGAGAAAATAAAATCAATTTACAAAATCCTTCTATTATCTGGAGCAGTGTGAAGACATGATGTGTAGATGGCATGTGATTCTTCACCCCCAAACTATCATGTAATAGTTTCCAAAGGAATATCAACCGGTGCTTGTCGTAAGAGGAATCTAAAATGGATCAAGAAAGACAAGTTTTATAGATGAACAACTTCTTTATTACAATTAGTGAGACCTTTTGGTGTAGATCCTAACACCTTTATCAAGCAAGTGATGGATAGTGCTTGATAAAGGTGTTAGGAACTACACCGAAACGTCACACTAATTGTAATAAAGAAGTTGTTCATCCATAGAACTTGTCTTTCTTCATCACACCAACTTCTAAATGCCACTTAAAGAAGTTAAAAAGGATCAGGTAGCTCTTACATTCTTCTCAAGATCAGTTTTCAGTTGTTATTGACACCTTGTCACTTGGATGTAAAACAGCTCCAACCTTGCCCTTGTCATGTGTTGAGTGATGTTACTGGACCACTATGTGTATGGTGTTCTAGGATAATGTCCATGTGTGGTCAGTGATGGAAGATCTAACATGCCATGATTAGGAAGCGTTAGTTGGTAAACAAAATTAAGTTGACTGCCTAATTCACTATGTTAAAACTATCTACCATAGTTCACATCCACACCTAACATGCTGGCATGTGGTCCTGTTCACAGGTCACAAAGCAGGTGACTTTGATAAAAAATGCCTCTGTTCTTCCATCAGTGAATGGGTACCCAGTAGGACAAGATGGGAATGTGACTGTCCAAGGGCCAGTACGTCAACCGTGGGGAAGCATTGTTTGTAAACAATAGCTGATAACCCCTAAGATTACTCGACTATTCTCGCCTGTCTCTGCGAGAGTAGGATTATCATGTGACCCGACTTGTCACTTGTTTGTAAACAAATGCACTTATTCTGAAATAAGAACAGATGGGCCTACTGCAAGCCTTTTGGTGCGCATTACATACTGTTTTGTATAATTATGTAGATATGTTACTTCAAGTATGAGAATGAGGGGCATGACAGTATAGCTCTACACATCAAAGTGACTGTATCACTACCACTCCGTACGGCTGCAGGTTCTACTACACCAAATCAGAACCAGTTGGGACAGTGCGGTTTTCGTAGGGAGTCTTCAGTGCAGATCGAGAGATATCTGCAGGCTGTGATTGGAGGATATTCTGTATATTTTTTATGTCTTTTAAATGTACATCCATCCAGTTATTAAAACTGACCATGTTTTACTATATTTAGTACTGTCTTTTTCAACATGATGACTTATGCTGAATGTGACAACAGCTATTTTCAATTAGGTGACATTTGGTGCGAAACTGGGGGTGGTGTGTTTAGCTTCCTGTACTCGGAAAAGGAGCTGGCTAAGCTAGTCATTTTTTTATGTTTTTATTGCTGCTCTAAGGCCAAACTGTGCACACACGTATAGGTAATAGCTGTTGAATACTTTATTTAAAAAAAAAATATAACGTTACTATAGAAGTCTATGGGAAAACATTTGGTTGTGTGTAACCTGCAGGCCTCAAAGTTTAAATTTTATTAAGTAGCCATATGGCTACAAGTATTCTTTTTCCAGGTAGCCAGTAGTAAAATCAAGAAGTCAAGCCAATATTTACGTAGCCAAAAGCATTTGAAATGATCTTTTATCAAATAACCATAATCTGAACAAGTCATAGCACTAAGCTTGGAATTGTATATTAGTGGAAACTGAACTTGAGTTTTGTTATTTGTGACTCAACAATGATGCAATTTATGTTACTAGATTATATAGGTATATCCTTGCTTATCCAATAAACTATCAACTAAAATAAAATACTAATTACATTAATATTTATGTATTTCGGTTCATTGTTGACTTTAGGAGGAATTATTTGTGAGTAGTTAGTAGCAGACATGCTATTTTTGTGTCTACATATGTGTAGCAATATAATTTTGTCGCCACAGGATATTTTTCAAGGTAGTCATTTGGCTACCTCTGAATTTTAGACAGTAGACAAATTGAAATTTAGGTCGCATTGGCGACCATTTTAGTTGTAACTTTGAGACCTTCCGGCTTCTATGACAGCATGTGGAGCCGTACAACCAACATAAACAAATGACAAATACACAAATGGAAGTAGTTTGGGTAGGAGAGTGCAACGTGACCGGCTTCATACCACCTAGGCCGTAATACCGTAATACCGAAATACTGTCATGTAGGCTGTGATAAACACTGTCTTCTAATCCAATCAATCTAGCAGTCAGTATTTTGTAACTCTTCGTTAAGAATTAATCACAAGATTACTCTTCAATTTTAATAAAAAGATGACCGAAGCAAGATATTCAGTGCAGAGCTTAGGTTGTCAGTTTCCCTGTGCGAAGCTGTAATGTTTTGGTTTGAGAATTAAATCGTGTATGAACTAAACGTGTGACACCACACTCAGAAATTATTTCATGCATGATTTAAAAACACCCAAAACCATCAACATACTTGCCCCTTAACCTCGCACCTCACAGGGAGCTTGGGTTGTATACTCCCAAGGAAGTTGAGAATGAAAATTGAGTGCACACTGATCCATTGACCGGGTCATAATAATGTAGAGCTCACTTGAGTGGAGTTTGGAGGATTAGAAATAGGCTTATTATTTTCTGTCTTGATCATTAATAATATTACGAATGCCTTCTGATGTCGTGACCAGTTTGACGCCACGATATCCCTCTCAAGGATCGGAACATACTGTGTGGGTACCACACACCACCTGCTGCCCTCAGTCCTATTCCAGACAATGAACGTCTGTCAGGGATTAATCCCCTGAGGAGGCAACAGAAGGCATCTTCCATGTTGTTACTACTTCTTGGCGTAAGCTGACATAAGTAGTGGACATGGCAATCAATAGGAAAAATGGGGGCACGTGTGGCCCAGTCGTCTAAGGCGCCGCGATTCGCTGTGCAGAGTTGCGTCCCTTGGCCACGCCAGAAACCTATGATTGTGAGTTCGAATCCCGGTTCGACCCTATTATGTTTCTAGGTTTGTCAGCACCATACCCGTGCTCGTGGGTTTCAACGAAGTGGTAAACGTCTGAGACCTGCATCACTTGGGGCTTTCCTCCCACATTAAGCTGACACGCCGTGATATGACTGTAATACTGTTAAAAGTGGCGTTAAACCCAACTCACTCACTCAATAGGAAAAATGGAAATAGAGTAAAACAGACAATAAAAAATGAAAGGCCAAATTGGCACCAAGACAAAACAATCTGCCACTGAGTTTAAAACTGATCTCCAGTGTTTGTCTTGCGGCACAATTCATCGAGCCAATCTCAGCCCCCAACCACCTTCACATAATAAATGACCAGTCCCTAAATAGTCCACATCCTTCAGTTCATATATCACAAGTGTATAAAAGATATCCGTGATAAATCGCAGAGAACAATGAAGAACGAATTGTGGTCTATTTCAGGATAAATCACTGTTCTATCATGACATTATTTCTGGAGATTCAAACATGCGCTACGTTATTTTGGGGAGGGGAGTGTCTAGTGAGTTGTTCCCCAAAGATGTTGCTTGGCTACACAGATAAACGCGATGGCTGACCGATCGCATCCAAACGCAGGAGAGATATGACAATCAGTATTGAGAGAAAACTTACAGGTTATCGACATTAGATTGAGGGAATATGCATGAAATCCCAACTTGTGCATGAAATGGACTTTTCTTATATTGCTGAGGTTGTGAGTCATCAATATTAAAATACGGGTAATTATTCTTAAATCTCGTAATTTTATTATCATCCTTGAAGATGCTGTACATAATGTTGATATCTCATATAAGAACCTTATCACTTAAGCTTAGCATACTCACCGACAAAAGAAACCTGAATACCATTCATGTTGGTTAAAATAAAACATATTACTCATATTCAAGAGACATTATATTGGTTCAATGCATAAACGGACATACTGGTATGTTGTGTGAACCGACGCTCATGAACGCATCACATGTGATGTCATAAATCCATGACTCGAGATGCACCATTTTTCTGGTTGCGAGATTTGGAAAGTTTGGAAGTCACGTGCAGCATATCGTGATAAGAATAAAGAAACTCTGTGGTAACACTTGACTGATTGTTAGTTTTGTCATTAAATGGTACACATTAGAAATATGTTCTCTTAACGTACATACTTCTCTATATTTTTCTATGGTTCGCGTTTCTTTTGGCGGTGAGTATAAATTTTGTATCCGCTACACTTATTTAAGAAATGAACGACTTGTGGTTGTTGTTTATCATGATGTATAGCATCAGTTCCTTTATGTTTATCATGATGTATAGCATCAGTTCCTTTATGTATATCATGATGTATAGCACCAGTTCCTTTATATATATCATGATGTATAGCATCAGTTCCTTTATGTATAGCATGATGTATAGCATCAGTTCCTTTATGTATAGCATGATGTATAGCATCAGTTCCTTTATGTATATCATGATGTATAGCATCAGTTCCTTTATGTATATCATGATGTACCGGGTATAGCATCAGTTCTTGTATTTATATCATGATGTATAGCATCAGTTCTTGTATTTATATCATGATGTATAGAATCAATTCTTGTATTTATATCATGATGTATAGCATCAATTCTTGTATTTATATCATGATGTATAGCATTAATTCTTGTATTTGTATCATGATGTATAGCATCAGTTCTTTTATTTATATCATGATGTATAGCACCAGTTCTTGTATTTATATCATGATGTATAGAATCAATTCTTGTATTTATATCATGATGTATAGCATCAATTCTTGTATTTATATCATGATGTATAGCATTAATTCTTGTATTTCTATCATGATGTATAGCATCAGTTCTTGTATTTATATCATGATGTATAGCATCAGTTCTTGTATTTATATCATGATGTATAGCATTAATTCTTGTATTTATATCATGATGTATAGCATCAGTTCTTGTATTTATATCATGATGTATAGAATCAATTCTTGTATTTATATCATGATGTATAGCTTCAATTCTTGTATTTATATCATGATGTATAGCATCAATTCTTGTATTTGTAATATGATGTTTAGCATCAGTTCTTGTATTTATATCATGATGTATAGCATCAGTTCTTGTATTTATATCATGATGTATAGAATTAATTCTTGTATTTATATCATGATGTATAGCATCAGTTCTTGTATTTATATCATGATGTATAGCATCAGTTCTTGTATTTATATCATGATGTATAGCATCAGTTCTTGTATTTATATCATGTATAGCATCAGTTCTTGTATTTATATCATGATGTATAGCATCAGTTCTTGTATTTATATCATGTATAGCATCAGTTCTTGTATTTATATCATGATGTATAGCATCAGTTCTTGTATTTATATCATGATGTATAGCATCAGTTCTTGTATTTATATCATGATGTATAGCATCAATTCTTGTATTTATATCATTATATATAGCATCAGTTCTTGTATTTATATTATGATGTATGGCACCAGTTCTTGTATTTATTAAATGATGTATAGAATCAATTCTTGTATTTATATCTTGATGCATAGCATTAGTTCTTGTATTTATATCATGATGTATAGAATCAATTCTTGTATTTATATTATGATGTATAGCATTAGTTCTTGTATTTATATCATGATGTATAGCATCAGTTCTTGTATTTATATCATGATGTATAGCATTAGTTCTTGTATTTATATCATGATGTTAGAATCAATTCTTGTATTTATATCATGATGTATAGCATCAGTTCTTGTATTTATATCATGATGTATAGCATCAGTTCTTGTATTTATATCATGATGTATAGCATTAGTTCTTGTATTTATATCATGATGTTAGAATCAATTCTTGTATTTATATCATGATGTATAGCATCAGTTCTTGTATTTTCTAAATGATATATAGCATCAGTTCTTGTATTTATATCATGATGTATAGAATCAATTCTTGTATTTATATCTTGATGCATAGCATTAGTTCTTGTATTTATATCATGATGTATAGCACCAGTTCTTGTATTTATATCATGATGTATAGAATCAATTCTTGTATTTATATTTGATGTATAGCATTAGTTCTTGTATTTATATCATGATGTATAGCATCAATTCTTGTATTTATATCATGATGTATAGCATCAGTTCTTGTATTTATATCATGATATATAGCATCAGTTCTTGTATTTATATCATGATGTATAGCATCAATTCTTGTATTTATATCATTATATATAGCATCAGTTCTTGTATTTATATTATGATGTATGGCACCAGTTCTTGTATTTATTAAATGATATATAGCATCAGTTCTTGTATTTATATCATGATGTATAGAATCAATTCTTGTATTTATATCTTGATGCATAGCATTAGTTCTTGTATTTATATCATGATGTATAGCACCAAGTCTTGTATTTATATCACGATGTATAGAATCAATACTTGTATTTATATTATGATGTATAGCATTAGTTCTTGTATTTATATCATGATGTATAGCATCAGTTCTTGTATTTATATCATGATGTATAGCATTAGTTCTTGTATTTATATCATGATGTTAGAATCAATTCTTGTATTTATATCATGATGTATAGCATCAGTTCTTGTATTTTCTAAATGATATATAGCATCAATTCTTGTATTTATATCATGATGTATAGAATCAATTCTTGTATTTATATCTTGATGCATAGCATTAGTTCTTGTATTTATATCATGATGTATAGCACCAGTTCTTGTATTTATATCATGATGTATAGAATCAATTCTTGTTTTTATATCATGATGTATAGCATTATTTCTTGTATTTATATCATGATGTATAGCATCAGTTCTTGTATTTATATCATGATGTATAGAATCAATTCTTGTATTTATATCTTGATGCATAGCATTAGTTCTTGTATTTATATCATGATGTATAGCACCAGTTCTTGTATTTATATCATGATGTATAGAATCAATTCTTGTATTTATATCATGATGTATAGCATTATTTCTTGTATTTATATCATGATGTATAGCATCAGTTCTTGTATTTATATCATGATGTATAGCATCAATTCTTGTATTTATATCATGATGTATAGCACCAGTTCTTGTATTTATATCATGATGTATAGAATCAATTCTTGTATTTATATCATGATGTATAGAATCAATTCTTGTATTTATATCATGATGTATAGCATCAGTTCTTGTATTTATTAAATGATATATAGCATCATACTTGTATTTATATCATGATGTATAACATCAGACCTTGTATTTGTATGATATAAGGCATCAGTTCTTGTATGTGTATCATGATATATAGCATCAGTTCTTGTATGCATACTACTACATACAGCATAAATGCAGGAAAGGCTAAATAAATCCAGAAGAATATTAATAAGCTGAAAACTCTAAATGAATTATCTGCCAAGTTTTATACGCCACAACTTCTACATTTCTATGGCTACGCTACACTTGTCCAGACACTCATGGTGCCGGATGGGGTTCCTGTTATTTCTTCTACTCACAACACGAAGCAAAAGCAGGCAAATGTTAGTCCAGGAAGAAAAAGATAGTTGTGTTAATTTCCTACAATAATGTAAGGAAGCTGGTCCCAGCATGACGACCTCTCACCTATCTTTCCCCCTAACGTTGTGGGGCCGCTCTCACCTACAAGTCAGTAAACCACAATGATATAGCTGAACACACACATCTGGAGCATCACAACACATGTTTAACTTCACAGCAACATATTTTACAATCATCACGTAACTAAGAAACATGAACAGTTAAGGAACATATGCAGACTTATAGCTTACTGAAAGCATTTGATCTCTTGCAGCTGCGACAGCAGTGGTTGACTCCCCACATGAAGAGGCGGTAGATGTGGTTGATGATGATGATGGGGGGCACGAGGGTGGGCCGGTCAAAGTACTCGAACACCAGAGACAGGCGGTAGTAGCGCCAGATCTTCATGGAGTTGTCCTGCACTGTCTGGAACGTGTAGCTGAAACACACAATACACTTTGCAGGCTGATATCTCCATGTGCCAACATGATGCATACACCAGCTTGGCTACAGGATAACATGCTGTATACACCTGCTTGGCTAGAGGATAACACACTGTATACACCAGCTTGTCTAGAGCATAACACACTGTATACACCTGTTTGACTTGAGGATATCATGCTGTATACACCTGTTTGAGTTGAGGATAACATGCTGTATACACCTGTTTGAGTTGAGGATAACATGCTGTATGCGGCTGCTTGGCTAGAGGATATAACACTGTATACACCAGCTTGTCTAGAGCATAACACACTTTATACACCTGTTTGACTTGAGGATAACACGTTGTATACACCTGCTTGACTAGAGGATAACATGTTGAAAACACCAGCATGGCTAGAGGATAACATGCTGTATACACCTGTTTGACTTGAGGATAACATGTTGAATACACCAGCATGGCTAGAGGATAACATGTTGTATGGCTAGAGGATAACATGCTGTATACACCTGTTTGACTTGAGGATAACTTGCTGTATACACCTGCTTGGCTACAGGATAACATGCTGTATGTGGCTGCTTGGCTAGAGGATAACACACTGTATACACCTGTTTGACTTGAGGATAACATGCTGTATACACCTGCTTGGCTACAGGATACCATGCTGTATATGGCTGCTTGGCTAGAGGATAACACACTGTATACACCTGTTTGACTTGAGGATAACATGCTGTATACACCTGCTTGGCTACAGGATACCATGCTGTATATGGCTGCTTGGCTAGAGGATAACACACTGTATAGACCAGCTTGTTTTACCTGAACATGGCGATGAGAAGGTTGACCAGCAGGATGTTGGTGAGGATCATGTACACGGCCAGCAGGATGGACACCAGAGCATTGGGCTCCGGACACCGCGGTGCCAGGTCAGCTCGCCACAAGGTCTCATTCCGGGTACAGCTGGATGGGTCATCCTCACCTGACCAACAGAAAACATGTGACTGTCATCTCAGTGTCCACCACCGAAGAATACTCTGAGAGTATGTTGTGCTGGTCTTGCTAAGACTCCCCTCACTGTCCTAAGGCTGTTGTGATGGTATAGCTCGTGAGCTTGTCGTCATAAGGCAGACTGTTGTGATGGTATAACTCACCTTGCTATCCTAAAGCAATCATTTGTGATGGTATAGCTCACCTTGCCACCCTAAGGCAGGCTGTTGTGATGGTATAACTCACCTTGCTATCCTAAGGTAGTCTGTTGTGATGGTATAGCTCACCTTGCTTTATTAAGCCAGGCTGTGGTGATGGTATAACTCACCTTGCCACCCTAAGGCAGTCTGTTGTGATGGTATAGCTCACCTTGCTATAATAAGGCAGTCTGTTGTGATGGTTTAGCTCACCTTGCTATAATAAGGCAGTCTGTTGTAAAGGTATAGCTCACCTTGCTATAATAAGGCAGTCTGTTGTGATGGTATAGCTCACCTTGCTATAATAAGGCAGTCTGCTGTGATGGTATAGCTCACCTTGCACCCGTTCCAGGAAGAGTTCGCCGTACATCTGCCAGTAGGGCAGGTACAGCACGTTGATAAGGATCTTGTAGCTGGGGATGTGATTGGGGTACAGGTTCGTGTGGTAGGCGACCCCGAAACTCAGGACAAACACCAGCAGGATGAAGAAGAAGAACAGGAGGTCTGTCAACTGCAGAGAGACCCACACAATGATGCTCTAACACTGGCATGTACACTGACATGTTGTCCCAGAAACAAAGTTATCTTATTTAAATATATATATCTACAAAATAAAAAAAAATCCAATAGAGCCCAGATCAATCTTTAATTTCAGGACTGAGGCAATCTAGACTTGCTAAATCATTCTAGATTTGAGTTGGACTCCTTTCATAGTTTATTCTCTAGCATCTGGGAGACAGACTAGCCGGCATGGAACAGTTCCACATGACGGTCCTTCATCACGCTCTTACACAACACGTCTACACAGCACAACCTCACAGCCAATCATATCTAGCCACCATAACCAACTGACTTGATAAAATGAATCTAAATAGAAATATGAATAACTTTCTGAATCATCTACCCACATGACTCAGACGTTGTACATTTATGCCTCAGTGAGTTTTATCTTTCTTCAACTCACCATTTTCCTGATCATGATGACTTTGGGCCCCATGTTTTTAGCTGCGAAGAAGAACTGCATGAACCTGAGATAGTAGAAGGCAAGGGTGATGCTGTAGGACATGCGCGCCCACACGAAGCTGGAGGTGAACAGGTTGTAGCGCAGGACGATGGAGATAATGAACAGAGTGTAGATCAGGAGGTCAAACCGGTTCCAGATGTTACTAAACCAGTTCTGAATCTTGTACCGAACTGACCGCTGGTCACGGATGAAGATCTGCAACAGTATCATGCAATGCATCAGCAAGCAGATCTTTCTCTGACTCCATGATCACCTTCCTCTAAGAGAAGCTTGAAAACATAGAAAGGGTATATACAAACTTACAGAAAAGTGGCTTTATCTAAACATAATGATGTAACATTTCAAGGTTAAAGTTGGTTACATGTATGACTGTCTATTATTATATTACTGTGATGTACCGTATTTTCTTGAGAATAGTGCGCACTTTTTTTTCCAAAAAACACAGCTGTGTAGAAGGGGGTGCGCATTATACACGAAATAATGAGTTTTGATGTTTTTTTCCCCATGGAAAGATATTACTGTGAGCACGTAACACCGGAAATACCATGTCAACAAGTACATACTGAAGTACGCAAATTAATCATGTAATTACACTGTCTGGCTATAAAAAGTGTTCTTTGTATATCTGGACTTATGTATGTAACTTATTTCATTAATTATATTCAAAATTCCTTTTACTATGTTTTAATTAATTTCGGCGAAATCGTGTAAGAAGCAGTATTATAGCCTTGAACTGTGGTCAAGGGGGCTTAGCCAGATTATTGGTACAAGGTGGATACAAGCACCAAATTTGGCGCTCAGATACAGCCACCCATACTGATTAGTTTTGGGATAGGAGTCACCTGTCTGACACACCTGTCTGACTTACCCATCTGATTCATCCGTCTGACACACCTGTCTGATTCACCTGTCTGATTCACCTGTCTGACTTACCCGTCTGATTCACCTGTCTCATTCACCTGTCTGACTCACCTGTCTGCACTCCTCCAGCAACATGGTGACGAGCCACACCCAGGTCACCATCTCATACACCGAGGGAGAGTCAGCCTCGGTACTAGGTCGGAGGTCAATTAGTACAAAATAGCTGAAGATGCACAGAAAGCCGATGTAAGACCCCTGAAAAAAAACGGCACAGAGAATACAGCGGCTGACACTAACACAAGAACCACAGTACTATAAGATCCTGACAATAACACAACAGCCACAGTACTGAGGTCCTGACAATAACACAACAGTACTAAGATCCTAACAATAGCACAACAGTATTGAGGTCCTGACAATATATATAACACAACAGCCACAGTACTGAGGTCCTGACAATAACACAACAGTACTTAGATCCTAACAATAGCACAACGGTATAGAGGTCCTGACAATAACACAACAGTACTAAGATCCTAACAATAGCACAACAGTACTAAGATCCTAACAATAACACAACAGTATTGAGGTCCTGACAATAACACAACAGTACTAAGATCCTAACAATAGCACAACAGTTTTGAGGTCCTGACAATAACACAACAGTAGTAAGATCCTAACAATAGCACAACGGTATTGAGGTCCTGACAATAACACAATGGCCACAGCACTGAGATCCAGTCAGGAGACGTACCACATTACAGTAGAACTTGGTGACTGGTGCAGCATAGAAGTAGAAGATGGCTGTGAAGATGTTGATGCTGGAGCGGCTGAAGTCCATGAGGTTGACCGTGTAAAGCTTCCTCTTCTTCTGTTTCCTCTTCCTCCGTGACTTCGCTGGTGTGTACTCCGCATCGTCAGTGCCTGGCTCCACCTGGTTAGCCTTGCTGGGGCTCTCGGCTGTATGTCCTGGCGTGTGACCTGGAGACTGACTGTCATCCATTAGCTCCTCATCATCACTGTCATTCCCCTCCAACATGTCTACGATGGAGTTGTTGCTGGTAAACTTGATGAATGGTAGCAGGATTGGAAGTAGGATTGTTATAATGATCTGCGAAAGAGAAAAGAGAAGCAGACCTTATTTCCTGTAAATTAGTGATTGAATGGAAGTATGCCTGTCAGCAGTAAATGCTTAGCTAGAGCTCCTCCAAATATAATATGTAAGTATGTTGTGTACCTTCCACTCGGAGGTGTAAATATGTTGTGTGCCTTCCACTCAGGGGTGTAAGTATGTTGTGTACCTTCTGCTCGGAGGTGTAAATAAGTTGTGTGCCTTTCACTCAGGAGCGTAAATATGTTGTGCGCCTTCCACTCAGGGGTGTAAATATGTTGTGTACCTTTCACTCAGGAGCTTAAATATGTTGTGTACCTTCCACTCGGAGGTGTAAATAAGTTGTGTGCCTTCCACTCCGGGGTGTAAGTATGTTGTGTACCTTTCACTCAGGGGTGTAAGTATGTTGTGTACCTTCCACTCGGAGGTGTAAATATGTTGTGTGCCTTCCACTCAGGGGTGTAAATATGTTGTGTACCTTCCACTCAGGGGTGTAAGTATGTTGTGTACCTTCCACTCAGGGGTGTAAAAATGTTGTGTACCTTTCACTCGGAGGTGTAAATATGTTGTGTGCCTTCCACTCAGGGGTGTAAGTATGTTGTGTACCTTCCGCTCGGAGGTGTAAATAAGTTGTGTGCTTTTCGCTCAGGAGCGTAAATATGTTGTGCGCCTTCCACTCAGGGGTGTAAATATGTTGTGTACCTTTCACTCGGAGGTGTAAATATGTTGTGTGCCTTCCACTCAGGGGTGTAAGTATGTTGTGTACCTTCCGCTCGGAGGTGTAAATAAGTTGTGTGCCTTTCACTCAGGACCGTAAATATGTTGTGCGCCTTCCACTCAGGGGTGTAAATATGTTGTGTACCTTTCACTCAGGAGCTTAAATATGTTGTGTACCTTCCACTCGGAGGTGTAAATAAGTTGTGCGCCTTCCACTCAGGGGTGTAAATATGTTGTGTACCTTTCACTCAGGAGCTTAAATATGTTGTGCGCCTTCCACTCAGGGGTGTAACTATGTTGTGTACCTTCCGCTCGGAGGTGTAAATAAGTTGTGTGCCTTTCACTCAGGAGCGTAAATATGTTGTGCACCTTCCACTCAGGGGTGTAAATATGTTGTGTACCTTTCACTCAGGAGCTTAAATATGTTGTGTACCTTTCACTCAGGAGCTTAAATATGTTGTGCGCCTTCCACTCAGGGGTGTAAGTATGTTGTGTACCTTTCACTCAGGGGTGTAAGTATGTTGTGTACCTTCCACTCAGAGGTGTAAATATGTTGTGTGCCTTCCACTCAGGGGTGTAAATATGTTGTGTACCTTTCACTCAGGAGCTTAAATATGTTGTGTACCTTCCACTCGGAGGTGTAAATAAGTTGTGTGCCTTCCACTCCGGGGTGTAAGTATGTTGTGTGCCTTCCACTCAGGGGTGTAAGTATGTTGTGTACCTTCCGCTCGGAGGTGTAAATAAGTTGTGTGCCTTTCACTCAGGAGCGTAAATATGTTGTGCGCCTTCCACTCAGGGGTGTAAATATGTTGTGTACCTTCCACTCGGAGGTGTAAATAAGTTGTGTGCCTTCCACTCAGGGGTGTAAGTATGTTGTGTACCTTTCACTCAGGGGTGTAAGTATGTTGTGTACCTTCCACTCAGAGGTGTAAATATGTTGTGTGCCTTCCACTCAGGGGTGTAAATATGTTGTGTACCTTCCACTCAGGGGTGTAAGTATGTTGTGTACCTTCCACTCAGGGGTGTAAAAATGTTGTGTACCTTTCACTCGGAGGTGTAAATATGTTGTGTGCCTTCCACCCAGGGGTGTAAGTATGTTGTGTACCTTCCGCTCGGAGGTGTAAATAAGTTGTGTGCCTTTCACTCAGGAGCGTAAATATGTTGTGCGCCTCCCCTCAGGGGTGTAAATATGTTGTGTACCTTTCACTCAGGAGCTTAAATATGTTGTGTACCTTCCACTCGGAGGTGTTAATAAGTTGTGCGCCTTCCACTCAGGGGTGTAAATATGTTGTGTACCTTTCACTCAGGAGCTTAAATATGTTGTGCGCCTTCCACTCAGGGGTGTAAGTATGTTGTGTACCTTCCGCTCGGAGGTGTAAATAAGATGTGTGCCTTTCACTCAGGAGCGTAAATATGTTGTGCGCCTTCCACTCAGGGGTGTAAATATGTTGTGTACCTTTCACTCAGGAGCTTAAATATGTTGTGTACCTTCCACTCGGAGGTGTAAATAAGTTGTGTGCCTTCCACTCAGGGGTGTAAGTATGTTGTGTACCTTTCACTCAGGGGTGTAAGTATGTTGTGTACCTTCCACTCGGAGGTGTAAATATGTTGTGTGCCTTCCACTCAGGGGTGTAAGTATGTTGTGTACCTTCCACTCAGGGGTGCAAAAATGTTGTGTACCTTTCACTCGGAGGTGTAAATATGTTGTGTGCCTTCCACTCAGGGGTGTAAGTATGTTGTGTACCTTCCGCTCGGAGGTGTAAATAAGTTGTGTGCCTTTCACTCAGGAGCGTAAATATGTTGTGCGCCTTCCACTCAGGGGTGTAAATATGTTGTGTACCTTTCACTCAGGAGCTTAAATATGTTGTGTACCTTCCACTCGGAGGTGTAAATAAGTTGTGCGCCTTCCACTCAGGGGTGTAAATATGTTGTGTACCTTCCACTCAGGGGTGTAAATATGTTGTGTACCTTTTACTCGGAGGTGTAAATATGTTGTGTACCTTCCACTTGGAGGTGTAAATAAGTTGTGTGCCTTCCACTCAGGGGTGTAAATATGTTGTGTGCCTTCCACTCAGGGGTGTAAGTATGTTGTGTGCCTTCCACTCAGGGGTGTAAATATGTTGTGTACCTTCCACTCGGGGGTGTAAATATGTTGTGTACCTTCCACTTGGAGGTGTAAATATGTTGTGTACCTTCCACTCGGAGGTGTAAATATGTTGTGTACCTTCCACTCGGAGGTGTAAATAAGTTGTGTGCCTTCCACTCAGGGGTGTAAGTATGCTGTGTGCCTTCCACTCAGGGGTGTAAATATGTTGTGTACCTTCCACTCGGAGGTGTAAATATGTTGTGTACCTTCTACTCAGGGGTGTAAATATGTTGTGTACCTTCCACTCGGAGGTGTAAATATTTGTGTGCCTTCCACTCAGGGGTGTAAGTATGTTGTGTACCTTTCACTCAGGAGCGTAAATATGTTGTGTACCTTCCACTCGGAGGTGTAAATATGTTGTGAGCCTTCCACTCAGGGGTGTAAATATGTTGTGTACCTTTCACTCAGGAGCGTAATTATGTTGTGTACCTTTCACTCAAGGGTGTAAATATGTTGTGTACCTTCCACTCAGGGAGTGTAAATATGTTGTGTACCTTTCACTCAGGGGTGTAAATACGTTGTGTACCTTCCACTCGGGAGTGTAAATGTGTTGTGTACCTTCTACTCGAGGTTGTAAATATGTTGTGTACCTTCCACTCAGGGAGTGTAAATATGTTGTGTACCTTTCATTCAGGGGTGTAAATATGTTGTGTACCTTCCACTCAGGGAGTGTAAATATGTTGTGTACCTTCCATTCAGGGGTGTAAATATGTTGTGTACCTTCCACTCTGGGGTGTACAGTGCCATCCTCCCCTTCCAGATGTCGTTCAGCTTGGTCTGACACGCGCTGTGTTCGGCAAAGTCCATCAGGGTGTGGGCGTCAGCCAGCTTGAACAAAGTAGTCTTACCCCACTGCAACTGCTCGCACACCAACAGTGTATGGGTATGGCGTTTGTCTCGACCATAACATTCAGATAGCACATCAAAAGACTGCTTTTCAAAATGGCTGCAAAACAAGGAAGACGATCTTACACCTCCATATTCTGCAGCAGGGATATACAGATGCAACAAGAGTGAAACAATGCGCTGACAATTCCAGCTGCCAGGAGATACCTTGTCGTAAGTGTGTCAGTTTATCCTTACCAAGGATTCAATCCCTTAATCCCCTAGCCCCTAGTACCCATGTGTGAGATAAATCTGTCGATTCTCTCTGTTCATCCACTCAGGAGACCAATGAACAGTATCATTCTGGACAGCCGTCTTCCAAGAACACTAGAACAGCAAATCTGGCACACAAACAATAGCTGTTTCTAGGGGAGTTAGGTACCCTAAGGATGTAACCTAGCAGCAGGAGGTGACCTACTCACACTGCATGGTCCAGGATGTTACCTAGCAGCAGGAGGTGACCTACTCACACTGCATGGTCCAGGATGTAACCTAGCAGCAGGAGGTGACCTACTCACACTGCATGGTCCAGGATGTAACCTAGCAGCAGGAGGTGACCTACTCACACTGCATGGTCCAGGATGTAACCTAGCAGCAGGAGGTGACCTACTCACACTGCATGGTCCAGGATGTAACCTTGCAGCAGGAGGTGACCTACTCACACTGCATGGTCCAGGATGTAACCTAGCAGCAGGAGGTGACCTACTCACACTGCATGGTCCAGGATGTAACCTTGCAGCAGGAGGTGACCTACTCACACTGCATGGTCCAGGATGTAACCTAGCAGCAGGAGGTGACCTACTCACACTGCATGGTCCAGGATGTTACCTAGCAGCAGGAGGTGACCTACTCACACTGCATGGTCCAGGATGTAACCTAGCAACATGAGGTGGGTGACCTACTCACACTGCATGGTCCAGGATGTAACCTAGCAACAGGAGGTGGGTGACCTACTCACACTGCATGGTCCAGGATGTTACCTAGCAGCAGGAGGTGACCTACTCACATTGCATGGTCCAGGAGGTAACCTAGCAACAGGAGGTGACCTACTCACATTGCATGGTCGAGGATGTAATCTGGCAACAGAAGTTACTTACTCACACTCCATGGTCCAGGATGTAACCAAGCAACAGTAGGTGACCTACTCACACTGCATGGTCCAGGAGGTAACCTAGCAACAGGAGGTGACCTACTCACACTGCATGGTCCAGGAGGTCAGCACTCATCTCCAGCTCCTCATCGTCCTCTGCGACATCTGACATCGTCTTGAGGAGAGAAGAAGCCACCAGACCTGATGCTGCAAGCATTTAATATTATCCTTGAGGTGTTCAACTCACTGAGGTGATCTTCACAAAGATTTGAGATGTTCAACCCATTGAGGTGATCTACACAAAGACTTGAGGTGTTCAACCCACTGAGGTGATCTACAAAGACTTGATGTGTTCAACCTATTGAGGTGATCTACAAATACTTGATGTATTCAACCTATTGAGGTGATCTACAAAGACTTGATGTGTTCAACCCACTGAGGTGATCTACAAAGACTTGATGTGTTCAACCCACTGTGGTGATCTACAAAGACTTGATGTGTTCAACCTATTGAGGTGATCTACAAAGACTTGATGTGTTCAACCCACTGAGGTGATCTACAAAGACTTGATGTGTTCAACCTATTGAGGTGATCTACAAAGACTTGATGTGTTCAACCCACTGAGGTGATCTACAAAGACTTGATGTGTTCAACCTATTGAGGTGATCTACAAAGACTTGATGTGTTCAACCTATTGAGGTGATCTACAAAGACTTGATGTGTTCAACTCACTGAGATGATCTTTGCCCAGCTTCCAGAAGAGGTGTGCCATCTGCCGCCTGTTGAAGAGGATAGCCCACAGGAACAGGTGCTTCTCAGGGTTGGTGAACTCAAATGTTTCCCTGACCTTGAGTTTGCTTCTGTGGCTGATGTGGCCCTCAGCTGGATAGAAGTAGCAGAATAAACCAGCATTTCTTATTGGTGGTCATCCTTATTTATCCATATTTCTAGCCTATGATGTTAAACATCCTGTACTCATTCCCAAACATCTTCGTTTCAGAGGTGACCTCCTCATCCCCACCTCTTACCCACAATGTCACTGTCTCAGGGCAGGACTTCTCGCAGTCAGGAGCTTGAAGTCAACAACCAAAGAAATGACAGCACATGTCTACCTTTAACTTTGCAGCCTCGTCAGAGCAAGCCAGTGCCAAAACAAATATGAAACTGTCATGTAGTTTTTAGATGTTTTCCTAAGTATTATGACAAGGGAGGGGTGTCGCTATGCTACCAGCAGTTTGCAGTTGTACTTGTGATGACACGTAACAAGGCAATCAAGTTCTTGTGATATCACAGCTTGTGTCAATCACGAACATGGCATTAAGGCTTACCTTGTAACTCAGTCACCAATTTTCTGTCATAAAAGTCATATCAACTGTCACTATTGGAATTCAAATATTTTCTGCATAGATACTAAGAACAAATAAACTATATTTTAACAATGTTTCTTAATTCTCATAATGTATGTTACATGTAATATTTTATAACACTGCTGCTATACCCAACTGCCAAATTTCCTCATCACAAAGTTTCTACTTCAACAACAACATAGAGTATTTTAAAAACGATTTCTGTTAACAGTAGGACTGCATGGTATTACTTGTATACTGCACTACATTTTTCAAATGATACATATTGCAATATGTTTTGTGTGTATCCAGAGTTACAGGTAAGCAGCGTATTTGCATAAAATACCCCCCAAAAATATTCAAAATCCAATTACTGACTTGCGTATAGAAACGTATGCATTTAATGAAAAACTCAAATTATAAAAACAGCATGCGTTAATACCCAATGAAGCTTTTTCAGCAAGCGACATAGGAGCTACTTACCGAAACACAATTACGAGCTAATTTACTTTCCGAGTCAAGCCTATATATATTTAGAACAGTTATATACATCAAAAACATTATTCAATTTTTTTTTTAACTTAAAATGTTCACTAATTTTGGGAAAAACCCAATAGAGTGATGAATAGATGAGTGAAAAAATATTGGTTACCCAATGAAAAATGTAATAACCCATTTGAAATAGAAACCCTAGAGTAAAAACTCAATTGCTCAAAAAGTTATCTGGAGCTCTGTGTATTGATATATTGAGTAAATTTTTTTGCTTTATTTGATTCTTTTAACCTAAAATCTTCCCTTCAGAATTGACAAAGTGTTGGAAATGATTTCTCTCATGTTGTTATCTCCCCTGTATCCATGACTACAAAATGGCGGTTGAGTAATATTTACTGCAGTAAACTGAAACTAGCATCTGCTTGTAGAGCCAGTGTCAATCACTGTCAAACACTTTAACAATACCTGTATCACAAAATACCGCCCTAGTAAATTGTAAAGAGTTTGCATTACATGGATAACAGCAGCCGCTATAACTAGGTTTACAACACTGATATGGAGGCCATGCTATTGAACTTCTGGGAACATGCAGGTCTAGTTTCATCACTGCAGTGGTTTTGTCGGAGATGTTCACAAAGGATGACAGACAAGGACAAATAGGCTACAGCTAAACATATATATATACTAACAAATATACTAAACATATAACTAGGATTATGAAGTCTCTAGCATCTAGTGGCACACAACACATTGGAGTTAGGTTAACACAATGATCAGTGCGTAAGTTGAGTTAACACAATAATCAGTGTGTCAGTTGAGTTAACACAATGATCAACATGTCAGTTGAGTTACCATAATGATCAATATGTGAGTTGTGTTAACACAATGATCAACATGTGAGTTGAGTTAACACAATGATCAACATGTGAGTTGAGTTAACACAATGATCAACATGTGAGTAGAGTTAAAACAATGATCAACATGTGAGTTGAGTCAACACAATGATCAACATGTGAATTGAGACAACACAATGATCAACATGTGAGTAGAGTTAACACAATGATCAACATGTGAGTTGAGACAACACAATGATCAACATGTGAGTTGAGACAACACAATGATCAACATGTGAGTTGAGACAACACAATGATCAACATGTGAGTTGAGACAACACAATGATCAACATGTGAGTTGAGACAACACAATGATCAACATGTGAGTTGAGACAACACAATGATCAACCTGTCGGTTGAGTCAACACAATGATCAACATGTGAGTTGAGACAACACAATGATCAACGTGTGAGTTGAGACAACACAATGATCAACATGTGAGTTGAGACAACACAATGATCAACCTGTCGGTTGAGTCAACACAATGATCAACCTGTGAGATGAGTCAACACAATGATCAACGTGTGACACAGGTTATCACACAAGAACCTGATCCTGCTATACTACATGATCAACACCATGTTCTGTTTGGTATCAACACCATGTTCTGTTTGGTATAATTTGTCAATTTCACTCCAGAGATTCTCCAGGAAGTCCACATGAGTTACAAGTGTTAATCACATGTTAATGAACAACAATAGACACTACAGATGCTGAACATGATGGGGAAGCAAGCTACATACCTTCTCTTTGCATCTGAAGGCCTGAACAACAGCATGAAACATATTAGTTTTGGGGAAAATGAATTCTATATTTTATGGGGTTTCATTTCAACAAAAAAGAAACCTTATTCACATACACAATAAGTCAGGCTGTTGATTGTTCTTCTGTGTGTCAGTCTCTGGTGTCCAGGGAAGGATGTCAGTCTCTGGTGTCCAGGGAAGGATGTCGGTCTCTGGTGTCCAGGGAAGGGTGTCGGTCTCTGGTGTCTAGGGGAGGATGTCAGTCTCTGGTGTCCAGGGGAGGGTGTCAGTCTCTTGTGTCCAGGGAAGGATGTCAGTCTCTGGTGTCCAGGGGAGGGTGTCAGTCTCTGGTGTCCACGGAAGGATGTCAGTCTCTGGTGTCCAGGGAAGGATGTCAGTCTCTGGTGTACAGGGGAGGGTGTCAGTCTCTGGTGTCCAGGGGAGGGAGTCAGTCTCTGGTGTCCAGGGGAGGGTGTCAGTCTCTTGTGTCCAGGGGAGGGTGTCAGTCTCTTGTGTCTAGAGGAGTGTGGCAGTCTCTGGTGTCTAGAGGAGGGTGGCAGTCTCTGGTGTCTAGAGGAGTGTGGCAGTCTCTGGTGTCTAGAGGAGGGTGGCAGTCTCTGGGGTCTAGAGGAGGATGGCAGTCTTTGGTGTCTAGAGAAGGGTGGCAGTCTCTGGTGTCCAGGAAAGGGTGTCAGTCTCTGGTGTCCAGGGCAGGGTGTCAGTCTCTTGTGTCCAGGGGAGGGAGTCAGTCTCTTGTGTCCAGGGAAGGTTGTCAGTCTCTGGTGTCCAGGGAAGGGTGTCAGTCTCTGGTGTCCAGGGGAGGGAGTCAGTCTCTGGTGTCCAGGGGAGGGTGTCAGTCTCTAGTGTCCAGGGAAGGGTGTCAGTCTCTGGTGTCCAGGGGTGGGTGTCAGTCTCTGGTGTCCAGGGGAGGGTGTCAGTCTCTGGTGTCCAGGGGAGGATGTCAGTCTCTGGTGTCCAGGGGAGGATGTCAGTCTCTGGTGTCCAGGGAAGGGTGTCGGTCTCTAGTGTCCAGGGAAGGGTGTTGGTCTCTGGTGTCCAGGGGAGGGTGTCAGTCTCTTGTGTCCAGGGGAGGGAGTCAGTCTCTTGTGTCCAGGGAAGGGTGTCAGTCTCTGGTGTCCAGGGGAGGGTGTCAGTCTCTTGTGTCCAGGGGAGGGTGTCAGTCTCTTGTGTCTAGAGGAGGGTGGCAGTCTCTGGTGTCTAGAGGAGGGTGGCAGTCTCTGGTGTCTAGAGAAGGGTGGCAGTCTCTGGTGTCCAGGAAAGGGTGTCCATCTCTTGTGTCCAGGGAAGGGTGTCAGTCTCTGGTGTCCAGGGCAGGGTGTCAGTCTCTTGTGTCCAGGGGAGGGAGTCAGTCTCTGGTGTCCAGGGGAGGGTGTCAGTCTCTGGTGTCTAGGGGAGGGAGTCAGTCTCTGGTGTCCAGGGAAGGGAGTCAGTCTCTGGTGTCCAGGGAAGGGTGTCAGTCTCTGGTGTCCAGGGCAGGGTGTCAGTCTCTTGTGTCCAGGGGAGGGAGTCAGTCTCTGGTGTCCAGGGGAGGGAGTCAGTCTCTGGTGTCCAGGGGAGGGAGTCAGTCTCTGGTGTCCAGGGGAGGGAGTCAGTCTCTGGTGTCCAGGGGAGGGTGTCAGTCTCTGGTGTCCAGGGAAGGGTGTCAGTCTCTGGTGTCAAGGGAAGGGAGTCAGTCTCTGGTGTCCAGGGGGGGTGTCAGTCTCTGGTGTCCAGGGGAGGGTGTCAGTCTCTGGTGTCCAGGGGAGGGTGTCAGTCTTTGGTGTCCAGGGGAGGGAGTCAGTCTCTTGTGTCCAGGGGAGGGAGTCAGTCTCTGGTGTCCAGGGGAGGGTGTCAGTCTCTGGTGTCAAGGGAAGGGTGTCAGTCTCTGGTGTCCAGGGGAGGGTGTCAGTCTCTGGTGTCCAGGGAAGGGTGTCAGTCTCTGGTGTCAAGGGAAGGGAGTCAGTCTCTGGTGTCCAGGGGGGGTGTCAGTCTCTGGTGTCCAAGGGAGGGTGTCAGTCTCTGGTGTCCAGGGGAGGGTGTCAGTCTCTGGTGTCCAGGGGAGGGAGTCAGTCTCTTGTGTCCAGGGGAGGGAGTCAGTCTCTGGTGTCCAGGGGAGGGTGTCAGTCTCTGGTGTCAAGGGAAGGGTGTCAGTCTCTGGTGTCCAGGGGAGGGAGTCAGTCTTTGGTGTCCAGGGGAGGATGTCAGTCTCTTGTGTCCAGGGGAGAGTGTCAGTCTCTGGTGTCCAGGGAAGGGTGTCGGTCTCTGGTGTCCAGGGGGGGTGTCAGTCTCTGGTGTCCAGGGGGGGTGTCAGTCTCTGGTGTCCAGGGGAGGGTGTCAGTCTCTGGTGTCCAGGGCAGGGTGTCAGTCTCTGGTGTCTAGGGAAGGGAGTCAGTCTCTGGTGTCTAGAGGAGGGAGTCAGTCTCTGGTGTCCAGGGGAGGGAGTCAGTCTCTGGTGTCTAGGGGAGGGAGTCAGTCTCTGGTGTCCAGGGAAGGGTGTCGGTCTCTGGTGTCTAGGGGAGGCTGTCAGTCTCTGGTGTCTAGGGGAGGAAGTCAGTCTCTAGTGTCCATGAGTAGGAAGTCAAGTCTTTGGTGTCAAAGTGTGATTTGTCTACATACCATCCTGAGTGATCCTCTTCATTAGTGGTTTGATGGTACCAGGATCACCCAACCACGACATAGAAGGCCTTGTCACATCTACCAGGTACTTCTTATCTGCAGAAAGAATCAACACATGCTACTGACAACTATTTTAACCTGTTTTAACCAAACAGTTTTCAACTTTCCATATGATGATGATTGTTGATATTGTAGCGTGAATGAATTACATTAAATCCTGATATTGATGATACAGCAGCATGAAGCCTGATGTCCACTACAGTGATGTTTCTCACCATTATACAGTAGCATGGCTTGGTCCTGGAGGAGATACATGATGATCTTGCCGATGAACTGGAGGAGATCGGGGCAGTATTGCCATCTAGCTGCTCCTTGACAACACAAATATGCTGCCCATGTTTGCTGCAACAAGTGACAGTCTATTTAATATTTTGTGAAGTGTCTTCAGGATAATAAACAACTACATTTGCTTTTTCAAACCTTTCAAATCTTTGTCATGTGATGAAATGAGAACATTGCTTGTGTTGAAATATTGACAAGAGCAGTCCTGAGCTGCTACTTTTGAGACTGTACAATAATGAGATGCTGTTGAGAGGTGTGCAGCTGTCTAGACTCACCCGCTGGTAGGCTAGCAGGTTCCTGATGAGCTCTGCCTGCGTGTCCCCCATATCATTGATCATCTGCAGAAAAATACACAACATGGGAGGCCATGGGACAACATACTGGCTAGACTACAACTGCTACACCACATACTGGCTAGGCTATCTATCCCTGGTACACCACATACTGGCTTGGCTATCCCTGGTACACAACACACTGGCTAGGCTACCCCTGGTACACCACATACTAGCTAGGCTATCCCTGGTACACAACACACTGGCTAGGCTACCCCTGGTACACCACATACTGGCTAGGCTATCCCTGGTACACCACATACTGGCTTGGCTATCCCTGGTACACCACATACTGGCTTGGCTATCCCTGGTACACCACATACTGGCTAGGCTATCCCTGGTACACCACATACTGGCTAGGCTACCCCTGGTACACCACATACTAGCTAGGCTATCCCTGGTACACAACACACTGGCTAGGCTATCCCTGGTACAAAACACACTGGCTAGGCTATCCCTGGTACAAAACACACTGGCTAGGCTATCCCTGGTACAAAACACACTGGCTAGGCTATCCCTGGTACACAACACACTGGCTAGGCTATCCCTGGTACACAACACACTGGCTAGGCTATCCCTGGTACACAACACACTGGCTTGGCTATCCCTGGTACACAACACACTGGCTAGGCTATCCCTGGTACACAACACACTGGCTTGGCTATCCCTGGTACACCACATACTGGCTAGGTTACCCCTGGTACACACACACTGGCTAGGCTCCCCCTGGTACACCACATACTGGCTAGGCTATCCCTGGTACACAACACACTGGCTAGGTTACCCCTGGTACACAACAAACTGGCTAGGCTATCCCTGGTACACCACATACTGGCTAGGCTATCCCTGGTACACAACACACTGGCTAGGCTATCCCTGGTACACCACATACTGGCTAGGCTATCCCTGGTACACAACACACTGGCTAGGCTATCCCTGGTACACAACACACTGGCTAGGCTATCCCTGGTACACAACACACTGGCTAGGCTATCCCTGGTACACAACACACTGGCTAGGCTATCCCTGGTACATCCCATTCTGGCTAGGCCATCCCTGGTACACACACACTGGCTAGGCTACCCCTGGTACACCACATACTGGCTAGGCTATCCCTGGTACACCACATATTGGCTAGGTTACCCCTGGTACACCACATACTGGCTAGGCTATCCCTGGTACACCACGTACTGGCTAGGCTATCCCTGGTACACAACTAACTGGCTAGGCTATCCCTGGTACACAACATACTGGCTAGGCTATCCCTGGTACACAACACACTGGCTAGGCTATCCCTGGTACACCACGTACTGGCTAGGCTATCCCTGGTACACAACACACTGGCTAGGCTATCCCTGGTACACAACACACTGGCTAGGCTATCCCTGGTACACAACACACTGGCTAGGCTATCCCTGGTACACAACACACTGGCTAGGCTATCCCTGGTACACAACACACTGGCTAGGCTATCCCTGGTACACCACCTCTGGCTAGGCTATCCCTGGTACACCACATACTGGCTAGGCTATCCCTGGTACACCACATACTGGCTAGGCTATCCCTCTTACACCACATACTATCTACCTTGTACACAACATACCGGCTAGGATACCCCTGGTCGATATACACAACATAACTGCTACGCTATCCCTGGTACACAACATACTGGCTAGGATACCCCTGGTACACCACATACTGGCTAGGCTACCCCTGGTACACAACATACTGGCTAGGCTACCCCTGGTACACAAAATACACAACAAAATACCTGCTAGGTTTATATACTAGCTAGGCTATCCCATGACAGATACACTGGATAGACTACTGCTAGAGTTAGTAAGTGAGTGAGTTGTGTTTAACATCAGTTTGAACAGTATTCCAGTTACCATATTCAACATAATAAGCGCCCGGGGTGCTCTCAAAATTAGAAATAGGGGGCTCTTATTAGAATATAATTTTGGTGAGAGAAAAAAACAGAGTTGAAAGATTGTAAATTTCGTAGTTTATGCTGACAGCCTGAAATGATACAAAAAAAAGTATGTGCGTATCATACACGACAGAGATATTTTCCAGAATTTAATCGCCCATAATTAGGGGTGCATATAACACACGAGTGCGTATTATACATAAATAAATAAGTCTTGTGTACATTGATCAATTGGAAGGGGTGCTTATTGGGATTGTTCACTAGCCAATATATTAGCAAATATCGTCATGGGCGCTTATTAGAGCGGGGCACCTATTACGTCGAATACAGTATATCTCGATGTGTTAGCTTAATGCGTGAGGAAAACCCAAAGTGATGAAGGTCTACTAGGTTCACCACATTGGTGAAACCCACAAACACGAGTATGATTCTGACAGACCTAGAAACAATTGGGGTGAACCAAGGTTCGAACTGAAGATCATGGGTTCCCAGCGTGCCCAAGGGATGTAAATCTGCACAGAAACCTGTGGCGCCTTCAACGACTGGGCCGCCCGTACCTCCAGTGTACAGTGGTCACCGTATGGATGTGTACAATGTGTCAACATGTATTTGTGTACAGTATAGTCAGTACTCACATTGGCATAGAGATTCCACAAAGTCTTGACTGTCAGGAAGCGTTTAATGTCCAAACCGTTGTCAATGAACAGCTGAACGAAGTCAGTTCTATCTTGAACCAAGGCTGTCACCATTGCATCGTACAAGTTAATTTTCTGAAAAACAAAACCCCACAAAAATCATAAATTAACATGCAAATCTAAACATGCAACATCATCTCTGAACATTGAGTACATACTTTCCTATATAGTTGATATTTCTATAAACTGGAACTTTGTATACAGAAAAGTATTTTTAGAGGACAAATATCATTTATACTTATCCTGACTCATACAAAATGCTTATCTCATTTCATTCCAAAAGGAAGAGGAAACTTCCTGACCTGTGTTCCCGGAGAACAGAAATACATCACACACAAACACACCCGAGCCGAGTAGGTGCACTGGATCTATTATATGGTCTCTGATGAGGCCAAGCCAGTATAGATGCCAGGGTGGGTGCTCTAGCGTATGAGTTACTCTAATAAATACATATTTTACTTTACCCTGACTCATACTAACTGCTTGAATCCTATGGCTTATCATGGGTTCCACCTGCCTGCTTCATTGAGACCTGTTTAATAACCCCACGGGAACATGGAAACATCCTGTTGATCTTCTTACATCATGTGTACGTCTGGTGGTAGTATCCAGTTGAGCCACTACTCTGGCAGTCTAATTCTAAGAGTGTACTTTACATCTATTTCCGGAGCCTGGAGCCCGGAGGAAAGCCGTCATGCCATGCAAAGGGAGCTTCTTGGAACTGAAACCAGGAGTTTGTAGCCCATGGGTTGTGTCGTCTTGGTGAAGGAAGCATCCAGATTCTTTACTACTTATAAAATTGGTTTCATAGGTGGAATAGTTAAGGTGTCAATATCATCACCCTTCATGCAATAAATATCAGAGGGGAAGAATCTCTAGAAGGTGAAGTGATGGGGAGTTCATCTGTGATACAAGCTAATAGCTCATAGCAACAGCATAGCAAGTAGAACCTGCTTTGTGATGCTGGCTACTAAATCTGAATCACTAGATGAAGCTGGTATTGTACCCTGCTGGAAGAAAGGAGACTGCGTGAATGTTGGAGGTGAAGGTCTGTGGCTGTGTGAATGTTGGAGGCTGCGTGAATGTTGGAGGTGAAGGTCTGTGGCTGTGTGAATGTTGGAGGCTGCGTGAATGTTGGAGGTGAAGGTGTGTGGCTGTGTGAATGTTGGAGGCTGAGTGAAGGTCTGTGGCTGTGTGAATATTGGAGGCTGTGTGAAGGTCTGTGGCTGTGTTAATATTGGAGGCTGCGTGAAGGTGTGTGGCTGTGTGAATATTGGAGGCTGCGTGAAGGTCTGTGGCTGTGTGAATATTGGAGGCTGTGTGAAGGTGTGTGGCTGTGTGAATATTGGAGGCTGCGTGAAGGTGTGTGGCTGTGTGAATATTGGAGGCTGCGTGAAGGTGTGTGGCTGTGTGAATATTGGAGGCTGCGTGAAGGTCTGTGGCTGTGTGAATATTGGAGGCTGCGTGAAGGTCTGTGGCTGTGTGAATGCTGCGTCTGTGTGGTGGGTACCACTGTCTATGGATGCGTGGAGATGGTTGGCTGCGTCTTCTAAGCTCCACGGACCCCTTTCATGGATGATGATGCAACTGGCTTCGTGGTGGTGATCACCTTTGAGTAGACATGCTCTCCCATGGTTAGAGACGACTTCATTGAGGAAGGATATGTACTTTTCTTTTTTGCCAAAGACTGAAGGTTCTTGAGATCGAACAAGATAGTAGGAGATTTCTTCTTAGTCAATAGATGAACCCTTAAGAAGGGCGTTGACACTCCTGCTGCCTAGGGAAGAATTTGTAGGGATGACTGGGTTGTTCTGTGAGGTAGACAGATCAAGAAGAATTTTCTCTCTGAAGTTAGAATGCCTCTCTTCCTCTGAAAAAATGTTGGTGTTACCTCACGTTTCTTCTTCATTGAAGTGAGGAGGATGTAGATCGTGATGAATCTGTCCTCTAACGGTCTACCTTTTTCCTCTGCACCATAAGGACCTAGGTTTTGTGCAAAGTCTTCCTCTCCTAAGTGATAGAAGAAACTACAGCTCCTCTATGCAGGGCAGTGTTGAGGAATGCAGCCCGAACAGATGAAACATGCACATGACATATTGTACATGATTTCATTATGAAAACAGAGGAAAATTTTAAGTCCAAAAATATAAAAAATCATAACCCAAATACAAAAAATCATCATTAGTTATGATGTATAAAGGTTAGAAAAATGTAATCAGAGCAATTTGTTTTGTCTAAAATGGTTAATTTTGACAGGATGGCTCAGATTAATGAGCACAGAAAACAAATTTCCTAACTGGTAGTGCAAAAATGAGAGAATGATGAGTAACCAAGCTTGGTCACGTGCTTCCAATGCATATGTGCAATCCAGGAGTGCTTTTGGGTGAGACGTCTTGTCTGTAATCCAGGAAAACACTACCTTTCGGAAATGTGTGGAAATAAGCAATATGTATGAGTCAGGATAAAAGTCAATTTAGTATTTTCTTGATGAAATGTGCAGTGCTCTCCTCTTCAATATGATACAAACAGAAACCTTGAATAGCAACAATCGTGAAGGAAAAGGAAGGTTCCACCTGGAAATCCCCTGGAGGAACTACGACCTACCTGCCAGTGTCTGTGGTTACTGGGGGTGAATCCCCTGGAGGAACTACGACCTATCTGCCAGTGTCTGTGGTTACTGGGGGTGAATCCCCTGGAGGAACTACGACCTATCTGCCAGTGTCTGTGGTTACTGGGGGTGAATCCCCTGGAGGAACTACGACCTACCTGCCAGTGTCTGTGGTTACTGGGGGTGAATCATCATAAGGAACTACGACCTATCTGCCAGTGTCTGTGGTTACTGGGGGTGAATCCCCATAAGGAACTACGACCTATCTGCCAGTGTCTGTGGTTACTGGGGGTGAATCACCATAAGGAACTACGACCTATCTGCCAGTGTCTGTTGTTACTGGGGGTGAATCCCCTGGAGGAACTACGACCTATCTGCCAGTGTCTGTGGTTACTGGGGGTGAATCCCCATAAGGAACTACGACCTATCTGCCAGTGTCTGTGGTTACTGGGGGTGAATCCCCATAAGGAACTACGACCTACCTGCCAGTGTCTGTGGTTACTGGGGGTGAATCCCCTGGAGGAACTACGACCTACCTGCCAGTGTCTGTGGTTACTGGGGGTGAATCCCCTGGAGGAACTACGACCTATCTGCCAGTGTCTGTGGTTACTGGGGGTGAATCCCCTGGAGGAACTACGACCTACCTGCCAGTGTCTGTGGTTACTGGGGGTGAATCCCCTAGAGGAACTACGACCTACCTGCCTGTGTCTGTGGTTACTGGGGGTGAATCCCCATAAGGAACTACGACCAACCTGCCAGTGTCTGTGGTTACTGGGGGTGAATCCCCTGGAGGAACTACGACCTACCTGCCAGTGTCTGTGGTTACTGGGGGTGAATCCCCTGGAGGAACTACGACCTATCTGCCAGTGTCGGTGGTTACTGGGGGTGAATCCCCTGGAGGAACTACGACCTACCTGCCTGTGTCTGTGGTTACTGGGGGTGAATCCCCTGGAGGAACTACGACCTATCTGCCAGTGTCTGTGGTTACTGGGGGTGAATCCCCATAAGGAACTACGACCTATCTGCCAGTGTCTGTGGTTACTGGGGGTGAATCCCCTGGAGGAACTACGACCTACCTGCCAGTGTCTGTGGTTACTGGGGGTGAATCCCCTGGAGGAACTACGACCTACCTGCCAGTGTCTGTGGTTACTGGGGGTGAATCCCCTGGAGGAACTACGACCTATCTGCCAGTGTCTGTGGTTACTGGGGGTGAATCCCCATAAGGAACTACGACCTATCTGCCAGTGTCTGTGGTTACTGGGGGTGAATCCCCTGGAGGAACTACGACCTACCTGCCAGTGTCTGTGGTTACTGGGGGTGAATCCCCTGGAGGAACTACGACCTACCTGCCAATGTCTGTGGTTACTGGGGGTGAATTACCATAAGGAACTACGACCTATCTGCCAGTGTCTGTGGTTACTGGGGGTGAATCACCATAAGGAACTACGACCTACCTGCCAGTATTTACGGTTGGAGGGGGTGAAGATCTCCTGGCGTGCGATGTCACACCGGTTCCAGGCAAGGGCCAGGGCCAGCTGGGAGTTGGCATTGGACCTGTTGGCTGGAACATCAGCAAAGGATGTGAGGAGGGGGTGAGCAGGGTGATGGAGAGGATGTGAGGAGAGTGGGTGTAATGGAGAGGAGGTGAGGAGAGTGGGTGTGATGGAGAGGAGGTGAGGAGAGTGGGGGTAATGGAGAGGATGTGAGGAGAGTGGGGGTGATGGAGAGGAGGTGAGGAGAGAGGGGGTAATGGAGAGGATGTGAGGAGAGTGGGGGTGATGGAGAGGAGGTGAGGAGAGTGGGGGTAATGGAGAGGATGTGAGGAGAGTGGGGGTAATGGAGAGGATGTGAGGAGAGTGGGTGTGATGGAGAGGATGTGAGGAGAGTGGGGGTAATGGAGAGGATGTGAGGAGAGTGGGGGTAATGGAGAGGATGTGAGGAGAGTGGGGGTGATGGAGAGGATGTGAGGAGAGTGGGTGTGATGGAGAGGAGGTGAGGAGAGTGGGGGGATTGGAGAGGAGGTGAGGAGAGTGGGTGTGATGGAGAGGAGGTGAGGAGAGTGGGGGGATTGGAGAGGAGGTGAGGAGAGTGGGTGTGATGGAGAGGAGGTGAGGAGAGTGGGGGTGATGGAGAGGATGTGAGGAGAGTGGGTGTGATGGAGAGGAGGTGAGGAGAGTGGGGGGATTGGAGAGGAGGTGAGGAGAGTGGGTGTGATGGAGAGGGTGTGAGGAGAGAGGGCATAAGGAAAGTGTCAGAGGAGAAGGGGTGAGATGGAGAGGATGTAAGGAGAGGGTGAAAAAGAGAGGATGTGGGAAGAGGATGAGGAGAGTAGGAGAGAAAAGAGGCATGAGAGGATGTTGTGAGAGGATTTTTGTGAGAGGATGTTGGCTGTGGATGCGAGTAGAGGATGTGAGGAGAGGATGCAAGGAGGGGATGTGAGGAGGTGATGTGAGGAGAAGATGGAAAGAGATGATGTGAGGAGAGCATGTGTGGAGAAGATGGAAAGAGAGGATGTTAGGAGAGCATGTGTGGAGAAGATTGAAAGAGAGGATGTTAGGAGGGGATGTTGGGAGCAGATGTGAGGAGAGGACGCAAGGAGGTGATGTGTGGAGCGGATGGAAAGAGAGGATGTGAGGAGAAGATGGAAAGGGAGGATCTGAGGAATGGATGTGAAGAGGAGAGGAGAGGATGTTAGGAGGGGATGTGAGGAGGAGATGTGTGAAGGGGATGTAGGGAGTGGATGGAAAGAGAGGGATGTGAGGAGAGGATGCAAGGAGGGGATGTGAGAAGGGGAAGGAGATTTATGAGAAAGAAAAAAAAATAAACATAATAAATAGATATAGTGTCGGATGGAGTAGAATGGTCATTGCTTCCTACCCTTCAACAGAGCATACAGAATAGCTCTGTCTATGTCTCGAATGGAGGCAGCATTCTCCAGGTTATACACGTTTATCTGTAGAAAGAGAGGAAAAACTGTACAACAGTAACATTTTTACAAAATTTACGCAATTTTACTTTCAAACCCCCCAAGAGTTCTGAAGTTAGGACTAAAATGACAACTAAATATAAAGAATGTACTATTAAGAGGGGTGTTTAATTGTAAAAATAATAATTCTCATTTTAATGAAAACAACAACCACTTGTTGTTGGCACCTGCATCAGGCAACAGGGAAGTAAACATGTAGGAATAGTTGGATCATCAGTTACCAAACTATTTAAACTGATGTGAACACTAGACATGAGATGTGAACATTAGACATGTGATATGAACACAAGCAATGTGATGTGAACACGGGACATATGATGTGAACACTAGACATGTGAGGTGAACACTGGACATGTGATGTGAACATTAGACATGTGAGATGAACACTAGACATGTGATGTGAACATTAGACATGTGAGATGAACACTGGACATGTGATGTGAACATTAGACATGTGAGATGAACACTAGACATGTGATGTGAACACTAGACATGTGAGATGAACACTGGACATGTGAGATGAACACTAGACATGTGATGTGAACATTAGACATGTGAGATGAACACTAGACATGTGATGTGAACATTAGACATGTGAGATGAACACTGGACATGTGATGTGAACATTAGACATGTGAGATGAACACTAGACATGTGATGTGAACACTAGACATGTGTAAGATGAACACTGGACATGTGATGTGAACATTAGACATGTGAGATGAACACTAGACATGTGATGTGAACACTAGACATGTGTAAGATGAACACTGGACATGTGATGTGAACACTAGACATGAGATGTGAACACTAGACATGAGATGTGAACACTAGACATGTGGGGTGACATGTGGGGTGAACACTAGACATGTGAGGTGAATACTAGACATGTGATGTGAACACTAGACATGAGATGTGAACACTAGACATGAGATGTGAACACTAGACATAAGATGTGAACACTAGACATGTGGGGTGAACACTAGACATGAGATGTGAACACTAGACATGTGGGGTGAACACTAGACATGAGATGTGAACACTAGACACGAGATGTGAACACTAGACATGAGATGTGAACACTAGACATGTGGGGTGAACACAGGACATGTGAAGTGAACACTGGACATGTGAAGTGAACACTAGACATGAGATGTGAACACTGGACATGAGATGTGAACACTAGACATGTGAGATGAACAATGGACATGAGATGTGAACACTGGACATGTGATGTGAACACTAGACATGAGATGTGAACACTAGACATGTGATGTGAACACTAGACATGAGATGTGAACACTAGATATGTGGGGTGAACACAGGACATGTGAAGTGAACACTGGACATGTGAAGTGAACACTAGACATGTGAGGTGAACACTAGATATGTGAGGTGAACAGGGTACTGGTGTACAACTGACCAGTCTGCGATTCTCCAGGCAGTCCCTGAGGTTGAGCAGACACTCCTGAATCTTCTTGTCCACTTCGGAGTCAGTTGACTTCCACACAAACATCTTACGAGCTTTCTCCGTCATAATAGCATTGAAGTCTCGAGGAAAGGAGCTCTTCTCCTCACTGAAAATACCAATATACATACATCATTGGCCCTATTTATTCTTCATGGGTTCTTTATGTATTGTTCATGTTATGTGTAGTGTTTCAAGGGAGACTACCAGGGCATTGCAATAGAAATTAGTATTGGGAGAATTTAAGCCACTGTTGCGCTACTATTGTAATGGATGTACAACACTGACAATAACCAGAGTAATGTTTCTTCAAACAATATAGTTAGACAGGTGACAAGACAGGTCTTCAAGGAATGCTACAGGTGGCTAGACAGGTCTTCAAGGAATGCTACAGGTGGCTAGACAGGTCTTCAAGGAATGCTACAGGTGGCTAGACAGGTCTTCAAGGAATGCTTCAGGTGGCTAGACAGGTCTTCAAGGAATGCTACAGGTGGCTAGACAGGTCTTCAAGGAATGCTACAGGTGGCTAGAAAGGTTTTCAAGGAATGCTACAGGTGACTAGACAGGTCTTCCAGGAATGCTACATGTGACTAGACAGGTCTTCAAGGAATGCTACAGTGTACATTGTAAAGAGTCCTTACTCCTTGCTTTTTGTGAGTTTGTAGCCGAGGGCAATGTACTCGGCTGCCCTGCCCGACCCCTCGATGACGACCACTGGGGTGTTACGCTGGATGGATTCGCTGACAGTCCGCATCGTGTTCAGGCCTCCCTCCACCACGATCAGCACATTCGGGACATTCACACCTGTAAAACAATATATCATACATGACAGACTAGAAGCATAACATCATATCCTTTCTGTACTGGCACTTCCAGGACCTGATTTATGACACATTGATCTGTTACAGGCTGTACAGGACTCACTCTGACTCTCCGACACTCCAGTCTCCACCTTCCTTGAGATGAAGCTCTCCAGCTTGGTGCGGAACTTGATCTCTGCCCCATACTTCCCTGATGTGCCATCATCGACGAGGATGAAGTGGGTGTGGTTGTGATCCAGGGACGTCGACCCTGACCCCGTGGCCTCAACGTCCTCCACAGCATAGGTGGCGGGGAACAGACCTTCGTCCTGAATACAGAACAGCTGGGGTTACAGAACAGCTGGTGTTACTGAACAGCTGGTGTTACAGAAGAGCTGGGGTTACAGAAGAGCTGGGGTTACAGAAGAGCTGGGGTTACAGAAGAGCTGGGGTTACAGAAGAGCTGGGGTTACAGAAGAGCTGGTGTTACAGAAGAGCTGGGGTTACAGAAGAGCTGGGGTTAGAGAACAACTAGGGTTATAGAACAGCTAGGGTTACACAACAGCTGGGGTTACAGAACAGCTAGGGTTACAGAACAGCTAGGGTTACAGAACAGCTGGTGTTACAGAACAGCTAGGGTTACAGAACAGCTAGGATTACAGAACAGCTGGTGTTACAGAACAGCTAGGGTTACAGAAGAGCTGGGGTTACACAACAGCTGGGGATACAGAACAGCTAGGATTACAGAACAGCTGGGATTACAGAACAGCTGGGGTTACAGAATAGCTGGGGTTACAGAACAGTTGGTCTTACATAACAGTTGGGGTTACAGAACAGCCTGGGTTACAGAACAGCTGGTGTTACAGAAGAGTTGGTGTTACAGAAGAGCTGGGGTTACAGAACAGTTGGGGATACAGAACAGCTAGGATTACAGAACAGTTGGTCTTACAGAACAGCTGGGGTTACAGAATAGCCGGTGTTACAGAACAGCTAGGGTAACAGAACAGCTAGGGTTACAGAACAGCTGGTGTTATAGAACAGCTAGGGTTACAGAACAGCTGGGGTAACAGAAAAGCTGGGGTTACACAGAAGCTGGTGTTACAGAAGAGCTGGGGTTACAGAACAGTTGGGGTTACAGAACAGTTGGTCTTACAGAACAGCTGGGGTTACAGAATAGCCGGTATTATAGAATAGCCAGTGTACAGAAAAGCCAGTACTACATCAAAATCAAAATTCATTCTTGTCACAGTGAGGCACTGATGACACTACACTGTCACATGGTATATTCCAGCAATGACAGCTAAGTTTATGCATCCTTAGCTCTAGGAATCTGACTGAGTGAAGATGTACCAAGCTCTGCATGAAACACACACTTACTCCTTCACCATCCAGTGCAAAGTTATTTGCCACAACGCCCCATGTTGCTATGCCGAGTGCAACGACCTTGTTGTGCTCCGGGTTGCCGATAGCGGCGGTGTAGTCCTGCACTGCCTCCCCCACAAACTCCATGACCCCCGCCGACGTCCCCCCTGTGATCATCCATGCACCTGGAGGCAAACAGTGGTCAGTGCTAGCCAGTCTAATGGTGAAATGGTGATACATTGATTACAAGTTGTTAACACTATAATATATCCTGGCACTGGTGTAGGCAGTGTCACATCAACAGGGAATAATTCAATTTTCATTGTGTTCATTGTAATTACTGAATTCTGATCAGCTGAACTGGTCACATGTTATCATGTTATTGCATTCATTTCCCAATGAATGTAAAAAATTAGGCCAAGCCAGGCCGAAGCAGATGACTTTTATTACTTTAGAATTTCGTGGAATCCCAATATAACAGTCGAGGGAATTCCCTTACTGCTCATGTGTATCGTTATTCACAGGACATTTAGCCCAATTCATGCATATTCATTGTCCAAACTACCCTTTGAGACTGAAGGCCGAGAAGGAATGAAACCTCAAACATGCAGGCTCGCTCTCCTGTTTTTTGTCTGCTCTCCTGTTTGAATCTGGCAGTAACTGACCATGTCGTTTGAAACAGCCGCCTTCTCCCAGACATATTTGTTCCAGTTCATTACTGTTCTTCTCGCCTCTTCCCTTGATTGACAGGTCCTATGAACCCTGTTTTGATCCTACTCTACGTTGATTGGCTACTGACTTTGTGTGTGTGTCAACTTATGTGCATAAATTAAGCAATCACCAGATTCATGTCACACCACAGTATGTATTCCTACACCAAGAATGTTTATCAATCTCATCATTTTTGTCAGCTTTGATTTATAACACAGTTTTTGGTTAAACTATTGTAGATAACACATGTTTTCATTGTCGAAAAACCGATGTGCTAACTATTGTAAGAATCTGCTCTGTGGATTCATACAGTTTGCACATCAGTTTTTCAATTCCTACCTCAATAAACCGAAAAAAATCCACAGTCGATCCTTAAATAGAGGTAAGAATATTTACTTTTTATGTGCAACATTAATTACCTGTACTTGCTGCTGCGTGACACAGCCCCTCCTTCAACAGTCTACGCAGTCGCGGCTTCAGGTCAAATCTCTTGGCGCCACCGGTCACGGAGATAATGAGTTTAGGAATGGGCAGGTCCCACAGGTCTGTCAAGATGGTCCAGATATTGTTCAGGTCACAGATGGGGTCCACACGCACATACTGAAATCATTGTTGACATACATTGTTGACAATGAGTTTCAACTCAAATAAGTAACTGCATTGAACATTCGAAGAACAAACACAGAGAGATTCCTCTGAATCATCATGAAGTGGAGCTAGATTTACAATGTATCCAAAATGTTGTAGGAAAACAAGGGACATATACTGGAATAGATAAGAGAACACATAACATTGCAGCTAAAGTTTGTCTGGTCTGATTTAAAAAAGAGTGCTATATACAAGAGTGAGTGAGTGAGTGAGTGAGTTGTGTTTAACGCTGCTATTAACAGTATTCCAGTTATATCACGGCGTGTCAGCTTAATGTGGGAGGAAAGCCCGAAGTGATGCAGGTCTCAGACGTTTACCACTTCGGTGAAACCCACGAGCACGGGTATGGTGCTGACAAACCTAGAAACATAATTGGGGTGAACCGGGATTCGAACCCACAATCATAGGTTTCTGGCGTGCCCAAGGGACGCAACTCTGCACAGCGAATCGCGGCGCCTTAGACGACTGGGCCACCCGTGCCCCCGCTATATACAAAGAAAACTTCATACCAATATGATTCTGTCTATCTGGTGCAAGTACTGATTACAAAGTGACTTCAATGAGTAAATGTACACATCCGACATCACAATTGCTTCCTTTCTCCCTCCGCGAGTACATACAAAACATGTCGGAATAATGGTTCCCTTATTTCCCCCATGAGTATATATGGATAACCTACCGGAGAGTTAGAGACATCATGACCGAATCCTCGAAAAAGAATTTCTCCGAAGGAATCACACGGCATTGTATCAGTGTGTGTCTTCATGTTCCAGATCTCATGTTTCTTCAGGTCTATGTGGATGCCTCGGTCTTCATGCCATTGTATGGGACGCCCGCACAGACACGAGTTCCTGAACGAGAATCAGAATAGTAAACTGGCCATGGTTCCAGCAATGCAGCATGCACGGACAGGTGAAATTCTGTCACCACTGAAGTAACGTTACAACATAAAGGTGTGTGTGTGTTGAGGATGGCAATATGTAGACCTATCATTAACAGGAATACTGCAACACTATGTCAAAGTTTTAATAGAAATTTACACCAAACAAAGTCAGTTTACCTGAGTTAAAGGTATCCCCAGTGTAACAACCTGTTCAGTTCAATAATACTGAACAGGCAAACTGTCGATATAATCATGGTAATGACCCACAGTAAAACTAGTTATAATCATGGTAATGACCCACAGGAAAACTAGTTATAATTATGTTAATGACCCACAGGAAAACTAGTTATAATCATGGTAATGACCCACAGGAAAACTAGTTATAATCATGGTAATGACCCACAGGAAAACTAGTTATAATCATGGTAATGACCCACAGGAAAACTAGTTATAATCATGGTAATGACCCACAGGAAAACTAGTTATAATCATGGTAATGACCCACAGTAAAACTAGTTATAATCATGGTAATGACCCACAGTAAAACTAGTTATAATCATGGTAATGACCCACAGGAAAACTAGTTATAATTATGTTAATAATCCACATGAAAACCAGTTATAATCATGGTAATGATGCACAGAAAAACTAGTTATAATTATGGTAATAATCCACAGGAAAACTAGTTATAACCACAGTAAAACTAGTTATAATTATGGTAATAATCCACAGGAAAACTAGTTATAATTATGGTAATAATGCACAGTAAAACTGGTTATAATCATGGTAATAATCCACAGTAAAACTAGCTATAATCATGGTAATGATCAACAGGAGAACTAGTTATAATCATGGTAATATTGACTATATGTGACTATATTAAACACAAGCATTCCTTTACCCTATATAAATAAATGCTCACATAATAAGCATGATAAGTATAAGCATGATAAGTGTCAGTTGTAACAATTGTAATTGCTATCAATAAACATGTTCATAATCACAATAATCATCACATGATATTGGAAAAACACTCTCCTGCCAAATATCAAGACATCATAAGCATGACTTACATCTTTGAGTTTTTGTCTTTTGCAAACTTCTTACACTCTCGTTGCTTTATTTTCCTTGAAATGAATGAAGAAACTGCTCTCTGAAACAAATAAATAGGAATGCTGAGATCAGCCAAATGATAAGAGAATTAATGGTGTTAGAATAAACTGGGTAATTTCTACCTGATTAATTCATAGATCTTCTACTGACTATCAGAGCTCCAGATAAGCTTTTGGTGTTGTGGGTATTTTACCCATGCATTTTAAAATCATTGGGTATCAGTAATTCTATCTGGGTATTCAAATTTCTGTTAACCACTAGTTTTTACACATATGGGTATTTAAGTTAAATATTTAAAAACACTATTCATCTAGTCCCTGCAAACTGGTGTCGTGTGGGTTCGAGAGCTTTATAGGACTAAAAAATACGAAGATACTTCTGCAAGAAAGTGTGATGGCAAATGATCATGATGTAACTGTCATCGTGGAGTTTGGCAAGGTTGACCGAATGCCCGTTTATAATTTCAAAATAAGTTGCTGATTTGCTAATCGAATACGCAGGGTTACTTCACAATATTTTGATGATACGCACAAGTTTTATTTTTGTAGCGTATCTGTAATGTTCGTTGCGTATTTGATACGCTTGGATTTTATTTTACTGCGTATTTCTCCATTTCTGATGCGTATTTTATGCAGATACGCAGCTTATCTGGAGCTCTGGACTATGGTTTACTTGTGCTCGTAACACTGATGGGCCAGGGAGGTCTCCTTGTAAACTTTTATATAGTTTGCTTGTGCTCGTAACACTGATGGGCCAGGGAGATCTCCTTGAAAACTTCTATATAGTTTACTTGTACTCGTAACACTGATGGGAGAGGGAGGTCTCCTTGAAAACTTCTATATAGTTTACTTGTGCTCGTAACACTGATGGGCCAGGGAGGTCTCCTTGTAAACTTCTATATAGTTTACTTGTGCTCGTAACACAGATGGGCCAGGGAGATCTCCTTGAAAACTTCTATATAGTTTACTTGTACTTGTAACACTGATGGGCCAGGGAGGTCTCCTTGAAAACTTCTATATAGTTTACTTGTGCTCCTAACACTGATGGGCCAGGGAGGTCTCCTTGTAAACTTCTATATAGTTTACTTATGCTCATAACACCGATGGGCCAGGGAGGTCTCCTTGTAAACTTCTATATAGTTTACTCGTTACTTTAATGCATGTTGTTTCAATTTCTCTGTCCAGATGTGATAAGCGAAAATATGATAGTGTTCCCAACATTGATTTACCAAAAATTCTCCAAACAAAGGGGGATGTAATGTTATGGACACTGTTGTTGTTGCATCCCCTTGTATGAGAAGGGGCCATGTTGGCCATGAAACAACATAACAATAATGAAATAAACTAAACTGGTAAAGACAAACAGCATACCTGGTTCAAGTGGCTTCCAGTCTCGGCCGGCCCAGATGGTACTTTCACTGTGTTAAGTTTCCGCATGAGCTTGTTGAAACTTTCCTTCAAGCCCTGGCTCTCAGGTTCTCCTTCGGATAATGTGTATGTTGCGTTACTTACATGGTCATCGACAACACCTTTGCTCCCTTTTCTTGTACTGCTCCCTGAATCCTCGTATCCATCGTTAACAACGCCTGGTTCGATCACGTACGTAGCAGTGCTGTTGAGGGACTCGCTGCCTTGGTGGTGGTGACGATGACGGTGCTTTTTCCTCAGCTTCTTTGGTTCCTTAGTAAACTGCTTTGAAACCCTGCCCATTGGAATTGAATCAGAACTTTGGTCCTGTGAAATGCTTTTCTTCTTCTTAGGAATTTTAGATTTTGATTTTCCTGAAGATTGATAGTCTGTATTAAATGGATCCTGAACAGACATGTTATCCAGCATCTCATTGTAGCTTCTGTGACTAGAGTACCGGGGGCCACGAGAAACACCCTCACTTACACCTGCTTCTTCAGAGTAGCCTCCCTTTGATGCTCCAGCTTTTACTATCTCAACTTCAGGGAGACTTTCTTTAAGTTTAACAGGACTTCCAATTGTGGGTCCACTCTCCGAATTGTCAGAAGCATCAACACTCCACTGATTCATGTTTTGAGTGTTTTTATGCTCAGGAGCTCTTTGAGCACCAACTTTTGCAGCAGCCCTGTGTTTGACATCACGGTCAGCCTGTGATGGTCTGTGAGTAGAATCTTCTTCACCATCATCTGTCCGATGATGGTGAGGTGGTTTCGCTGTGCCAGGACGATACATGTCTAAGTAGGAGTTATTGTCATGGTCGTCTTCCATAGTTTCCTTGACCTGGTGCAGGGCCTGCAGGTCAGCTGATGTCCCACTGCGAGCTGCGGCTAAGTCATCCAACTCTCTCTCAGATCCTACACTCAACACACGCTGTCGCAGAAGGAATGATCCCCCATCTTGTGACATATTTTGTTGACCTCATTAAGGATGCAGTTTTGTTGTAAGTCTGTGCACACCTGGTAATTAAATATATGCAATATTATATTCTTAGTCACAATATAAGTCAGAGAGTGTTTGACCGAAAATGGTTGTAAGGATTCTTGTCTGTCTGCCTGTATGCCAAACACATTGGTTCTACCTTTGATTAACTTGCGAAAATGAATCTTGTACTTCGTAGCTGTTGACTGGTAATCAATTAATATCCAAAAATGAAACCATTGAGTAACTAGAATGAAAACTCGTGGGGGATTGTCATAGTGCCTAACATAAGTTACACAAGACAATAGGGGCCTAAACATTGTGACATTGTTTCAATCAATCCCAATAATATTTAGTGTACAACTCCCATGACCATGTAATCAGTTCTATGTATTATAAGGAAAGATCAATCATATGTATTATGACAATCAATGTACCATATTTGGAGGTATTTTATCACGTATCCCGCCAAATGATGCTATGTTCCCGGTGCTTCATTGGCATGTTTACATCTGTTGACAAGTAGCCATGATGATTCTTAGAACAGTCGCTTACGTCAATAACGTAGCGCAGATATAAGCCTAAAGGTTAATGTGACTCCTCAGTAACAGTAATTTTGATTTGTAAATGCTATATTTATTGAAGAAAAAGTAATATTAACATATGGGCTTAGCATACTTTTATTTTACAATGTTGTAAGAACTGCTGGTGCGATTACTAGGCTCCCGTCTATATATAGAAGCGCATAGCTAACTGTGCGTACAGTGAAACTACAGGCTCCTCACAGCGATACTCCGTTCGCGGAACTCTCTATACTATGTTACCGAGAGTGTAACGAAGGTGTCACGCGCTGGGAAGGAGCTTGAGTGAAACTTGTTAAGTAGACTGGTTCCCTTTCCTCTGGTGCGCACTCCACACGAAAGGGGTTTCACCGAAGTCACATGACAGAACAAAATGGAGGTTTGCAGTCTGTACGTTATTGCTCTGCTGTTTCTGCTACAAATATGTATGACAGTTTCTCGCCCAAGCGATGTCACTGATTTCACGGCAGATGCAGCTACATGCGGTTACGAAGTAAGTGGAACGGTTCCGTATCATTTCGTATCCTGGTAGTTCCGTTACTCAGGATTTCTTAAATATCCACCCATATGAATATGATGTGTAGCAGACTAACACCTAGTCTCTGAAATGAACGCATTTTACTGAAGAATTTTGTGTGTTAATTTTGCTTAATAAGATATAATAAAAAAGAGTACTATAGACTTTACCACTAATATAGACTTGCATGGGCTCTATTGGTTATATATATTTTAGGGTCTGTACGACAGACTAGGGGTCAACTGCAGTATTTGGGTCCCCAGTCTACCAAGTGCTTCACAGAAATGTAACATTAAATATATAGGCAAAAATACGAACAGTACCTATCATGCCAAGGTACAAGTGGATACCTCTTGTAACATATTTTAACATTGAACTTGGCTCCATTTATAATAAATTATTTAAACGTTTTCATGTATCTAGATCTATATCTGCAAAATGTATAAAACCAGGTCCACATTGATTGTCAGGTGCTAACAGAAAGTCTTATTCTCAATAAATGCAATCAAATCCATTTATGACATTGTCTTATCATGCTTATGAAGGCATAAATTTAGGTGATACTAGTTACTACAGTCCATTATCATATACAAGGCGGAACAAGCCAATTAAATTCGGAATGTTTTACAAATTGCAGCGCCATCTGGCTTTCTCTATTGTCAACGTCCTTTCGTGCTCACTGACGTTCTTTATTGAAAACGTCCTTTCGTGTTCACTGACGTTCTTTCATACACATATTGTTGTTTCATACACATATTGTTCTTTCTTTTCTTGTGACGTCTTTTCGTAACATTTGATTATTAATATTGCATACTTTTGACATTTATTTCAACTTGTAAGTTTAACCGGCGTCTGTTTGTTTTGTGTTTTGACCTTTAGTAGTAACATTTAGTTCTTTAATTGTAATATTTGACCTTAATTGCATACTTTTGTCCTTTTTTTCAACCTTGTATTTTTTGCCCGAATGGCCGCCCATACCGTTTGGCTCAAAATGAGAACGATGAAAATCAAACGTGGGAATAGTCTGTTAAATGTCAATATGGTACACGGCAATGAATACCCTGTACCAAACAATATCTGTTGTTTGTTATTTTTATTCCCATCACTGGAATTTTGAAAAAAGTTGTTTTAGAAACTATCATGTCATGTGTACCAGTTGACATTTTCAATGGAGTGGGGACACAACAGAAGGAGGAAAAGCGCAAGCATGCACTGCACGTACTACATAGTATACGTCCTTGTTGACTGACAAGATGTGCTACTCAAATGATGTAGAACAGTTGATTTATAAGGTGTATGAATTCTTTCATTATGAAGCAGAAAGAGGAAAATGTACGTTTTATGCCACAAATAATACAAGTATGCTACATGCAAGCTATTAAAGCTCTTAGTGTGCCTCCTAACAAGCTGAGAAATGTTGTTCATCGACAGGACTCTAGCAATCAGTTGAAGCAGATGGGAACAGTTTTAAGCAAAATCAAGTGAGACGTGCAATAGTTAAGCTGCATTCAGAAAATAAGTACATGTCACTAAGACTCTTGAAGAAATAACCTTGAAACTGAACCTGATTTAATTGTTACAAAATACAAGCTCTGGCAACTGTTGCATACCTATGGATACAGATACAAAAAGATACGTGGTGAAAATGGGTGTTTGTGCTGTTCCTCCTACCATTGTGCCCCCCTCCGTTCAAGATGATAGTTTCTTATACAACTTTTACAGATATTGTTGGTTTCACTTTAAAATAGACAAGCAGATAATGTGGGGGTACAGGGTACTCATTGCTGTGTATCGTATTGACATTTAATAGACTATTTCTGATTTTGAGTTATCTTGCAATTCATTGTTCCAATTTGGAGCCAAACAGACTGTAAACAACCTAGGAATAAAAAACAAACTGGATAGAATATCACCTGAAGGATGCAAGGTTACAAAAAGACACATTGAATATAAAACTACTGGGTCACGGAAGTACCAGGATATGAAATGACCTGTTAAGAGATAAGATAGGACTCCATCATCCCAAGGGAAAATCCTATTGCACTGTTGAATAGCATTAAAATATGAAAAAAAAGAAATATATGATATTTAAATATGTGCTTCAGAAAATTAGACAGTTACTAATACCGGGGTATAACGACAAGTAAAAACATGTAGACAATTGAACACAATCACGGTGATGACAAGGAAAGGTTATTAAAAGTATAGGTATATACCTACTAGTCTTTGAAAGGCATTAAGCAGTGATACACATAAGGAAGAGAATTTACGGATGTCAACTTCTTTATTATGAGGAACATGTTTCGGAATATATTCACCTGATGAAGGAGTAAGCATATGCTCCAAAACATTGTGTTAATCATAATAAAGAGGTTGACATCCATAAATTCTCTTCCTTATATACCTACTGTCCTTTAGTTTCTTATGTGCCTTTTGACAATTTGCTGTTCATGAATTTTGCCGATGTGTTAAAATTAGGTTCCTGAGATTTTGCGAGCTGTATTTAAAATTTAATGTATTTCATATTTATTCTGAACACACAGGCTCCCATACCAGCAGTTGACTTTAAAAACTAACATTCTTTGAGTAAATTTTCTATAAAACAGAGAGAGTGTTGTATTATCAAATTAAATATACGTAGCACAAGAAACACTATTGCTTTTGACACTTTTTATAAATATGCTCCATGCTGGCATTCCAAATGAGTTACCAGTGGAGCTTATTATATGGACGATTGATAATTGGTTTTGAAAGGGTCATTCTGTAGAGTTCCAGATAAACTGCTTAATTGTGTAAAATACACAATTCCCCAATTAATTATTACTTGCTGACATATGAGCATGTGAATTTAGAAAACCCAATAGTATAACAACACTCTGCCTTTAACATGTTTAAACTTGTGTATCTGTATTTCTTTTCAGGCATCACACATGCATGAACTCTGCATGATAATAAGGCATAATATAGGCGCCTAATGTTAGTGAGATATCGCTGTTGTGAGTTTATGCCACATGTTGCACACTTTGTACAGCTCACAAGAAGAAGTCAACTGAAACATCATTTTAAGTCGAATTAACATTTTGTTTGTTTTCAAATATACTTTCTGGACTTTTCATTTTTCAATTTTGAGTTAACAGTAACCATGGTAACCCTAAGACTTCCCTGACATCCCACAGTAAACATTAACTTATTACATGGCAAAAGTTTACCATATGATCCCAGATCTATTTTGATATCCATTTATATATGTATGTGTACTCCTTTCTTGCCCATATCATGCATATCCTTTTTCGTTTTCAGAACTGTAACCCTGTGACAAAAGTTTACCACATGCTCCCCCATCTGTTTTAATGTCCATTCTTACATTCATGTGTTCTCCTTTCTTGCCCATATCAAACATATCCTTTTTCGTTTTCAGAACTGTATCCCTGTGACAAAAGTTTACCACATGCTCCCCCATCTGTTTTAATGTCCATTCTTACATTCATGTGTTCTCCTTTCTTGCCCATATCATGCATATCCTTTTTCGTTTTCAGAACTGTAACCCTGTGACAAAAGTTTACCACATGCTCCCCCATCTGTTTTAATGTCTATTCTTACATTCATGTGTTCTCCTTTCTTGCCCATATCATGCATATCCTTTTTCGTTTTCAGAACTGTATCCCTGTGACAAAAGTTTACCACATGCTCCCCCATCTGTTTTAATGTCCATTCTTACATTCATGTGTTCTCCTTTCTTGCCCATATCATGCATATCCTTTTTCGTTTTCAGAGCTGTATCCCTGTGACAAAAGTTTACCACATGCTCCCCCATCTGTTTTAATGTCCATTCTTACATTCATGTGTTCTCCTTTCTTGCCCATATCATGCATATCCTTTTTCGTTTTCAGAGCTGTAACCCTGTGAAGGAGGGGATGATCAATGTACACATAGTTCCACACACACATGATGATGTTGGCTGGCTGAAGACTGTGGACCAGTATTTCTACGGAGGTGGGAATTACATGAATAAATCCTTACTCCCTTCAGCATGTTCAGCATAGTTGTTGTGATCCAGCTTGCCTCGAACAAAACAATTTCATTTTATGAATAATCAGTTAATAGGTCAACCATTCCCTCAATCAAACTGTTCCACAAATATTTATAGTCTATGATAAGTATGAGTATTGATACAAGTGGAAACTGGCTATGCGAGTCAACTACTTTTCTTTCTTTTGTGTTGTTTGCAGACCATAATGATATTCAGACTGCAGGGGTACAGTACATCCTTGACTCAGTCATCCCGGAGCTGCAGAAGGACCCCACACGCAGGTTCATCTACGTGGAGATCGCATTCTTCGCCCGATGGTGGCGCGAACAGGACGACAGCATGAGACATGTAGTCAAAGGACTTGTCAAGGAAGGTGAGATGTGTTCAAGGGACTTCAAGGAAAGGTGAAACCTGGTCAGTTGTCTTGTCACGGAAGGTGAGACATGGTCAGGTGACTTGTCAAGGAAGGTGAGATGTGGTCAGTTGTCTTGTCAAGGAAGGTGAGACATGGTCAAGGGACTTGTCAAGGAAGGTGAGATGTGGTCAGCTGACTTGTAAAGGAAGATGAAACCTGGTCAGTTGTCTGTCGAGGAAGGTGAGACATGGTCAAGGGACTTGTCAAGGAAGGCGAGATGTGGTCGGCTGACTTGTCAAGGAAGGTGAGACATGGTCAAGGGATTTGTCAAGGAAGGTGAGGCATGGTCAAGGGACTTGTCAAGGAAGGTGAGATGTGGTCAAAGGACTTGTCAAGGAAGGTAGATGTCATGCTTCTAGTGTGCCTTTAGGAATTCTATTGTACACAGGAGAGTTGATGTGTGTGCATCTGGAACATCTATTTTGTCCCTATGTAGGATCATAGATCATGAGAAGAAGCAATTTTCTTGAATTTTTGATCGAAGATGATTCACTGCCTCAAGACCATGGCCATGTTGACAAATGACTTGACCCTACAGACACCTCCAGTTACTGTCTCTTCAGAGATTCATTCATTTTATTTATTGTGTTTCATTTGGTTGTAGGTCGCCTTGAGTTTATCCTTGGAGGATGGTGCATGAACGATGAGGCGTCCACCCACTACAACGCAATAATTGACCAGCATGCACTGGGGCTGGAGTTCCTCAGGACAAATTTTGGAGAGTGTGGTCGTCCTCGGATAGCTTGGCAGATTGATCCATTTGGACACTCACGAGAACAAGCTTCTCTGTTTGCACAGGTAAGATGGCATCAGGAAACACATTGCCACATGTGTATATACTGAATGACAGGAAACACATTGCCACATATGTATATACTGAATAACAGGAAAGACATTGCCACATATGTATATACTGAATGACAGGAAACACATTGCCACATATGTATATACTGAATAACAGGAAAGACATTGCCACATATGTATATACTGAATGACAGGAAACACATTGCCACATGTGTATATACTGAATGACAGGAAACACATTGCCACATGTGTATATACTGAATAACAGGAAACACATTGCCACATGTGTATATACTGAATGACAGGAAACACATTGCCACATGTGTATATACTGAATAACAGGAAAGACATTGCCACATATGTATATACTGAATGACAGGAAACACATTGCCACATGTGTATATACTGAATGACAGGAAACACATTGCCACATATGTATATACTGAATGACAGGAAACACATTGCCACATATGTATATACTGAATGACAGGAAACACATTGCCACATGTGTATATACTGAATGACAGGAAACACATTGCCACATGTATATATACTGAATAACAGGAAACACATTGCCACATATGTATATACTGAATGACAGGAAACACATTGCCACATGTGTATATACTGAATAACAGGAAAGACATTGCCACATATGTATATACTGAATGACAGGAAACACATTGCCACATGTGTATATACTGAATGACAGGAAACACATTGCCACATGTGTATATACTGAATGACAGGAAACACATTGCCACATGTGTATATACTGAATGACAGGAAACACATTGCCACATATGTATATACTGAATAACAGGAAACACATTGCCACATATGTATATACTGAATGACAGGAAACACATTGCCACATGTGTATATACTGAATGACAGGAAAGACATTGCCACATATGTATATACTGAATGACAGGAAACACATTGCCACATGTGTATATACTGAATGAACGGAAACGCATTGCCACATATGTATATACTGAATGACAGGGAACACATTGCCACATGTGTATATACTGAATGACAGGAAACACATTGCCACATGTGTATATACTGAATGACAGGAAACACATTGCCACATATGTATATACTGAATGACAGGAAACACATTGCCACATGTGTATATACTGAATGACAGGAAAGACATTGCCACATATGTATATACTGAATGACAGGAAACACATTGCCACATGTGTATATACTGAATGAACGGAAACGCATTGCCACATATGTATATACTGAATGACAGGAAACACATTGCCACATGTGTATATACTGAATGACAGGAAACACATTGCCACATGTGTATATACTGAATGACAGGAAACACATTGCCACATATGTATATACTGAATGACAGGAAACACATTGCCACATATGTATATACTGAATGACAGGAAACACATTGCCACATATGTATATACTGAATGACAGGAAACACATTGCCACATATGTATATACTGAATGACAGGAAACACATTGCCACATGTGTATATACTGAATGACAGGAAACACATTGCCACATATGTATATACTGAATGACAGGAAACGCATTGCCACATATGTATATACTGAATAACAGGAAACACATTGCCACATGTGTATATACTGAATAACAGGAAAGACATTGCCACATATGTATATACTGAATGACAGGGAACACATTGCCACATGTGTATATACTGAATGACAGGAAACGCATTGCCACATATGTATATACTGAATAACAGGAAACACATTGCCACATGTGTATATACTGAATAACAGGAAAGACATTGCCACATATGTATATACTGAATGACAGGAAAGACATTGCCACATATGTATATACTGAATGACAGGAAAGACATTGCCACATATGTATATACTGAATGACAGGAAACACATTGCCACATATGTATATACTGAATGACAGGAAACACATTGCCACATATGTTTATACTGAATGACAGGAAAGACATTGCCACATATGTATATACTGAATGACAGGAAACGCATTGCCACATATGTATATACTGAATGACAGGAAAGACATTGCCACATATGTATATACTGAATGACAGGAAAGACTTTGCCACATATGTATATACTGAATGACAGGAAAGACTTTGCCACATATGTATAAACTGAATGACAGGAAAGACATTGCCACATATGTATATACTGAATGACAGGAAAGACATTGCCACAATTATTATATACTTCAGTGTGAAGGACTGAGTTCTGAAGTTGATAAAAGTGATAAAAAGGTGAGACATGTGCCACTAATCCTCGGTGAGACATGCTTCCACTGAACGTCAGGTGAGACACATGCCACTAATGCTCAGTGAGACATGCTTCCACTGAATGTCAGGTGAGACACATGCCACTAATGCTCGGTAAGACATGCTTCCACTGAACGTCAGGTGAGACACATGCCACTAATGCTCGGTGAGACATGCTTCCACTGAATGTCAGGAGAGACACATGCCACTAATGCTCGGTGAGACATGCTTCCACTGAATGTCAGGTGAGACACATGCCACTAATGCTCGGTGAGACATGCTTCCACTGAATGTCAGGTGAGACACGTACCACTAATGCTTGGTGAGACATGCTGCCACTGAATGTCAGGTAAGACACATGCCACTAATGCTCGGTGAGACATGCTTCTACTGAATGTCAGATGAGACACGTGCCACTAATGCTCAGTGAGACATGCTTTCACTGAATGTCAGGTGAGACACATGCCATTAATGCTCAGTGAGACATGCTTCCACTGAATGTCAGGTGAGACACATGCCACTAATGCTCGGTGAGACATAATTCCACTGAATGTCAGGTGAGACACATGCCACTAATGCTCGGTGAGACATGCTTCCACTGAACGTCAGGTGAGACACATGCCACTAATGCTCGGTGAGACATGCTTCCACTGAATGTCAGGTGAGACACATGCCACTAATGCTCGGTGAGACATAATTCCACTGAATGTCAGGTGAGACACATGCCACTAATGCTCGGTGAGACATGCTTCCACTGAACGTCAGGTGAGACACATGCCACTAATGCTCGGTGAGACATGCTTCCACTGAATGTCAGGTGAGACACATGCCACTAATGCTCAGTGAGACATGCATCCACTGAATGTCAGGTGAGACACATGCCACTAATGCTCGGTGAGACATGCTTCCACTGAATGTCAGGTGAGAAATATGTGCCACTAATGCTCGGTGAGACATGCTGCCACTGAACGTCAGGTGAGACACATGCCACTAATGCTCGGTGAGACATGCTTCCACTGAATGTCAGGTGAGACACATGCCACTAATGCTCGTTAAGACATGCTTCCACTGAATATCAGGTGAGACACATGCCACTAATGCTTGGTGAGACATGCATCAACTGAACGTCAGATGAGACACATGCCACTAATGCTCGGTGAGACATGCTTCCACTGAATGTCAGGTGAGACACGTGCCACTAATGCTCGGTGAGACATGCTTCCACTGAATGTCAGGTGAGACACGTACCACTAATGCTCGGTGAGACATGCTTCCACTGAATGTCAGGTGAGACACATGCCACTAATGCTTGGTGAGAAATGCATCCACTGAACGTCAGGTGAGACACGTACCACTAATGCTCGGTGAGACATGCTTCCACTGACCGTCAGGTGAGACACATGCCACTAATGCTTGGTGAGAAATGCATCCACTAATGTCAGGTGAGACAGGTACCACTAATGCTCGGGGAGACATGCTTCCACTGAATGTCAGGTGAGACACATGCCATTAATGCTCAGTGAGACATGCTTCCACTGAATGTCAGGTGAGACACATGCCACTAATGCTTGGTGAGACATGCTTCCACTGAACGTCAGGTGAGACACATGCCACTAATGCACGGTGAGACATGCTTCCACTGAACGTCAGATGAGACACATGCCACTAATGCTTGGTGAGACATGCTTCCACTGAATGTCAGGTGAGATACATGCCACTAATGCTCTGTGAGACATGCTTTCACTGAATGTCAGGTGAGACACATTCCACTAATGCTCGGTGAGACATGCTTCCACTGAATGTCAGGTGAGACACATGTCACTAATGCTCGGTGAGACATGCTTCCACTGAATGTCAGATGAGACACATGTCACTAATGCTCGGTGAGACATGCTTCCACTGAATGTCAGGTGAGACACATGCCACTAATGCTCGGTGAGACATGCTTTCACTGAATGTCAGGTGAGAAATATGTGTCACTAATGCTCGGTGAGACATGCTTCCACTGAATGTCAGGTGAGACACATGTCACTAATGCTCGGTGAGACATGCTTCCACTGAACGTCAGATGAGACACATGCCACTAATGCTCGGTGAGACATGCTTCCACTGAATGTCAGGTGAGACACATGCCACTAATGCTCGGTGAGACATGCTTCCACTGAATGTCAGGTGAGACACATGCCACTAATGCTCGGTGAGACATACTTCCACTGAATGTCAGGTGAGACACATGCCACTAATGCTCGGTGAGACATGCTTTCACTGAATGTCAGGTGAAAAATATGTGTCACTAATGCTCGGTGAGACATGCTTCCACTGAACGTCAGGTGAGACACATGTCACTAATGCTCGGTGAGACATGCTTCCACTGAATGTCAGGTGAGACACATGCCACTAATGCTCGGTGAGACATGCTTCCACTGAATGTCAGGTGAGACACATGCCACTAATGCTCGGTGAGACATGCTCCCACTGAACGTCAGGTGAGATATTTGCCACTAATGCTTGGTGAGACATGCTGCCACTGTATGTCAGAAGACATTTACAAGTTGCAAGGTCGCTAAATCTGAAGTTATTCAAATGGTTTTGATTTGTTGAGATGACCTGATGACTAGATGACCTACAGGGCTGCCATGGTAGTTGAAGAGATGGCACAGCCAGTATATAGTAAAGTGCAGACTGATAGTGACCTGTGTTATCAGTGACTCAGCAGCCTTCTACTTGATATTGGCCAGATCAGTATCAGCCACAGTTTCACCTTTGTTCGAGGTTACCATCAAGTTTAGCGTGAAGTATGTCAGGCCTTCACAGAAATACAAAGGTTCAAATTGATTAAATATGCGAGCTGAAGACAGAATTGATGTTACAGAATGCAAATGATTAATGCTTTACATCTTGTTATGCATGTGCAAAAAGACAAATTAATGATTTTGCCACTAACATGTAGGTTGAAATAGGTTTCAATATTTAGTAGATCACTGGTTAAATAGGTTTCAATATTAAGTATATCACTGGTTAAATAGGTTTCAATATTTAGTAGATCACTGGTGAAATAGGTTTCAATATTTAGTAGATCACTGGTTAGATAGGTTTCAACATTTAGTAGATCACTGGTGAAATAGGTTTCAATATTTAGTAGATCACTGGTTAGATAGGTTTCAATATTTAGTAGATCACTGGTAAGATAGGTTTCAATATTTAGTAGATCACTGGTGAAATAGGTTTCAATATTTAGTAGATCACTGGTTAGATAGGTTTCAATATTTAGTAGATCACTGGTGAAATAGGTTTCAATATTTAGTAGATCACTGGTTAGATAGGTTTCAACATTTAGTAGATCACTGGTGAAATAGGTTTCAATATTTAGTAGATCACTGGTTAGATAGGTTTCAATATTTAGTAGATCACTGGTTAGATAGGTTTCAACATTTAGTAGATCACTGTTTAAATAGATTCAACACTTAGTAAAGATTTGAACTGAGAGCAGTAACTGCATTTTGATGAAGGGCAAGAGAGTGATGCCTGTATTGAAGGAAGCAGTCATAATATCTGTGTCTGAAGATGGCCATGCATGATGGCATGTGACCGTACAAAACCAAATCCAATGTTAGATTACATATTTCTCATGTGAGCTGCCCATGTGGTTTACCATTGTCAACATGACATTTACTCCTTGTATCAGCTTGTTGATACTCCATCCTCATGTTCAGCAGATCCGTCAAGATTCCGGGCAGGAATGGGTCCTTAGCAACCAATGCTTGCTGTAAAAGGCGACCAAGCATGTCGTAACAGGTGACTAACAGGATTGGGTGTTCCGGCTCGCTGACTTGGTTGATGCATGTCATCGATCCAAATTGCATGGATCGATGCTCATGATATCAATCACTGAATTGTCTGGTCCAGACTCAATTATTTACAGACAGCCGTCATATAGCTGGAATATTGCCAAGTGCGACGTTAACAACAAACAAACCAAACCAATCATATTCAGTAGACCCATGAAGATTCCGGGGTAGTAAAGGTCTTTAGCAACCCATGATTGATGTAAGAGGCGGCTAATGGGATTGGGTGGTCAGACTCACTGACTTGGCTGATGCATGTCATTGTATCCCAATTGCGTAGATCGATGCTCATGATGTCAATTACTGGATTGTCTGGTCCAGACTTGATTATTTCCAGACCGCCATCATATAGCTGGACTATTGCTGAGTGTGGCGTTAAACAACAAACAAACCAAACAAATCATATTCAGCATGTACAGCTAATACCATTTTCATGTGTGTAATATGTTCCTCTGCCCTAAAGTACAGAAAGAACTCTGTAAGTTTAGAAAGGTCAGCTGTTTACTGATAGGCATTCTGTCCACCATGTGCAGATGGGATACGATGGTCTGTATTTCGGGCGCCTTGACTACGCAGACAAGGACAGGCGACTGAACCATACAACGATGGAAATGCTATGGCGAGGAAGCCCCAAGAACATTGGTCAGTTTGTTTATTTTGTCCAAAACTTGAATATTGCCTTGTCAGTCATGACCATGCTGCTGTGCCTTGCTGTTCAGTAATCAATGTCTCTGTTCAGAGTTGCAATATTAACAATATGAATGGTATTTTTGGCACCATATCTTTTTAATTTCAGCATGTTTTTTCAGGCTCATAAAGGAACATTTTGGCTCCACAAAGTGTAATAAAGATTTTTTTGACAACTGTAAACATGATATGCTTTCCTGATATGTTTGTTTTTTTAAGGACTATGTCCATGATGTCTGTGCCCAAAGATTAGTAACATTAGCATGATTAGAGGTTTTGCTTCCCTGGCCTTTTTTCAAATGACCATGGGAAAATCTTTTGACATGTGTAATGAAAAAGTTGTAGGTCACGGTATATAAATAACTCACAGAAAGGTTTGTGGTCACACTTTCTCGAAAATTATTAATGTATTCATAATTAAACATATTAAACTTGGCATATTCCTTCTTTAGAAGGCCCTGCTTTAAAATGGTTGTGGTCAAGATTAGTCAAATGTCAAGGTTACGTTAGTAAATCATGGGGTAATACTGTTTTTGCAAGTACTTGTCAACACCTTGAGTTTAATACTGAAAAAGTCCAAGTTGACTGATCCACCGTGGTGACACTTTGCACGAGGCGCAGCTGTTTGTGTCACCCACCGACATCCGGGTTTCCTGCTGTCCTTGCTCTCGAGTAAAAACATCTACTTTATTCATGTGACATACTGTAAATCTTGAAATTAACGCGAGCGTGAATTAAATGCGAAAAATGCGAGTGGTCTTGGCTCGCTTTACTAAACATCGCATTTATATCAACAATAAGACATTTTGGATAGCAGAAATACGAACTTAGACATGAGCTGAAAACAAACAACTATGTATTCCACATCACTGTTTATTGAGCAGCACTTGTAATAAGTATATAAACAATATCATTCAAACACTAATTACATCCTGTGAATTGTCACTGCTGAGGTCAAAACGAGTTCTACTCACTTATGTCATCACTGATCACACCTGCAAGTCCAGACAGACGCCATCCACGCAACACAGTGTCTTTGTTCTTTGCGACTGCGTCAAAGGCCGAAACGAGCCAGCGCGCATGCATTGTTTTAGCAGAAGTACAGTACTCAGCGCTAATAAGCAGTTCTATTTGGTGTGTGATTGGATTAATGTAAGGTTGGATTAAGATGAGGATTCTCCTGTAAACCTGACAGAGGACATTTTCTTAAGATAACATATCCACTGATGCTTGAGAGGAGGGGGGTGTCGCTTTCATATTGAGTCACGTTTTTAGCAAGGGCCCAGCGTTCGCTCTTTTGTAAACGCATTAATTTCACGATTTACAGTATATAGCCTATATGGAGATTAGCAAAAGAACTTATATCTTGCCTCTTTATTTACGTCATTATGTTTCATGGAAATTCTTCTTATTTTAATGTGTTTTATTTTTGTATTGCTTAGTTTACTGATCTCCTACCCACGCAATAAAAATCAGAGGAAGTTGGGCAAAAACTGCAATTGACACTTCAGAATAACTAAGCTGACTGATTCCAGCCTCACTAAGACAAGTGGTACAGGAGCACTGATTATTTCCAGAAGTACTTACTAATCATACCTTCATGCAGAATTTGAACTCTTGAATAATCAAAGAGCTTAATTTTATTTTTATTTCAATCACCAACCAAATGCTTTGTGAACCCAGTAATAAGGAAAGCAAGGTGTGACTGTGAAATAGTTCATGTCCCCCATCTCTGTGTGATGCTGGGCGGTCGGGTAGCCTAGTGGTTAAAGCGTTTGCTCGTCACACCGAAGACCCAGGTTCGATTCCCGACATGGGTACAATGTGTGAAGCCCATTTCTGGTGTCCCCCGCCGTGATATTGCTGGAATATTGCTAAAAGCGGCGTAAAACCAAACTCACTCACTCACTCACTCACTGTGTGATGCTGTATACGTTCTCCCAGGTGCGAGGGCCGACCTGTTCACCGGAGCCTTGCCCAACATGTACCAGCCACCTCCAGGATTCTGTTTTGATGCTCTGTGTACAGATCCCCCTGTCATGGTAATGTCCCAGACCCTCTTTTACAGGACGCCGCTCCTCACAGGAGGTAGATCAGTGTGGCGGGACAGCAACAAGTGTCTCTGGACGTTGTTGTCATCACCCTCATCATCAACATTACTCAGCATTAATATCTTACAGATACATTATCAGTCTCTTACAGATACATTGTCAGTCTCTTACAGATACATTGTCAGTCTCTTACAGATACATTGTCAGTCTCTTACAAATACATTGTCAGTCTCTTACAGATACATTGTCAGTCTCTTACAGATACATTGTCAGTCTCTTACAGATACATTGTCAGTCTCTTACAGATACATTGTCAGTCTCTTACAAATACATTGTCAGTCTCTTACAAATACATTGTCAGTCTCTTACAGATACATTGTCAGTCTCTTACAGATACATTGTCAGTCTCTTACAGATGCATTGTCAGTCTCTTACAGATACATTGTCAGTCTCTTACAGATACATTGTCAGTCTCTTACAGATACATTGTCAGTCTCTTACAAATACATTGTCAGTCTCTTACAAATATATTGTCAGTCTCTTACGGATACATTGTCAGTCTCATACAAATACATTGTCAGTCTCTTACAAATACATTAACTGTAGATGCAAGGACTCAAAAATTCTGAAACGCTCGCATCACATGGAATTTATTGTCAGTGTCATTTCTTTAAACGTTTCACACTGAAAATATCGTTTGCATCACAAACTGTTAACGTTGAAATGATGCTTCCAGTGACGAGGTGACGAGGTGATGAGGTTTAGAAAACTACAATACAAAGTAAAAGAAATTTAGTTTGTGACATTTAGACAGTTTCTATGTAAACATGTTTTTGACATTTCTTAAAATGTTTGCATTAATTTCACATTTTCAACTCAAGAAGTACAATAGCATATAAATGCATTTACATATCATCACAAAATGTCAGAAATACAAAAAGAAAACTTACATTTGTGCTCCAACATACTTTCATACAGACTGTGACAATCGGCAGGCAACATGGAGGATCACACAGCACATGTACATCTAATGCATGTAGATTGTGTGCTCACACCTGATCACATGACAGGAAGAAGTGAAACTGAGGCTTCAAAATTGGTTTCAGATTGTACAAAAAACTCATTGCTGAAACCTGGGTTTGAACACACAACCAGCAACCTTTCTGGAATTCAAGTCTACATCTATATCCTCTGGACCACAGAGAAGCATGAGAGCTCCTGAACAAATTAACATGATAAACCTAATCAATAGAAAAACTTACATCTTAGCAAATTCATTAACAGTCTCTTGAAAATACATAATCAGTCTCATGCAAATACATTGTCAATCTCTCCTAACAATTTGTCAATTTCCAACAAACACATTGTCAATCTCTCCTTTTAACACAATGTCAATCTCCTACTAACACATTGTCAATCTCTCCTACTAACACATTGTCAATCTCTCCTACTAACACATTGTCAATTTCCAACTAACATATTGTCAATCTCTCCTACTAACACATTGTCAATCTCTCCTACTAACACATTGTCAATCTCTCCTACTAACATATTGTCAATCTCTCCTACTAGTACATTGTCAATCTCCCACTAACACATTGTCAATCTCTCCTACTAACACATTCTCAATTTCCAACTAACATATTGTCAATCTCTACCACTAACACATTGTCAATCTCTCCCACTAACACATAGTCAATCTCTCCCACTAACACATTGTCAATCTCTCCCACTAACACATTGTCAATCTCTACCACTAACACATTGTCAATCTCTACCACTAACACATTGTCAATCTCTCCCACTAACACATAGTCAATCTCTCCCACTAACACATTGTCAATCTCTACCACTAACACATTGTCAATCTCTACCACTAACACATTGTCAATCTCCCACTAACACATTGTCAATCTCCTACTAACACATTGTCAATCTCCCACTAACACATTGTCAATCTCTACCACTAACACATTGTCAATCTCTCCCACTAACACATAGTCAATCTCTCCCACTAACACATTGTCAATCTCTACCACTAACACATTGTCAATCTCTACCACTAACACATTGTCAATCTCCCCCTAACACATTGTCAATCTCCCATTAACACATTGTCAATCTCTCCCACTAACACATTGTCAATCTCTCCCACTAACACATTGTCAATCTCTCCCACTAACACATTGTCAATCTCTCCCATTAACACATTGTCAATCTCTCCCACTAACACATTGTCAATCTCTCCCACTAACACATTGTCAATCTCTCCCATTAACACATTGTCAATCTCTCCCACTAACACATCGCCTCTACTAATAGTCTGTTTCTTCCAGGCACCGTGGCCAAGTCTGCTTGTCGTGTCACACCGTATTTGCATGAAAACAGCACAACAGAATGTGGACATTAGTGCATGGAAGTGATACATTCTAAAACCCTTTTTGGTGTTGAGATTTCAAAACAGTCAGTGAACTGACAAAATGAAGACACAGACATGACTCAATCTAACGGCCATGTTGTCATGCTTGATGCCTCTACTTACTGTACATGAGTGTTCCGGTGTCTCTACACCTTGCTTCATGTCCACATTCTGTCCTGCTGTCTCAGCTCTTGTGATGTTCCTTCATGTTCTGTTCTGTTCTGTCTATTTACCGGAGCACTGTACAGTGGCTCTAGCTGCTCTAGGATGTTCTGTTCTGCTCTGTAATGTGCTGTGATGTTCAGGTGAGAGGGCCGACCTGTTTATCGGTGCACTTTACAGTGGCTCTAGCTGCTCTAGGATGTTCTGTTCTGCTCTGCTCTGTAATGCTCTGTGATGTTCAGGTGAGAGGGCCGACCTGTTTACCGGTGCACTGTACAGTGGCTCTAGCTGCTCTAGGATGTTCTGTTCTGCTCTGTAATGCTCTGTGATGTTCAGGTGAGAGGGCCGACCTGTTTACCGGTGCACTGTACAGTGGCTATGGTCCGCCTGGAGGATTCTGCTATGATCTTTCCTGCCGGGATTCCCCGATCATGGTAACTACAGGCTGCCCTGCCGTGTGCTGCCTGTGTCTGTCTGGGGCTTGTCAGGGCCCATGTCTGTCTGTATTACGTTTGCTTTTTGTGTCTAGGGGACAGAGCGGATCTGTTCACCGGAGCCCTGTTCAATGGCTATTCACCACCAGGTGGCTTCTGCTATGACACCTTTTGTCAAGACGAACCTGTCATGGTAAGACAGGCTGCTGTCAGGCACGCTACTCCTGACCCCAGTGACCTTCCCCTTGTATGTCATCTTCACCTTGGCAACTGCATGGAGTTCCCTGGGCAGTTTCTAAATAGGTTCTGAGTAATTCATCATCACTGATCTGTATCTGTGTCATCACAGCCTGTAAATAATCAAATCTAGGCTTGACAAACTAGTGACTGATATCATGACCAACTCTCCACAGGGTATGACATGCTATGAACCAATTTACCATTGAATAGTCATCTTTTATGACAAGCAGTAGAGTGCAGGATTTCTATTCTATTCAGGGCCCCCACAGTGCAGGATTCTAACCAGGGTCCAACTTTATAACCGTTACAGGCCACCACTAGGATTATCAGATGACCTGTTGACTGAAGCCCTTAATAGCGGTTACAGGCCACCAGTAGGAGCTTCAGATGACCTGTTGACTGAAGCCCTCTATAATGGTTACAGGCCACCAGTAGGAGCTTCAGATGACCTGTTGACTGAAGCCCTCTATAACCATTACAGGCCACCAGTAGGAGCTTCAGATGACCTGTTGACTGAAGCCCTCTATAACCATTACAGGCCACCAGTAGGAGCTTCAGATGACCTGTTGACTGAAGCCCTTTATAATGGTTACAGGCCACCAGTAGGAGCTTCAGATGACCTGTTGACTGGAGCCCTCTATAACCGTTACAGTCCACCAGTAGGAGCTTCAGATGACCTGTTGACTGAAGCCCTCTATAATGGTTACAGTCCACCAGTAGGAGCTTCAGATGACCTGTTGACTGGAGCCCTCGATAACCGTTACAGGCCACCAGTAGGAGCTTCAGATGACCTGTTGACTGAAGCCCTCTATAATTGTTACAGGCCACCAGTAGGAGCTTCAGATGACCTGTTGACTGAAGCCCTTTATAATGGTTACAGGCCACCAGTAGGAGCTTCAGATGACCTGTTGACTGGAGCCCTCTATAACCGTTACAGTCCACCAGTAGGAGCTTCAGATGACCTGTTGACTGAAGCCCTCTATAATGGTTACAGGCCACCAGTAGGAGCTTCAGATGACCTGTTGACTGAAGCCCTCTATAACCGTTACAGGCCACCAGTAGGAGCTTCAGATGACCTGTTGACTGAAGCCCTCTATAACCGTTACAGGCCACCAGTAGGAGCTTCAGATGACCTGTTGACTGAAGCCCTCTATAACCGTTACAGTCCACCAGTAGGAGCTTCAGATGACCTGTTGACTGGAGCCCTCTATAACGGTTACAGTCCACCAGTAGGAGCTTCAGATGACCTGTTGACTGGAGCCCTCTATAACCGTTACAGGCCACCAGTAGGAGCTTCAGATGACCTGTTGACTGAAGCCCTCTATAATTGTTACAGGCCACCAGTAGGAGCTTCAGATGACCTGTTGACTGGGGCCCTCTATAACCGTTACAGTCCACCAGTAGGAGCTTCAGATGACCTGTTGACTGAAGCCCTCTATAACCGTTACAGGCCACCAGTAGGAGCTTCAGATGACCTGTTGACTGGAGCCCTCTATAATGGTTACAGTCCACCAGTAGGAGCTTCAGATGACCTGTTGACTGGAGCCCTCTATAACCGTTACAGTCCACCAGTAGGAGCTTCAGATGACCTGTCGACTGGAGCCCTCTATAACCGTTACAGGCCACCAGTAGGAGCTTCAGATGACCTGTTGACTGAAGCCCTCTATAACCGTTACAGGCCACCAGTAGGAGCTTCAGATGACCTGTTGACTGAAGCTCTCTATAACCGTTACAGGCCACCAGTAGGAGCTTCAGATGACCTGTTGACTGGAGCCCTCTATAATGGTTACAGTCCACCAGTAGGAGCTTCAGATGACCTGTTGACTGGAGCCCTCTATAACCGTTACAGTCCACCAGTAGGAGCTTCAGATGACCTGTCGACTGGAGCCCTCTATAACCGTTACAGGCCACCAGTAGGAGCTTCAGATGACCTGTTGACTGAAGCCCTCTATAACCGTTACAGGCCACCAGTAGGAGCTTCAGATGACCTGTTGACTGAAGCTCTCTATAACCGTTACAGGCCACCAGTAGGAGCTTCAGATGACCTGTTGACTGGAGCCCTCTATAATGGTTACAGGCCACCAGTAGGAGCTTCAGATGACCTGTTGACTGGAGCCCTCTATAACCGTTACAGGCCACCAGTAGGAGCTTCAGATGACCTGTTGACTGAAGCCCTCTATAATTGTTACAGGCCACCAGTAGGAGCTTCAGATGACCTGTTGACTGGAGCCCTCTATAACCGTTACAGGCCACCACTAGAAGCTTCAGATGACCTGTTGACTGAAGCCCTCTATAATGGTTACAGGCCACCAGTAGGAGCTTCAGATGACCTGTTGACTGAAGCCCTCTATAATGGTTACAGGCCACCAGTAGGAGCTTCAGATGACCTGTTGACTGAAGCCCTCTATAACCGTTACAGGCCACCAGTAGGAGCTTCAGATGACCTGTTGACTGAAGCCCTCTATAACCGTTACAGGCCACCAGTAGGAGCTTCAGATGACCTGTTGACTGAAGCCCTCTATAACGGTTACAGGCCAGTAGGAGCTTCAGATGACCTGTCGACTGGAGCCCTCTATAACCGTTACAGGCCACCAGTAGGAGCTTCAGATGACCTGTTGACTGAAGCCCTCTATAACCGTTACAGGCCACCAGTAGGAGCTTCAGATGACCTGTTGACTGAAGCTCTCTATAACCGTTACATGCCACCAGTAGGAGCTTCAGATGACCTGTTGACTGGAGCCCTCTATAATGGTTACAGGCCACCAGTAGGAGCTTCAGATGACCTGTCGACTGGAGCCCTCTATAACCGTTACAGGCCACCAGTAGGAGCTTCAGATGACCTGTTGACTGAAGCCCTCTATAACCGTTACAGGCCACCAGTAGGAGCTTCAGATGACCTGTTGACTGAAGCCCTCTATAACCGTTACAGGCCACCAGTAGGAGCTTCAGATGACCTGTTGACTGGAGCCCTCTATAACCGTTACAGGCCACCAGTAGGAGCTTCAGATGACCTGTTGACTGAAGCCCTCTATAATGGTTACAGTCCACCAGTAGGAGCTTCAGATGACCTGTTGACTGAAGCCCTCTATAACCGTTACAGTCCACCAGTAGAAGCTTCAGATGACCTGTTGACTGAAGCCCTCTATAATGGTTACAGTCCACCAGTAGGAGCTTCAGATGACCTGTTGACTGGAGCCCTCTATAACCGTTACTGTCCACCAGTAGGAGCTTCAGATGACCTGTTGACTGAAGCCCTCTATAACCGTTACAGTCCACCAGTAGGAGCTTCAGATGACCTGTTGACTGAAGCCCTCTATAACGGTTACAGGCCAGTAGGAGCTTCAGATGACCTGTCGACTGGAGCCCTCTATAACCGTTACAGGCCACCAGTAGGAGCTTCAGATGACCTGTTGACTGAAGCCCTCTATAACCGTTACAGGCCACCAGTAGGAGCTTCAGATGACCTGTTGACTGGAGCCCTCTATAACCGTTACTGTCCACCAGTAGGAGCTTCAGATGACCTGTTGACTGAAGCCCTCTATAATGGTTACAGGCCACCAGTAGGAGCTTCAGATGACCTGTTGACTGGAGCCCTCTATAACGGTTACAGTCCACCAGTAGGAGCTTCAGATGACCTGTTGACTGAAGCCCTCTATAACGGTTACAGGCCAGTAGGAGCTTCAGATGACCTGTCGACTGGAGCCCTCTATAACCGTTACAGGCCACCAGTAGGAGCTTCAGATGACCTGTTGACTGAAGCCCTCTATAACCGTTACAGGCCACCAGTAGGAGCTTCAGATGACCTGTTGACTGAAGCCCTCTATAACCGTTACAGGCCACCAGTAGGAGCTTCAGATGACCTGTTGACTGGAGCCCTCTATAACCGTTACAGGCCACCAGTAGGAGCTTCAGATGACCTGTCGACTCGAGCCCTCTATAACCGTTACAGGCCACCAGTAGGAGCTTCAGATGACCTGTTGACTGAAGCCCTCTATAACCGTTACAGGCCACCAGTAGGAGCTTCAGATGACCTGTTGACTGAAGCCCTCTATAACCGTTACAGGCCACCAGTAGGAGCTTCAGATGACCTGTTGACTGGAGCCCTCTATAACCGTTACAGGCCACCAGTAGGAGCTTCAGATGACCTGTTGACTGAAGCCCTCTATAATGGTTACAGGCCACCAGTAGGAGCTTCAGATGACCTGTTGACTGAATCCCTCTATAACCGTTACAGGCCACCAGTAGGAGCTTCAGATGACCTGTTGACTGGAGCCCTCTATAACCGTTACAGGCCACCAGTAGGAGCTTCAGATGACCTGTTGACTGGAGCCCTCTATAATGGTTACAGGCCACCAGTAGGAGCTTCAGATGACCTGTTGACTGAAGCCCTCTATAACCGTTACAGGCCACCAGTAGGATCTTCAGATGACCTGTTGACTGGAGCCCTCTATAACCGTTACAGGCCACCAGTAGGAGCTTCAGATGACCTGTTGACTGGAGCCCTCTATAATGGTTACAGGCCACCAGTAGGAGCTTCAGATGACCTGTTGACTGAAGCCCTCTATAACCGTTACAGGCCACCAGTAGGAGCTTCAGATGACCTGTTGACTGAAGCCCTCTATAACCGTTACAGGCCACCAGTAGGAGCTTCAGATGACCTGTTGACTGAAGCCCTCTATAACCGTTACAGGCCACCAGTAGGAGCTTCAGATGACCTGTTGACTGAAGCCCTCTATAACCGTTACAGGCCACCAGTAGGAGCTTCAGTTGACCCGTTGACTGAAGCCCTCTATAACCGTTACAGGCCACCAGTAGGAGCTTCAGTTGACCCGTTGACTGAAGCCCTCTATAACCGTTACAGGCCACCGGTAGGAGCTTCAGTTGACCCGTTGACTGAAGCCCTCTATAACCGTTACAGGCCACCAGTAGGAGCTTCAGTTGACCCGTTGACTGAAGCCCTCTATAACCGTTACAGGCCACCAGTAGGAGCTTCAGTTGACCCGTTGACTGAAGCCCTCTATAACCGTTACAGGCCACCGGTAGGAGCTTCAGTTGACCCGTTGACTGAAGCCCTCTATAACCGTTTCAGGCTCCACTAGGGTTCTCTTGTGGTGACATCAAGAGCTCGGATCCGCCTCTTGTGGGAACTGTCAGTAAGACACCCCGCTCTCTCCCCAAGGCTTCATCTGCTACATATAAGTGTTATGGTTTTCTGTGACCTGCTACCCTTAATCAGGGCTATGTTGGGACCCTGTATCATGGCTATGTTGGGACCATGTATCAGGGCTATGTTGGGACCCTATATCAGGGCTATGTTGGGACCATGTATCAGGGCTATGTTGGGACCCTGTATCAGGGCTATGTTGGGACCCTGTATCAGGGCTATGTTGGGACCCTGTATCAGGGCTATGTTAGGACCCTGTATCAGGGCTATGTTGGGACCCTATATCAGGACTATGTTGGGACCCTGTATCAGGACTATGTTGGGACCCTGTATCAGGACTACGTTGGGACCTTGTATCAGGGCTATGTTGGGACTCTGTATCAGGGCTATGTTGGGACCCTGTATCAGGACTATGTTGGGACCCTGTATCAGGGCTATGTTTGGACCATGTATCAGGGCTATGTTGGGACCCTGTATCAGGGCTATGTTGGGACCCTGTATCAGGGCTATGTTGGGACTCTGTGTCAAGGCTATGTTGGGACCCTGTATCAGGGCTATGTTGGGAGCATGTATCAGGGCTATGTTGGGACCCTGTATCAGGGCTATGTTGGGAGCATGTATCAGGGCTATGTTGGGAGCATGTATCAGGACTATGTTGGGACCCTGTATCAGGGCTATGTTGGGAGCATGTATCAGGGCTATGTTGGGACCCTGTATCAGGGCTATGTTGGGACCCTGTATCAGGGCTATGTTGGGACCCTGTATCAGGGCTATGTTGGGACCATGTATCAGGCCTATGTTGGGACCCTGTATCAGGACTATGTTGGGACCCTGTATCAGGACTATGTTGGGACTCTGTATCAGGTCTATGTTGGGAGCATGTATCAGGCCTATGTTGGGACCCTGTATCAGGGCTATGTTGGGAGCATCTATCAGGACTATGTTGGGACGCTGTATCAGGGCTATGTTGGGACCCTGTATCAGGCCTATGTTGGGACGCTGTATCAGGGCTATGTTGGGAGCATGTATCAGGGCTATGTTGGGACCCTGTATCAGGTCTATGTTGGGAGCATGTATCAGGGCTATGTTGGTGATACAACCAGATATTCTAGCAGTTCTTCTCCAGTATTGCTCAAGCTTTTGTCAGAGCCTATCTCACTCTCAGCCATATGTGTGTCTTTGTCAGTGCCTATCTCACTCTCAGCCATTTGTTTAGCTTTGTCAGTGCCTATCTCACTCTTAGCCATGTGTTTAGCTTTGTCAGTCCCTATCTCACTCTCAGCCATTTGTTTAGCTTTGTCAGTCCCTATCTCACTCTTAGCCATGTGTGTCTTTGTCAGTGCCTATCTCACTCTCAGCCATTTGTTTAGCTTTGTCAGTGCCTATCTCACTCTCAGCCATTTGTTTAGCTTTGTCAGTGCCTATCTCACTCTCAGCCATTTGTTTAGCTTTGTCAGTCCCTATCTCACTCTTAGCCATGTGTGTCTTTGTCAGTGCCTATCTCACTCTCAGTATGTGTTTAGCTTTGTCAGTCCATTTGTCTCTGTTACACACTAAATTACAAAATGATTGTCTTTTGATTTGTTTATCATGAAAATTCTCTGTTTATTCAATTTTGTAAACATCCAGGTTTAGCATCTTGTAATGAACTGATGTATTCTATAATCATATATACATCTTGTAATTTGCCTGTGCCTGTTGAAACGTTCTCACGGCAATCACATTCAGAATTATTAGTCTTCATGTTTGACTTGCAGATTCTTCTAGTAACTTCTTGCTGAATACATTATTTTAGGATGATGAGCGTCTCCATGACTACAATGTGCCTGACAGAGTTGCTGCCTTTCTCAAAGCTGTGCATGACCAGGTGAGTCTCGACCCCAGCAGGGCAGGTATGTAGTGCGTGTCTCAACCCCACTCGACCCCAGCAGGTCAGGTATGTAGTGCTTGTCTCAACCCCACTCGACCCCAGCAGTTCAGGTATGTAGTGCTTGTCTTAACCCCACTCGACCCCAGCAGGTCAGGTATGTAGTGCTTGTCTCAATCCCACTCGACCCCAGCAGGTCAGGTATGTAGTGCTTGTCTTAACCCCACTCGACCCCAGCAGGTCAGGTATGTAGCGCTTGTCTCAACCCCACTCGACCCCAGCAGGTCAGGTATGTAGTGCTTGTCTCAATCCCACTCGACCCCAGCAGGTCAGGTATGTAGTGCTTGTCTCAATCCCACTCGACCCCAGCAGGTCAGGTATGTAGTGCTTGTCTCAATCCCACTCAACCCCAGCAGGTCAGGTATGTAGTGCTTGTCTCAATCCCACTCGACCCCAGCAGGTCAGGTATGTAGTGCTTGTCTTAACCCCACTCGACCCGAGCAGGTCAGGTATGTAGTACTTGTCTCAACCCCACTCAACCCCAGCAGGTCAGGTATGTAGTGCTTGTCTCAATCCCACTCGATCCGAGCAGGTCAGGTATGTAGTACTTGTCTCAACCCCACTCGACCCGAGCAGGTCAAGTATGTAGTACTTGTCTCAACCCCACTCGACCCCAGCAGTTCAGGTATGTAGTGCTTGTCTTAACCCCACTCGACCCCAGCAGGTCAGGTATGTAGTGATGTCCCCAGTACTTACCCCATGATGCCCCCAGTACTTACACCAGTAAGCCCCCAGTACTTACACCAGTATGCCCCCAGTACTTACCCCATGATGCCCCCAGTACTTACCCCATGATGCCCCCAGTACTCACCCCATGATGCCCCCAGTACTTACACCACGACGATGTCCCCAGTACTCACCCCATGATGCCCCCAGTACTTACACCACGATGTCCCCAGTACTCCCACCACGATGCCCCCAGTACTTACACCCGTATGCCCCCAGTACTTACCCCATGATGCCCCTAGTACTTACACCATGATGCCCTAAGAACACGTACCACAATGTCCCCAGTACTTACACCATGATGCCCCCAGTACTTACACTAGTAAGCCCCCAGTACTAACACCAGTATGCCCCCAGTACTTACCCCATGATGCCCCCAGTACTTACCCCATGATGCCCCCAGTACTTACCCCAGTATGCCCCCAGTACTTACCCCATGATGCCCCCAGTACTTACACCATGATGCCCTAAGAACACGTACCTAAATGTCCCCAGTACATGCACTACGATGCCCCCAGTACTCCACCACGATGCCCCTAGTACTTACACCATAATGCCCCCAGCACATACGCCACAATGCCCCCAGTACTGACACCTGTATTCCTCCTACAGGCCCAGCACTACCAGACGGACCACATCATCATGACGATGGGCTCGGACTTCCAGTATTCCAATGCTCACACCTGGTTCAAGAATCTCGACAAACTCATGAAATATGTGAATAATCAGGTTAGTGTTGCTGCATAAGAGATGTGAAGTAGGGGAGTCTGAAAGCATGTCATTCCGGCGGACAATAAGGGAGACTGACAGATTGTCAAGTCAGTAGGCAGCAGGAGAGACAGACCGAATGTCAAGTCAGTAGGCAGCAGGAGAGACAGACAGAATGGCAAGCCAGTAGGCAGGAGGAGAGACAGACCGAATGTCAAGCCAGTAGGCAGTAGGAGAGACAGACAGAATGGCAAGCCAGTAGGCAATAGGAGAGACAGAAAGAATGGCAAGCCAGTAGGTAGTAGGAGAGACAGACAGAATGGCAAGCCAGTAGGCAATAGGAGAGACAGAAAGAATGGCATGCCAGTAGGCAATAGGAGAGACAGACAGAATGGCAAGCCAGTAGCCAGTAGGAGAGACAGACAGACTGTCAAGCCAGTAGGCAGTAGGAGAGACAGACAGAATGGCAAGCCAGTAGGTAGTAGGTGAGACAGACAGAATGTCAAGCCAGTAGGCAGTAGGAGAGACAGACAGAATGTCAAGCCAGTAGGTAGTAGAAGAGACAGACAGAATGGCAAGCCAGTAGGTAGTAGGTGAGACAGACAGAATGGCAAGCCAGTAGACAATAGGAGAGACAGAAAGAATGGCAAGCCAGTAGGCAGTAGGAGAGACAGACAGAATGGCAAGCCAGTAGGCAATAGGAGAGACAGAAAGAATGGCAAGCCAGTAGGTAGTAGAAGAGACAGATAGATTGTCAAGCCAGTAGGCGGTAGGAGAGACAGACAGAATGGCAAGCCAGTAGGTAGTAGAAGAGACAGATAGATTGTCAAGCCAGTAGGCGGTAGGAGAGACAGATAGATTGTCAAGCCAGTAGGCGGTAGGAGAGACAGACAGAATGGCAAGCCAGTAGGCAGTAGGAGAGACAGACAGAATGGGAAGCCAGTAGGTAATAGAAGAGACAGATAGAATGGCGAGCCAGTAGGTAGTAGAAGAGACAGATAGATTGTCAAGCCAGTAGGCGGTAGGAGAGACAGACAGAATGGCAAGCCAGTAGGCAGTAGGAGAGACAGACAGAATGGCAAGCCAGTAGGCCTTGCAGGAGTTTTGCTCCTTCTTCAACATCTCTCCAACCTGCAGCCTCCCATTGTGTAGAAGAAGTCTTTACTGGACATTGTCCATTTTCTGATCTAATGTTTTTATCAATGAGGCAGGCACCACTTCTGTTGTGAAGCCTTATAATTGCATGCTAGGTCCTCCAGGTATGTACATCTCTATGAGAGCTGCCCTGACCACAGCTGGGTGTTTCAGCAAACCGCCAACAACAGCAAGGTGAATGTCCTGTACTCCACCCCGTCCTGCTACACCTACCGCCTGAACCAAGCAGACAAGACCTGGACCACCAAGGAGGACGACTTCTTCCCCTACGGGGACGGCCCCCACGCCTACTGGACCGGCTACTTCAGCAGCAGGGCTGCTCTCAAGAACTACGCCAGGAGAACCAACAATTTCCTACAGGTTGGAGAACTTATCATGGTGTCTGTACAACTACTGTAGTAGCCAATGATGAAAACCATTACATTCTTGTTACAGAGGGCACGTTATATCATAGTTTTAATAGCAGCATTAGGAAAGTACTGAAACCGGTGATGCTGAATTTAGCAAGGGAGACATGGTGTGAGACAACAGAAAGTTCATCTGTTGCATCTGTAGATAGAGGCTTTCTTAGTGACTATGTGATATGCCTGTTCCATGCCCATGTCTCACAGGAGGCCTCATGCCTTGTATTGTGCCGACCATAGTTTCTGCTGTATTCTGTAGGTGGTGAAACAGGTGGATGCACTGGCCCAGTTGGAGGACACTGATAACAGCACCTACAACATAGAAATACTCAGTAAGTACAGAACACTGCACCTACAACATAGAAATACTCAGTAAGTACAGAACACTGCACCTACAACATAGAAATACTCAGTAAGTACAGAACACTGCACCTACAACATAGAAATACTCAGTAAGTACAGAACACTGCACCTACAACATAGAAATACTCAGTAAGTACAGAACACTGCACCTACAACATAGAAATACTCAGTAAGTACAGAACACTGCACCTACAACACAGAAATACTCATATTGCTACAAGTGGATGTCTGTGTTGGTGATGTAACTGTTTTCTGCTGCAGAGGAGGCTATGGGTGTCGCCCAGCATCATGATGCCGTCAGGTAGGACATTTTACTGTCTCATGGCTTAGCATACTGTGAGTCTCATACTCATGATGTCAGGCAGGGCTTGTGCTCTTTATAGGCTTATTGATATTACTGACTAACTAACTTCAGTGTACAACTGGAATAAAACTCATTGCAGTGTAGAACTGACATATAGCTGACTAGTGTACAACTGGAAATAGCTGACTGCAGTGTATAATTTGAATATAGCTGACTGCAGTGTACAACTGGAATATAACTCATTGCAGTGTATAACTGGAAATAGCTGACTGCAGTGTATAACTGGAAATAGCTGACTGCAGTGTATAACTGGAATATAGCTGACAGCAGTGTATAACTGGAATATAGCTGACTGCAGTGTATAACTGGAATATAACTGACTTCAGTGTATAACTGGAATATAGCTGACTGCAGTGTATAACTGGAAATAGCTGACTGCAGTGTATAACTGGAATAAAGCTGACTGCAGTGTAAAACTGGAATATAGCTGACTGCAGTGTATAACTGGAATATAGCTTTCTTCAGTGTATAACTGGAATATAGCTGACAGCAGTGTATAACTGGAATATAGCTGACAGCAGTGTATAACTGGAATATAGCTGACTGCAGTGTATAACTGGAATATAGCTGACTGCAGTGTATAACTGGAATATAGCTGACTGTAGTGTATAACTGGAATATTGCTGACTGTAGTGTATAACTGGAATATAGCTGACTGCAGTGTATAACTGGAATATAACTGACTTCAGTGTATAACTGGAATATTGCTGACTGCAGTGTATAACTGGAATATAGCTGACTGTAGTGTATAACTGGAATATTGCTGACTGTAGTGTATAACTGGAATATTGCTGACTGTAGTGTATAACTGGAATATAGCTGACTGTAGTGTATAACTGGAATATAGCTGATTGTAGTGTACAACTGGAATATAGCTGACTGTAGTGTATGACTGGAAATAGCTGATAATTGTTGCCTGCATGTTTGACCATCATTGTGAAGTGTCTATTGCCTTTGTTGGACAGTGGTACAGAGAAGCAAGCTGTGGCGTATGACTATGCGGAGAGATTGGCTAATGGTGTGAATGAGTGCCAGGTAAGACACTGCCAACAGTCACAATAAAAAACATGCCAACACTTACACTAAAACACTTTCAACACTAACAATAAAACACCTGCCAACACGTTCAATAAAACATTGCCAACACTCACAATAAGACACTGCCAACACTCACACTAAAATACTGCCAAAATACTCATAATAAAACACTGCCAAAATACAGTAAAACACTACCAACACTCACAATATATGCTGTTTCCAGAAAGTAGTGAATGACGCCTATGGTAAGCTGCTCCCTCTGGGGACAATGAAGCCTCCTGGTCAAGGGTTCTGCACTCTCCTCAACATCAGCATGTGCGCTGCCACAGAGTCACAGAAGGAGGTCAGTAGCTGCTGAACATTGGGGAACAAAGGTCTCAAGGTGGTCAGATCAAGTCACTGGGAGAGGGGGTCAGCACAGGTCTCATAAGGGGGTCGGATCAAGTCACTGGGGGAGGGGCTCAGCACAGGTCTCATATGGGGGTCAGCTCAAGTCACTAGGGGAGGGGGTCAGCACAGGTCTCATAAGGGGGTCAGCTCAAGTCACTGGGGGAGGGGGTCAGCACATGTCTCATAAGGGGGTCAGCTCAAGTCACTAGGGGAGGGGGTCAGCACAGGTCTCATAAGGGGGTCGGATCAAGTCATGGGGGGAGGGGGTCAGCACAGGTCTCATAAGGGGGTCAGATCAAGTCAATGGGGGAGGGGGTCAGCACAGGTCTCATAAGGTGGTCAGCTCAAGTCACTGGGGGAGGGGGTCAGCACAGGTCTCATAAGGGGGTCGGATCAAGTCACGGGGGGAGGGGGTCAGCACAGGTCTCATAAGGGGGTCAGATCAAGTCACTGGGGGAGGGGGTCAGCACACGTCTCATAAGGGGGTCAGCTCAAGTCACTGGGGGAGGGGTCAGCACAGGTCTCATAAGGGGGTCAGATCAAGTCACTGGGGGAGGGGGTCAGCACAGGTCTCATAAGGGGGTCAGCTCAAGTCACTAGGGGAGGGGGTTAGCACAGGTCTCATAAGGGGGTCAGATCAAGTCACTGGGGGAGGGGGTCAGCACACGTCTCATAAGGGGGTCAGCTCAAGTCACTGGGGGAGGGGGTCAGCACAGGTCTCATAAGGGGGTCAGCTCAAGTCACTGGGGGAGGGGGTCAGCACAGGTCTCTAGGTGGTCAGCTCAAGTCACTAGGGGAGGGTATCAGCACAGGTCTCATAAGGGGGTCAGCTCAAGTCACTGGGGGAGGTGGTCACATGTCTCATCAAGGGGTCATCACATGTGATGTTCCACCTACATTGGCAGCAATGAGCATATCTCCATATGTCATACTGCATGGTAATCCAGCCTTGGTCAGTGATATTCCACCTACAACTGGCAGCAATGAGCATATGTCCATATGTCGTACTGCATGGTAATCCAGCCACAGTCAGTAATATTCCCCCTACACCTGCAGCAATGAGCATATGTCCATATGTCATACTGCTTGGTAATCCAGCCACAGTCAGTGATATTCCCCCTACACTGGCAGCAATGAGCATATGTCCACATGTCGTACTGCTTGGTAATCCAGCCTCGGTCAGTGATATTCCCCCTACACCGGCAGCAATGAGCATATGTCCATATGTCATACTGCTTGGTAATCCAGCCTCAGTCAGTGATATTCCACCTACACTGGCAGCAATGAGCATATGTCCACATGTCGTACTGCTTGGTAATCCAGCCTCGGTCAGTGATATTCCCCCTACACTGGCTGCAATGAGCATATGTCCACATGTCGTACTGCTTGGTAATCCAGCCACAGTCAGTAATATTCCACCGACACTGGCAGCAATGAGCATATGTCCATATGTCATACTGCTTGGTAATCCAGCCTCGGTCAGTGATATTCCCCCTACACTGGCTGCAATGAGCATATGTCCACATGTCGTACTGCTTGGTAATCCAGCCACAGTCAGTAATATTCCCCCTACACTGGCAGCAATGAGCATATGTCCACTATCGTACTGCTTAGTAATCCAGCCTCGGTCAGTGATATTCCACCAACAATGGCAGCCTGTAAATAATCAGACAAAACAGCGGTTGATGCTACCAGCAAACCTTATGTCCTTGTCTGTTGTCAGTTCCAAGTGTTTGTGTACAACCCCATCGGAAGGTCGGTGACCTACACTGTCCATCTCCCAGTAGTGGGCAGTGACTACAGCATCACCGGACCACATGGGGAGGCCGTCATGTCGGAGGTGAGTTACTGAACATGGCCATCCCTTATCCCTTAGGAGTTCATTATAATATATTTAACCAAATTCAGCCAATATGCAGGGATGAGAATCTTCTGTGGATCCGCGAATTTCCGTGAACTCAAATTTGTTAAATTCTAATGAACCCCCTATAAACACCCCCAAATTATGGATCCATTCCATATCCATTCTCATCCCTGAGTGATAAAATATAATATATTTCCTGTAATTGAGACCAGATGATGGCCTCACTGTAAGCATTGTCCAATATGATAATCGCTAAATAATCACTTGTATCGTCTTGTAATTGGAAAGTTGAGTCTGAGGAGTTATGCAAAGATAAGCCATACAGTAAAAAAGGCTGATAATGATTACTATTTTCCTGTTACTAATTCTAGTCACAAAGTGTCCCACATATGCCTAAATGCCAAAATGTGGGGTTGGCATCTCTAGAAATCTTTAGACATACATGGTGAATTGAGCCACGATCACATAAATATTCTACCACATGGTGATAAATTGTCAAACGCTGTTGTGTCGAAGTTGAAGGGACATACGTAAATACTACGAGTCATCCGAGGTTCGACACAATCAAAAATTGACCTCAGCATGCATTTACCAATTGTCCTGAAGCATGTATACCAGGAAGCTCATGTGACAAGAAACAACAAGAAAATGAAATAAATGTTGTCTTGTCAGTAAATTTGTGCTGTGAGTACATGTTTGTGACTGGACAATGACTTTCAGACAACTGTAACATTCGACACATCCGATTCAACACATCAGAGGTCAAATAATGATGAAAAAAGAAAGAATATGCTGTGACCAAACTTTTACTTCAAGAAAAGTGTAGGCTCGACACATCAATGTTTGACACAGCAGCGTTTGACTGTAGCTGTATCATGACACGAGAATGTCCTCGACTGTTTGTGTTCCCAGGTGTACCAGATCTCGGAGGACACATTCCGCATCCCGGAGAGGAAGGGGGCTCTGGCTGCCAATGAACTGTGGTTCTCTGTGACTGTCCCAGCTCTGGGATTCAGCACCTATTTTGTGTCTATGAACAGCGGTAAGATACCACGTCTGTCTGCACTGTGTACATGGAGGGCTTGAAATATACACCACTCACAACCATCAACATAACTAAGATGGCAGTAATTTCTAGTGAGTGAGTGAGTATTGTCTTATGCCGCTTTTAGCAATATTCAAGAATCAACCCAGGTCTTCGGTGAGACGAGCCAACGCTTTAACCACGAGGCTACCCCACTGCCCCTGGCAGCAATGTCTAGAATCAGGCTTGAAGTGTGTGTTGTGACAGAATGTATGGGCAAAGTAATGTGAGTCGTACTCATCTAGTATCCAGTATAGTTGCCATGGGGATGAACAATCAGCATGAAGCGTCATCTTTACTGTCTGGCTATATTTTTCATCCAGTTACGTCCCTTTGCTTTCATGTTTCCATCTAACAATTGACTTGCTAACAGTTCATGACTTTCTCAGTACAAACAGATAGGGACAGTATATTGTTATCACCAAGATCACTGAATATTTGTGAGGTGTGTCAGTGGTCCATTGTGAGATGTGTCAGTGGTCCACTGTGAGATGTGTCAGTGGTTCACTGTGAGGTGTGTCTGTGGTTCACTGTGAGATGTGTTAGTGGTCTACTGAGAGGTGTGTCCGTGGTCCACTGTGAGACACATTTTCAACCATGATATTGTTTTCCCTTACAGCTGCTGAAAGCCACGTGCGACCTAAGAAGTCATTTTCTGTGGGTGCTGACACCACTATTGGGAATCAGGTGAGTGGGATACTATCTTTCAGTAAATCAGCTGATGCGTGTGTATATATCTTTCAGTTCATCAGCTGATGTGTGTGTGTATCTTTCAGTACATCAGCTGATGTGTGTATGTGTCTTTCAATACATCAGCTGATGTGTGTATGTGTCTTTCAGTACATCAGCTGATGTGTGTGTATATATCTTTCAGTACATCAGCTGATGTGTGTATGTATCTTTCAGTACATCAGCTGATGTTTGTGTATATATCTTTCAGTACATCAGCTGATGTGTGTGTGTATCTTTCAGTACATCAGCTGATGTGTGTGTATATATCTTTCAGTACATCAGCTGATGTGTGTGTGTATCTTTCAGTACATCAGCTGATGTGTGTATATCTTTCAGTACATCAGCTGATGTGTGTGTGTATCTTTCAGTACATCAGCTGATGTGTGTGTGTATCTTTCAGTACATCAGCTGATGTGTGTATGTGTCTTTCAATACATCAGCTGATGCGTGTGTATATATCTTTCAGTACATCAGCTGATGTGTGTATGTGTCTTTCAGTACAACAGCTGATGTGTGTGTATATATCTTTCAGTACATCAGCTGATGTGTGTATGTATCTTTCAGTACATCAGCTGATGTGTGTGTATATATCTTTCAGTACATCAGCTGATGTGTGTGTGTATCTTTCAGTACATCAGCTGATGTGTGTATATCTTTCAGTACATCAGCTGATGTGTGTGTGTATCTTTCAGTACATCAGCTGATGTGTGTGTGTATCTTTCAGTACATCAGCTGATGTGTGTATGTGTCTTTCAATACATCAGCTGATGCGTGTGTATATATCTTTCAGTACATCAGCTGATGTGTGTATGTGTCTTTCAGTACAACAGCTGATGTGTGTGTATATATCTTTCAGTACATCAGCTGATGTGTGTGTGTATCTTTCAGTACATCAGCTGATGTGTGTATATCTTTCAGTACATCAGCTGATGTGTGTATGTGTCTTTCAGTACATCAGCTGATGTGTGTGTATATATCTTTCAGTACATCAGCTGATGTGTGTATGTATCTTTCAGTACATCAGCTGATGTTTGTGTATATATCTTTCAGTACATCAGCTGATGTGTGTGTGTATCTTTCAGTATATCAGCTGATGTGTGTATATCTTTCAGTACATCAGCTGATGTGTGTGTGTATCTTTCAGTACATCAGCTGATGTGTGTGTGTATCTTTCAGTACATCAGCTGATGTGTGTATGTGTCTTTCAATACATCAGCTGATGCGTGTGTATATATCTTTCAGTTCATCAGCTGATGTGTGTGTGTATCTTTCAGTACATCAGCTGATGTGTGTATGTGTCTTTCAATACATCAGCTGATGTGTGTGTATATCTTTCAATACAACAGCTGATGTGTGTGTGTATCTTTCAGTACATCAGCTGATGTATGTATATGTCTTTCAGTACATCAGCTGATGTGTGTGTATATATCTTTCAGTACATCAGCTGATGTGTGTATGTATCTTTCAATACATCAGCTGATGTGTGTGTATATATTTTTCAGTACATCAGCTGATGTGTGTGTGTATCTTTCAGTACATCAGCTGATGTGTGTATATCTTTCAGTACATCAGCTGATGTGTGTGTATATCTTTCAGTACATCAGCTCATGTGTGTATGTGTTTCAGGACATCAGCTCATGTGTTTGTGTGTCTTTCAGTACATCAGCTGATGTGTTTATGTATCTTTCAGTACATCAGCTGATATGTGTATGTCTTTCAGTACATCAGCTGATGTGTGTGTGTATCTTTAAGTACATCAGCTGATGTGTGTCTATTTCAGTACATCAGCTGATGTGTCTCTATTTCAGTACATCAACTGATGTGTGTCTATTTCAGTACACCAACCGAAGTGTGTGTGTGTGTGTATTTTCAGTACATCAGCTGATGTGTGTCTATTTCAGTACACCAGCTGATGTGTGTGTCTATTTCAGTACATCAGATGATGTGTGTCTATTTCAGTACATCAACTGATGTGTGTCTATTTCAGTACATCAGCTGGTATGTGTCTATTTCAGTACATCAGCTGATATGTGTCTATTTCAGTAAATCAGCTGATGTGTGTGTGTATATTTCAGTACATCAGCTGATGTGTGTATCTTTAAGTACATCAGCTTATATGTGTCTATTTCAGTACATCAGCTTATATGTGTCTATTTCAGTACAGCAGCTGATGTGTGTCTATTTCAGTACATCAGCTGATGTGTGTCTATTTCAGTACATCAGCTGATGTGTGTGTGTATATTTCAGTACATCAGCTGATGTGTGTATCTTTAAGTACATCAGCTTATATGGGTCTATTTCAGTACAGCAGCTGATATGTGTCTATTTCAGTACAGCAGCTGATGTGTGTCTATTTCAGTACATCAGCTGATGTTTGTGTGTATATTTCAGTACATCAGCTGATGTGTTTGTGTGTCTTTCAGTACATCAGCTGATATGTGTCTGTTTCAGTACATCAGCTGATGTGTGTATCTTTAAGTACATCAGCTGATGTGTCTGTTTCAGTACATCAGCTGATGTGTGTCTATTTCAGTACATCAGCTGATGTGTCTGTGTGTATCCTTCAGTACATCAGCTGATGTGTGTCTGTTTCAGTACATCAGCTGATCTGTGTCTGTTTCAGTACATCAGCTTGACGTTTGACGGGAACTTTGGTCAGCTGAAGTCCATGAAGAACCTGAAGAAGAACCTGGACATCAGCCTCGGCCAGAGCTTCATGTTCTACCCCGGCTACGCAGGCAACAACAGCGGTGATGAGAACCAGGCCTCTGGCGCCTACATCTTCCGACCAAACGCAACTTCTCCCACCAATATTGGCAGCAGCGCCCAGCTGTCCCGCAACAGTTACATACGAGAGGTGAGCCATATCTGTGGATGAGACGTGGATATTGATAAGAAGGGGTGGTTGAAGGGTGAATAGATCTGTATCTCTTTCTAATTTCAAAAACATTTTCTTCTCTTTAAAAACATTTTTTTCCAGTCTTAAAATTATATACCATAACAAGGTATTTTGTCCAATTACTATTAACATATCAGAAATATATTAATGAAATGTCATATTACGGGTATGTAGGAAAACTGCTACAATTAGTTCTCTACACTCATAACAAATTCCTCCTACAATGATTTCAATAATGGCACTGAAGGAATGGTGGCTGTCTGTGGGATGAAGGTAATGATGTAGATGTAGACAGAGGTTTTAGAGACTTGAGAAGTCGTAGTAGCACATAGCGGATTGAATAATGACTTGCGTTTCAGGGAAAGCTAGTTGAGGAGGTCTACCAACAGTTTTCACCGTGGGCCACGCAGATGATTCGAGTGTATGAGAATGAGCAGTATGCCGAGTTTCAGTGGACTATCGGCCCGATTCCAATAGACGACAAGATCGGGAAGGAGGTGATTACTCGATACACCACAGACTTGGCCACACAGGGCCTCTTCTACACCGACGCCAATGGCAGGGAGGTGCTCCGGAGACAGCGCAACCACCGCGACACGTGGGACCTGAACGTGACGGAACCCGTGTCTCAGAACTACTACCCCGTCAACAGCAGGATCTACATGCAGGACGTCAGCAGGAACCTGCAGCTCACTGTCCTCAACGACCGGTCCGAGGGTGGCGGCAGTCTTCAGGACGGCGCGCTTGAGCTGATGCTGCACCGTCGGCTGATCAAGGACGATGCCCGCGGTGTGGGGGAACCCATGAACGAGACCGGTGCTGATGGCAAGGGCCTGATTGTCCGAGGCTACCACTACGTGTTCCTTGACACCATCGCCGACTCGGCCCGACTGCACCGTGACCTCGGGGAAAGACTCTTCATGGCACCATCATTGTCCTTTACCAATGTAAAGACGAAGTATTCCGACTGGAGCAAGAACTTCAAAACAAATGTAAGATTTTTTTGTGAGTGAATGAGTGAGTTGGATTTTAAGTTGCTTGAACAGTTTGTCAGCTCCGGGTGGGAGGGCAGTCCGACTTTATTTAGGTCAATGGTGTTGATCATTTCGTAAAATGCATGAACAAGGCTTTTTGTTTAAGATTGAACTAAAAACAAGAATTAATCAGCAATTAGGAACAAATGCCATTAAGTCTGTCTGTTCAAATAGCGATGTTCCACAAAGTGAGATGTCTATCATGAGCCAGTGTGTGGTACAATACATAGTGATAATTTTGGTAAAAAGTGTGCATAATACACTAGAAAATATGGTATAATATTTGGTTTGTTTCTGTAATATCTGTAATTGAAGTAGTTGTAAACAAGTGTGTAATATCATGATAGGCCAATCGATGTCCGTTTGTTCAATAAGATTAGTTGTAGGTAAGCACAATTACATGCTGTTATGTAACATGTGACAGTCTTGAATAAACAGCTGGTCAAGTGTCAGGCTCATCTCCCTCCTCCTGCGTATGTCATTCCTCTCTGAGAACCAACAGTTTTGATAACTTCTCTACCGTTTCAGTGGTCTGGACTGAAGCGTGAGTTGCCTGCCAACGTTCACCTGCTGACCTTGGAGCAGTACGCTGGGTCCGGCCCCGCCCCCTCCACTCTGCAGCCCTACCTGCTGAGACTGGAGCACTTCTATGAGAAGGACGAGGATGCAACTCTCTCTGCCCCGGTCACAGTATCCTTGAAGGTAAAACAGCTGGCAGCTTGTACTCCACATTCTACCATGACATTGAAGGATGCTTGATTCTGATTGGTTAAAAAGAGGTTTCCTATTTGCTACGGAAATCCCTTTTAAATATATTAAGCCTTTTCACACAAAAATGTGCGACTGAATTCATTGATAGCCTACATATCGAATCATAAGAAATAGCTGCCAATCAATCACCAATAGGAACTAAAAAACTATCGATATTTCCTCGATTATATGCTGGGTCTCAAATACAAGCCAGGTCTCTAATACATGCTGGCATCTTGTAGATAACAACTGACTTCTTTATGTTTTGCTTTTGTTAAGGTAGAAAATAAAAACCAACATGCACACTAGGTTTACAAAGTGTGCATACTGGTTATTAAAATTATGCCTCCATGAACACAAACTGAAGTCAATTCTTGTGGATATATATGTTGAAAATAAGAACTTCACATGTTGCTAAAAAAATGTGAACGATACAAAATAAGTGACATTGTTCAGTGCAATAATGCCCAGTCCTCCCTATTATCAGGAAACAATAGTCTGGTGGTAGACGTCGCCTCACTTAATGGAAACATTGACACAAGCCCTGCCCACTCCATTATCAGGAAACAATAGTCTGGTGGTAGACGTCGCCTCACTTAATGGAAACATTGACACAAGCCCTGCCCACTCCATTATCAGGAAACAATAGTCTGGTGGTAGATGTCGCCTCACTTAATGGAAACATTGACACAAGCCCTGCCCACTCCATTATCAGGAAACAGTAGTCTGGTGGTAGATGTCGCCTCACTTAATGGAAACATTGACACAAGCCCTGCCCACTCCATTATCAGGAAACAGTAGTCTGGTGGTAATGTAATGTACATGTAATGTGTCTTTATGCCTGTAACCAGTGTTTCAGGATACTGAGAGATTATTGCAACCAGAAGGCCAGATCATGTTATCTACTTGTTTACAGGATAACCTGTCACTTATGGTACATTCTCATAAATAGAAATCCATCAATAGTCATGCCATGTTACCTTTTCTATCAAACTTTACAGTAGCATTAATATTTTGACTGTTAGTCGTTTCCTACTTGTGGGAAGAAACTTCACATGAAGAAAAGACAGAATGTTTTCCACACAGAAATACCTCCCCAAGAGGTGGGTATAATACATAGAAGACACGGGTTCGATTCCCGACCTGGGTACAATGTGTGAAGGCCATTTCTCATCCCCCGGTGTGATATTACTGGAATATTGCTAAAAAGCGGCATAAAACCATACTCACCACTTCTGATCTCCGACCTTATCAGCTTTAGGTGACTTAGTGGGGGTGATATCTGATACTTAGGTTGTTTCGAGATTTTTATTCTTTTCCCTCCTTCATGGGATCAGGTTTAACACGAGTCCTTACATTGATCTGAGTTAAAATGAAAAAGTATTTGTTGAACAAGCATATGTTTCTGGCAGAAGTCAATGCTTTGAGACTTATTCATGTAATTTCTTCCCAGGATCTGTTTGTGCCCTTTGATATCGAGTCTGTGACAGAGCTAACACTGGGGTCCAACCTGCCACTCGCCCAGCTGAACCGCCTCAAGTGGAAGACGACAGACAGTGGAAACAAAGGTAACGATTTTACTCGATTGTCAGCCACTTGTGTTTGATTGTCACTCTCTTGTGTTTGTTTGCTACCCACATATGTTTGTTTGTCAGCCTGTTGTGTTTGTTTGTCATCCTCGTGTTTGTCAGCCCCTTACGTTTGTCAGCTTCGTGTTTGTTTGTCATCCTCTTGTTTGTCAGCCCCTTGTGTTTGTCACCCTGTTGTGTTTATTTGTCAGCCTCTTGTGTTCGTTTGTCAGCCTCTTATGTTTGTTTACCAGCCTCTTGTGTTTGTTTGTCAGCCTTTGTTTGTTGGACTGTAATAACAAATAGGATGAGGATGTTACACAGATGTCATGTTGCTCATTACATTAAATACTTCCATCTGTTTCTGTAGATACGACCTTGAGGTTTAAGCCTGAGTCCCACCCTGAACAGGCAGCTGCTCCCCTGGACATAACGCTGAACCCCATGGAGATCCGGACATTCCAGGTGAAGCTCCGGACCACGCAGCACTAAGCACACAGCAAAGACCACTGGGGACAACCACCGGCAAACTAACACGGAAATTATACCTGATCCTGATAATGTGACGCTAATGAATGCTATTTTACAATTTAGGGGGGATGGGGGCAGGGAGGGATCATCAAATGATCAACATGTAGGCATCACAAGAGGACTTCCTTGACGTGTGGGAGGAAACTTGTGTGAACATTGTGTGTGTACAGGGGTATGTGTGTGTGTGTGTGTACGGGTGTGTGTGTGTACAGGGGTGTGTGTGTGTGTGTGTATACAGGGGTGTGTGTGTGTACAGGGGGTGTATGTGTGTGTAATATCTCCCAAGGTAATGAACTGAATCACTATCGTAGGTAAAACTGGATGGAATACAAAAAGGAACATGCCAGTTCTAAATCACATTTTGTTGTGTTGGTGTTGCCTTGTCTGTTGTATGATTGATTGGATAGTTTATGTGTTTTCTCTTTGAACACACAATCCCATTTAGAAAGTGGTCAAATGCAACAAATGATATATTTTGGATAACACTTTCTTCGTAAAGTACAATTTCTCGTTGACATTTTCACAATACACTTTACAGGTTGTGACATGTCAATATGAAGTTCTCCGTACTGTAGGTGATGTCAGGGAAGACATTGAACTAGCATACACAGGTATGAAAGCGTAAGAAGTGAACAGCACTGTGAACTATGTTTAGTATTATTATATGGTGACAAACATCAAAATGTTTATCACATCACTTAACAATATTCCAAGGAGGATACAAGGTTGAAGTCTGAAGTGCAATATTCGCCAGCAACAAACAGTCATGTAAACTACAGCATTGTGTCAAAATTGTGATGATATCTTCTTGCAACATTGTTTCGAGATTGTTGTGATGATATCTTCCTACAACATTGCAGGGTTGCACACTCTTGCATTTTGAAGCATAGTATTAAGACAAAGTATATCGTAAATGCATTACAACGAATACACCAAACAGAAACAGAAATTGATTCATGGAGTATTTGCTTTCATATTTTATATATTTATATATGTTTATATGTTAGCTTAACTTGTGATCACAAAATGCATCCTTCCTTTTAAACAAAGCTCTAGTCGTGCTTGCCATTAGTTTGGACAGATCATTCGTTATTGTGCAGCAGTCAATGAAAGTATCACAGTCTTCGCTGTACCATTCACTCCAAACAATTAATGCCTTTATGCCAATAAAGTTTTTACTTCATTTATAGTTCTTTTGTTTATGTTTTCCTTGCAAACAATACGATGGGAATTGTTGTCATGGTTGATAGAGCTCTGAACTGATGTCATGGTTGAGAGATGTCTGAACTGTCATGGATGATGGAGCTCTGAACTGTTGTCATGGTTGAGAGATGTCTGAACTGTCATGGATGATGGAGCTCTGAACTGTTGTCATGGTTGAGAGATGTCTAAACTGTCATGGATGATGGAGCTCTGAACTGTTGTCATGGTTGAGATATGTCTGAACTGTCATGGATGATGGAGCTCTGAACTGTTGTCATGGTTGAGAGATGTCTGAACTGTCATGGATGATGGAGCTCTGAACTGTTGTCATGGTTGAGAGATGTCTGAACTGTCATGGATGATGGAGCTCTGAACTGTTGTCATGGTTGAGAGATGTCTGAACTATCATGGATGATGGAGCACTGAACTGTTGTCATGGTTGAGAGATGTCTGAACTGTCATGGATGATGGAGCTCTGAACTGTTGTACCAAGCTCTGAACGGTTGTGGTTGAAGAAGTTCTGAACTGTTGTTATTATTGAAGAAGCTCTGAACTGCTGAGGTTGATGAAGCTCTGAACTGTTATGGTTGATAAAGCTCTGAACTGTTGTGATTGATGAAGATCTGAACTGTTGTCCTGGTTGATGGAGCTCTGAACTGTTGTGGTTGATGAAGCTCTGAACTGTTGAGGTTGATGAAGCTCTGAACTGTTGTCATGGTTGATGGAGCTCTGAACTGTTGTTATGGTTGATGAAGCTCTGAACTGATGCAGGACGTTTACCACTTCGGTGAAACCCACGAGCACGGGTATGGTGCTGACAAACCTCGAAACATAATCAGGGCCAAACAGGATTGGAACCCACAATCATAGGTTTCTGGTGTGTCCAAGGGGCGCAACGCAGCACAGTGAAACGCAGCGCCTTAGACAAATTGCCACCCGTGCCCCCCTTGTGGTTGATGAAACTCTGAACTGTTGTCATAGTTGACGGTCTGAACTGTTGTCATGGTTGATGGAGCTCTGAACTATTGAGGTTGATGAAGATCTGAACTGTTGTCATGGTTGATGGAGCTCTGAACTTTTGAGGTTGATGAAGCTCTGAACTGTTATTGTTGATGGAGCTCTGAATTGTGGTTGATAAAGCTCTGAACTGCTGTCATGGTTGATGAAGGTCTGAATGGTTGAGGTTGATGAAGCTATGAACGGTTGTGGTTGAAGATCTGAACTGTTGTCATGGTTGATGGAGCTCTGAACTTTTGAGGTTGATGAAGCTCTGAACTGTTATTGTTGATGGAGCTCTGAATTGTGGTTGATAAAGCTCTGAACTGTTGTCATGGTTGATGAAGGGCTGAACTGTTGAGGTTGATGAAGCTCTGAACTGTTGAGGTTGATGAAGCTCTGAACTGTTATGGTTGATAAAGCTCTGAACTGTTGTGATTGATGAAGATTTGAACTGTTGTCCTGGTTGATGGAGCTCTGAAATGTTGTGGTTGATGAAGCTCTGAACTGTTGAGGTTGATGAAGCTCTGAACTGTCATGGTTGATAGAGCCCTGAACGTTTGTCATGGTTGATGGAGCTCTGAACTGTTGTTATGGTTAATGAAGCTCTGAAGCGCAGGACGTTTACCACTTCGGTGAAACCCTCAAGCACGGGTATGGTGCTGACAAACCTCGAAACATAATCGGGGCCAAACGGGATTGGAACCAACAATCATAGGTTTCTGGTGTGTCTAAGGGACGCAAAGCAGCACAGTGAAACGCGGCGCCTTAGACAACTGGTCCACCCGTGCCCCCTTGTGGTTGATGAAACTCTGAACTGTTATTGTTGATGAAGCTCTGAACTGCTGTCATAGTTGATGGTCTGAATGGTTGAGGTTGATGAAGCTCTGAACTGTTGAGGTTGATGAAGCTCTGAACTGTTATTGTTGATGGAGCTCTGAATTGTGGTTGATAAGGCTCTGAACTGCTGTCATGGTTGATGAAGGTCTGAATGGTTGAGGTTGATGAAGCTATGAACGGTTGTGGTTGAAGATCAGAACTGTTGTTATGATTGATGAAGCTCTGAACTGCTGAGGTTGATGAAGCTCTGAACTGTTATTGTTGATGAAGATCTGAACTGTTGTCATGTTTGATGGAGCTCTGAACTGTTGTGGTTGATGAAGCTCTGAACTGTTGTTATGGTTGATGAAGCTCTGAACTGTTGTCATGGTTGAAGTTCTGAACTGTTGCCAGTGAGATGGGAGAATTTTGTTATGTTTTCATGGAAACAATTTGGACATAGTCTCAAACAACTCTAGGCCTCGTTTTTAGAGCCATAACTCTCAAAACTAATATATAAATTCCTTCGAATGGCCTACGTCTATTACAACATAGCCACAAATTCCTGTTTGGCTGTCAATCACACTAACTTTATTAAATTTTCAATAGACGTCCTCTTCACTGCCAACATATCTAATAGTGGTGAGGATGACCCTATCTTTCGCAGGAAACGCAACTGGACATGCGCAAGACGAGGAAAAACATCACCTCTTTCCTGTGTCCAGATGTGCATAAGCTAAAATATTTGCTGATTACATCTGAACATTTTTTGGTTACGATCTTCACACCTATCACTGCCTGATCTTCCTATACAAGAGCTACTGTAAGACAAGCTGTAGCAGACTGACGACCTAAAGGGGTGTAAGAAGCAAGATCACCAGGTTATTAGTTTAGAAAGCGTATTTGGGGGATATGAGCTCGTGCTCACCCAAGATCTAGATATTCTTTTTGCAACAGCCTATCAAAAGAAAAATGTGATACTGTACACGGTGTGGTGGAAAATCCTTGAGTCCATAGCACTGACAAGATCGTCGAAAAGAGTGACAAAACTGACATTCTCTGGGGCTGAAACATCCACTCGGTCACTTTGGCGCCAAGACACTTCATACACTAACCAAGCTGAGTCAGGGTCTAAACCAGACAATAGAAGGGTAATTAGCAAGTGGAGTGAATCTTGCATATCTCATAGACATAGATTGCAATTCACACGCATCTCTCATGATTTATGATGTGTGGAAAGAACATGTGCAGATGTAAGACCCCACAAGTGTGTACCTTCACATAGTGTTACATGTAGTATCCAATCATGGTCCGAAATGACTGCTTTACTCTCTGATTTGAAGATTGAAGTTTTGTTTTTGATTTGGTGTTGATGGGGCGAGATGTTTCACCTACGTAGGATTGTCTACAGTTACAGTCAATTTTATAAACTAAAAACTTTACCAAATGTATCACTAAGGGTAATTCCTATAATTATTAACATCAGCTTTGCCTCCATTTACTTTTGAAGTGGTTTCAGAAGACTTCGAGCCCAATCCTCTGGGTACTGTCCACTCTGCAATATAGTGTTATACAACACAACTAAATATGGAATAAGAATAGCTTTACAACATTTAATCATTTCTGGAAGAACTGCGCCAGGACCTGCTGCTTTCCCATCTTGCAAACAATTTAAAGCATTCAAAACCTCATCATACGTAATATAACTATTCAAAATATCGCAGCCATCACAAAAGGTGCAAACAGCATCAAAATGTTCTGAAATAAACATTTCAGCATTATTTAGATGATCAATATCAACATCAAACTCAGTAATGTTCAATATATTTTGAAAATACTTCAACGACTCATATGTAGATATGGACGATGTAGAATTATCCCTTTGACACGTGAGATTCTTAATATTACTCCAAAATACCTTAGAGTTAGATAAATTCGACAAAATATTAATAACAGTACTGTCTTCATAATCACTTTTCTTTTGTCGACAAAAATATCTATACATATTTCTCAAACGTCTAAATTCATGAAGGTAAGTAAAGTCACGAGTGATCCTAAACATATTAAGGGTATCATATTTTTCACGTTTCAGTTCTTTACAGTCACTATCATGCCACACAGCATCCACACTTTGTCGTGATGACGATTCATGTTGCGTCATACCACAAACATCAGCCGCTTTGGGTGATACACGATGTTAACTGTCTCACAGCCGCATCGATATCTCTGTTTATTGCATCTGTAAATATATCCACATTGTATGATAAGAATAGTTCAGAAATTATTTTATCAAAAGTAGAAGCTTTATCTGCGGTCCATTTATATACTCTTCAAAAAAAAGAAACTTGACATAGATGTAAAACCACTTTTGGCCAAATATCTAAAATAATTACATTAAATGAGAACCAAATAAGTCAAACAGAAAGATGATGTGTCTATAATTCGCGAAAACACATGCAAAGCACATAAACGTAGCGTTTGGGGATCAATTTTACAGCTTCATCCAAACGCAACCGCCTGTAAAAAACGAGCAGCACAGGCTCCTGCATTTAGGCATGCAGGCCCCCCTGCTGAATGGGTATAAAAATCCACATCAACGGCTGTTCATACAGTCCTTATAACGGCAGTAGAGGCGGTGACAGAAGGCCAAGACTGTATGCAGCTCAACGGAACAACGCCATTGGGAGATTACAAGCTGGAGGAACTCGGCAAGAAGTGGCCAGGCACTTTGGCGTATCCAGACAGACAATCTTCGCACTATGGACCCGATACAACACCAACAGAGTTGACGACAGACTAAGGTCAGGAAGACCAAGGGTGACAACCCAAGCACAAGATCGATACATCCGGCTGCGACACCTCCGAGACCGCACTACCACAGCCACGTCTACAACCACACAGATCCCTGGGGTACGCAGAATATCAGATCAAACGGTACGCAACAGACTGAGGGAGGCTGGACTTTTTGCACGAAGACCTGTTCGACGTCATGTATTGACCCCACGTCATCTGGCGGACCGTCTGCTTTGGTGCCAACAGAGGGTTAGATGGGCACGTGCAATGTGGAGAAATGTACTGTTTACTGACGAGTCCCGTTTCCTACTCACACGTGCTGATGGGCGCTCACCTGTCTACAGACGTCGGGGTGAACGTTACGCCCCCAACTG